ATTATATCGATGGCAACACAATCAACGGATAAAGTGTTCAAATTGACCTCCATCTAGCTCCATACAATAATATAGGCTACTTTCGAAAGCGTTCCATACATTATTATCAAGTTAATAGAGTTAAAAATTATAATGACAGACTTCTCGATTTGATGATTGCTAGTAACGAAAACAATTGCAAAGTACTTACTGATGACGACCCACTAGTTCTGATTGATCGCCATCATCCAGGACTTATAGTACAAACTTCACCAGGGCCAACACGAAAAAAATTTTCTTCTTCCATTAACCGGTATAACTTCAGAAATACCAACACTGATAAACTTTGCAGACTACTCGGAGGAGTTGATTGGAATCAACACTTCAGTAACCTGAATGCCGTCGATCAAACATGCGAACGGTTTAACGAAGTCATACAAAGTATAATAAAAAAGTGTGTACCCATGAAAAAGTGCTGCTTCCGCAAGTACCCTACCTGGTATTCAAAAGACCTGATTCGTGAACTGAAAGTAAAAAATCACTACCTGAAAATGTATAGGCATCATAAACTACTTTTTTATCGTGAAAAGTTCAGAGAGATGAGGCATTCAGTTGAACGCGATATAGATATTTCATATAAACGTTTCATTGATAACTCCGAACAAAACTTAAAAAAAATCCCACCGGTTTTTGGAGCTATGTGAACTCAAAGATTGATAAATCTCGAATTCCAGGACACATGTATTTTAATGGTCAAATATTGCCATCACCTAACGCTACAGTTAAAACATTAGCAACGAACTTTCAAAGCGTGTACATTTCTAATAATAATCTAAAAAATTCAAACTGGAGTGATGGAGAATGTTTCAACACCAGTGATTACTAACATCTTAGTGAAATCTCGGAAAATGACATCATCTCGGCTTCGAATAAATTGAAAAATAAATTGACAGTTGGACTGTCACTTGTCAAACTTGTTAAGAATCATATTGCTTTTTCTGCGAAGCCTCTCTGTATCATTTACAACCTCATGCTGAAAAATTGTTACTTTCCGAAAATATGGAAGCTGTCGAGGGTATGCCCTATCTTTAGAACTGGCAAGAATTCGGAAATAGTAAATTATAGACCAATTACCATAATATCAGTGTACTCGAAATTAGTTGAAATAATTTTATCGGGCCTCATTTATAAGCATGTAAAAAACACAATTTCCGAATTCCAACATGGTTTTGTGAAATGTTGTGGCACTGCATCAAATCTTTGTATTTTTACACAATATGTTTCTGATGAACTGGACCAACGTAAACAAATCGATGTGGTATATACGGACTTCAGCAAAGCATTTGATCGGATTTCACATCATCAGTTGCTCATGAAATTATCAAGCTTTGGCATTTTGAGGAGCCTTCAATATCTGCTGAAATCATATCTTAGCGATAGAAAATCATTTGTGGAATACGAAAGAATTAAATCGTTTATATTAAATGCAACTTCCGGGGTTCCTCAAGGTTCAAACTTGGGTCCACTATTATGTCTTCTGTTTGTTAGTGACATTTCTGATAATATCAACTCTGAAAAACTACTTTTTGCTGATGATATAAAGATTTTCAGGGAGATTGAAGACTACTCCGATTGTATATCATTACAAAACGATATTACTAAGTTACATGATTGGTGTCAGAAAAATGAACTATCATTAAACATAGGGAAATGTAAAATTATGACTTTTGCAAGGAAATCCTCAGTACAAATATATAAATACAAATTGGATAATATAACATTGGCAAGAATTACCGAATCGAGAGATCTGGCTATTATCTTTGATGAAAAACTAACGTTCTCGTTACATATCGAAGAAATAACATCTCGTGCAATGAAAATGCTAAGATTTGTTATGCATGATAGCAAAGAATTCTCATAATTAGAGGCAATTAGCTCTATATATCATTCATTGGTCAGAAGCAAACTGAAATATTGTAGCTCCATATGGAATCCTTGTTAGAGAAAACATATGTATTGTATTGAAGCTGTACAAAAAAAGTTTACTGAAGTTTCTTCACTTGAAAAAGCACAGTTCTTACTCCATTAGAGAGTATAGCTATGATTTACTCTTGGAAGAGTTCAACTATACATCGCTTATAAAACGCCGCCAAACTAACGACTTGATTTTTATGTACAAAATCATGCATGATCAAATCGACTCTTCTACTTTACTTTCATCATTGAATTTTAACGTCCCTCGTATAACTTCCAGGTCACATGTAACTTTTTGCATCGACGTACCTAACTCACAACACCACTTCCACTGTCCTTTGAAATCTATGTGTAGAAGCTACAATAATCTACAAAACATAGATATATTCTTCTTACCCTTACCTTAGTTTAGGAAAGCAATAATGCACTACATAACTGATATGTTACATGGTATGTAATACTAATATAGAATACGTTTTATGTTTAATTTTTGTTTTTCAGGACTAATATAAGAAAGAATAGAAATTGTTGCAACCTATTATTGAAATAATGAATGTGCTAAAGCTGCTGCAAGAATTTATAATACGAATCGTCCAGACCACAACGTGAGCCATCAATACGTTGAACAGTTAATGGATAAGTTCCGAACTTCAGGTTCTGTTCACAACAGAAAACATGAAGTATCCCGTCCTATCAGAAATGACGTAGTTGAAGTTGCAGTTTGAAGACATGTACAAATGGATAATCGATAATCTATCAGACAAGTAGCTAGAGTGTCTGATGTATCAGCTACCAGGGTTTTTCCAATTTTGAGCGCTCACAAATTCCATCCTATCGAAATAAGGCTAGTTCAGGAATTGAACGAACGTGATCCTGATCATCAACTCCAGTTTTGTGAGGTGTTTAGCGAGAAATTGACCAATAGCCCAAACCTATTATACAATTCATCTTTTTCAGATGAAAGTTTTTTCATGTTGAATGGTGAAGTGAATAGACATAATTGTCTTCACTGGAGCGATGTGAATCTTCATTTGGTGCTGGAAACACATTCACAAACTCCACAAAAATTTAATGTCTAGGCTGACATTCTTGGTAATCATACTGTTGTCTAGAAGGGGTCTAGTTGAATGGCCGGCTAGATCACCTGATCTCACACCGATGGACTTCTTACTGTAGGGACATGTGAAGTCAAAAGTGGACTCTACCTAACCTACAAATCTAGAAGAACCGCGACAGAGGATTGTTCAGGAATGCCGATTGCTGACACCTTCAATAATGTAAGAAACACTCTCGAGAGAAGATTGTACTATTGTATAGTCATTTTGAACAATTTATCCGTTGATTTTGTTTCCACTAATATTATTTGTTGTTGTGTTCCTCATTGAAATGAACGACAGCGAATTTTCTGTTTTTTCTTAAATGAAACGTTCAACATTTAATTTCTCAATGACGAATTAACCAAATTCGAGAAAAATTACAGAGGTAATAGAGGGACGAAAGACGTTTCAGATGATTTTATCAATCGAACCCCCCATGCCATTGAAAAAATTATGGGGGGAGGGTAGTTGTTGACCGCATGGGGTGAAGTTTTCGGGTATGACTTCCACATCAGAATTAGTCCCCCTAGAAATAAAAATTCACGTGTTCTTTGAAATTTTCGATTACACATCTGTTCCTGAATTACAGGGGGGTCAAGTTTTCGTTATAACGCCCTATATACAAGTTCGAGCAAGAACTCAAATGACTGGCTAATAGGCTGACTCTATTTGCCAAACCAAAGCAAAGTTCTCAATTTCCAAACTGGCTGAGATCGGTATAAATAAAATTTGCACTAGATGAATCAATAACTTCAAACTACGTCAAAAAATAGCAACTATTTATAATGCATCTGAGAAATGGAATAGCTGAGGGCTGGATAATTAATCTGAAGCAAGAGCTAGAGAAACAAAAGCAAGAATTAGGAAAATTGATGCAAAAGCGAACACCGACGAAAACATATGTAGATGTTTCAGTTGATTTCCAGGTTTTGCCTTCAGTTGATACTTCGAGAAGAGTACTTCGACAACGCCACTGAAGATGACTGCCGCAGTTGCAGTTGAAACGTTTGAAGATTTTAACCGAAGAAGATCACGACAGAACGTGGAAACTGAGTAAAACATTGATGCCAGATGTGGAAGCCTACATTCCTACAGAGTTTTTTCTGTTCATTCATCATCGAATTCCTCGAATGAACCAATTTTGAGAAAACTTGCAGCGAGATATAATAATATCAAGTCAGACAATTCCGCTTTCTACTTCGATAGTTTGTTGGGGGTTGAATGGGACACCAATGTGTTGGCACAATCATGTCGCTGGAATTCCGAACCAGAAAACTATGCACCTCAGCAACATGTGCTGCTTTATAAAGCTCAGATCAAACCTTCTTTGGAGTATTGTTCTCATGTATGGAGCTCTGCCCCCAAACATACCCTGAAGGTGCTGGATTCCATCCAGAAAAGAGCCATCCGCCTGACTGGTGGCGGATGGCGGATTTCCATGTATGTATGAGTGTGTATACTCTATTTCGTCAACCTAACCTATAAACTAGTACTTTAGGAGTAACTTTTTTTTGTAGTAAGTGTATGGGTTTTACACCTCACCAGACATGCACAATCCATTGTATAATAGGGGTACACCCCCTATATTAGGGGGTCAAGTTTTTATGCAAAGCCGTATATACGTTTTGTTTTATCTGCTGTTGTTATAACGAGTCAATTTACCGCCGACAAGTTGAAGTGTCCAATGGAGACCACTTGTATTCGGACCTCAAAACAAACTACTGTCCAGCACCAGGAGACACTTGAAAGTGCCGTCTGCTTCTCGAAACCAATAGATGGCAATTACTGGGTCGTCTATGAGTTCAAAATAAACATCGTGTTAATATCGCGCCCACTCGACCGCTTTGAGGCTATCTTGCGTTTCTGCAGTTCCCATCTTCTCCGGAGAGCGCGCCGACTCCAGATTTCGAGATGAAATCCAGAATCCAGGCTGCAGTGAGGGTTGCGAACCGGCGGCGACAGTGACTCCGATCCAGCGTGCCGTGCCCTTTCGAAATTTCTGGTGTATCAGTGATAGATGCCTCGACAGATCGCTTTATGATTGCAGGTGGGTGTGCCAGGCGATTGTTTTCTAGTTTGGAGCTATGTTTGAGTCGTTTATGTTATGGATTTGATGTACTGCTAGTAGGCTGTTTATGTTTTCGTAGTTAAGCTCAGGGTATTTTGATTTATTGGTATGGAATGATACACACGTTCTCTTCTATTGTTCCTTTTTGGTTACTGACAATAGTGTGAGTTCAAAAAGAAACTAGAGTAGTCCACATACATCTCAACAAAGAATCAGTGAAAATTCTTCATTCACAGCTACAACACTAACTTTTTTTTCATATAACCTGGAAACATTCATTGAAATAAAATCTGTACATCTCCATGCCTAGATTATATTTTCACAAACCCTCAGACGGGTGATTCCTTCAATCTGTGTTTCACGTAGAATTTTTAAACATTTCTCTAACCTCCCGCCCTACGAATCAATCCCTTTAAAATTTTGTAATTTAAATCAGAATACGGTTGTACTTGGCTTAATCGACTTCATAGAGGGTGTTTCCTAATCACGGTACGGTCAGGAGTTGCTTGGTTTCTGAGATACACGGCGGTAAAGTTAAAAAAATGTTAATAATAAAATGTCATAGTTGAAATTTGCTACAGTGGACACTGAGAGAAGAAGCACGAAGAATTTACCAGGACAGATATCTTAACAGCGGCGTAGCCAACGGGGGGCAGTAGCCCCCCCCCTAGAGATCAAATGTAGCTATCCGCAAAGCGACCAAAGCGTGAGCAATTGACTTCCTTACCTATTAGTAAATTCCGCATCGCATGACAAAACGTAAATAAATTCACAAGATTTAATGTATATTGCAGAAAGTATTGAAATATTCAGATTAATATTAAGATTTTGACATCCGTTTTTAAAATCGCCGCCATTATCATCACGACTATATCAAATTTGCCATTAAACAGTGTAAAAATATGTATAGTCCGTTCATAATTTGTTGATAGCTCACTGCAAGTTTGACCCTCATTAGAGAAATGAAATACAGAGAGGACAGCTAATATGATATAATAACAAAAACCAAACTAAAACTGGCAGTTTAAGATGTTTTCGACTAACCCACCTTGTATCTGAAGAAATACAATACAGAGTGCTATCGACAAATTATGAACGGACTATAGGTAGAAGGTAGGTATGGTGTGTGTGTGTTGTGAATTCCATTAGTTTTGTATAACTTGTATGCGGCATACCTAAAGTAGAAGTTATTGTTACGAACATACAATTTCAATTGGTCTTGTGGACAATGCCATCTGTAGGTGTAAGTGTTCATAAGAAACACCTACAGCCTACAGTTGAATAAATCGGCTTCCAACTGCATACGGATGCCGCAAGAATTTCTATCATTCTGGGGATTATGTTGGTAGCCAAATACTCGACTTTGATGGAACCTGTTGTCAACGTACTCCAATCTGTAGCTTTTTGGAGGTGGTCGAAGCCTCGGAACCCGTAGAAAGGATTTTGCTTTTAATTAAAAACCACCGTGAAAATCTGAAAAAAGTGTCAGACAAAATGATAAAGGAAGCTACTGCTGTTGCGGAGAAAGTCGGACTGGAGGAAGACATTAAATCAATGCCGCGTATTACGGGGAAACAACGTCATAGAAGCAATCATCCAGCAGAAAGCCCTTCAGAATACTGGAAGAGGATGCAAAAGATGACAACTGAATATCTGAAATAAACTTGTGAATCTATTGCCTAGTTTTATGATTTACCGAAAATAAAGAATGAAATCGAACTTTGGCAGCAATTGTGGCACGATAGGCCTAATCTAACAAATCTTACAGTTGATGTCCTGAAAGAAACAAATTCCTTCTTTCCCGAACGAACAAAGCATTGAAAATTTTGATCGATTTACCAGCCTCAGAAGACTAAAAACATGGCAGAAGATCGCCTTAATGGTCTGGCCATGATGAGTGTACACAGAGCTATAATAAATAAAAACCTAAATGATTTCAACGATAAAGTGGTTGAAAGTTTATTTTTGTTAAAATAAATAATTATTACTGTGTTTGAAAGTTTGATTTAGTTATTGTGCTGTCGAGGGCTTGTGAAGTTTTATACATTGATATCAGAACCTTTCTTATTACAATCGTCATCGAGGCAAAGACTTCCAAAATGTATCGCTTCATGCTTTCGACTGCACCAGGCGTTCATATTTTTCCTCCTCCATAATATTGCCCCATTGCCCCCCCCCGTTAGTCCTGAAACATTTAGAACGCTACTTTATGTGGAACTGGAAGTTTTGATGAATATGCAGGTGGTAAGACCAGAAAATGTAACAACGCCTGAACTAGAAGAAGCTATACTTGATGCGATGAAAGAAGATCCTTTAAATAGTACCAGGAAGATTGCACTGCAGCTGGAAGTCAGCCCAAAAACCGTATGGACAGTTCTAAAAAACCTCTACTACCAAGCTCTACTTACTACCAAGCTCTACTACTACTCTACTCTACTCTACTACAAGCTCTACTCTACTACTACCAAGCTCCACTACTAAGCTCTACTACCTCGAGATTTTCACCCAAACGGGTTGATTCATACGATTGCACATAATAATATTTTTACCAAATACTTTACTTATGGACGAAGCAAATTTTTCACGAGATGCTGAAATGGTGAAAAATGATCAAAATGTCCATTTTTGCGCTGACGAAAATCCCTACTTGTTAGAGAAAGTCATTTTCAGCAACAGTTTTCGGTGAACGTTTGAGTAGGAATCACTGGTATCTAACCCTTCTACCATCAAGATTTACAGGTGAATCCTACATGACCTTTTTGCGAGATCATATATCCAACATGTATATTATGCAAGACGGGGCTCCGCTCATTTCAGTGTTCAGTGTCAGCATCCCGACATTACCTACCTAAATCGCTTGATTGGACGTGCAGAACCTCAAAATTGACCAGCTCGCAGTCCTGATATGAATCCTCTAGATTTCTATTTATTGCGTCATCTGAAGGCTCTTTCTTGTTCATAAATCTACTGTTGTAACGGTTTAATTTTCTAAATTCAGAAGAATCACTCGAACCGTCCTGTAGGTTAAGCAGGAGTAAATGAAACCGAGGAGATTTCCACGGTCAGATTTCAAGGTATATTTATCTGGTAATTGGAAAAATCCTTTGGAGAAGCTATAGCGTATCTTTGAGATAGGAGGAGATATTCTATAAAGTACCAACGGAGCACCACAGCAAGTATAAAAAATAATACTGCAATTTCCTTAATGATACTGAGTTCTTCATTAAAATTATCCATTGAAAAAGGAACATTGCCTGATATATGAACCATGCTATCATAAAATGGCAGTTTGTGTTGATAGGGATGGGTAGAATCGCAATAAATACTAGATAATATCCCTCTAGAAAGTTCTGTGATGAATCATATCAGCTGTTCATTCTACTAATTGTTGAGTCCAAGTTATTGATTGAGTTTAAATTGTCTGCTTCTAGTTCTATAGTGAATTTAATGTTTTCATGAATTGTCTTGCTTAGAAACCTATGTTATTAATAATGTAGAACTGATATTATATTATATTTTCTATGTAATCGTAATTGAGGAGGTTTATAAAAGTTTAATATGTGCTCTTGACATTTTTTTTTCAAAAAGTCACAGTACCTAATCAAATTACTAGCATCTAATTAGAGTTTCGAAAATACTTTTTCAGGAAATCAAATTGAAACTACTATCCAGTCCGTGTTTGGTTGTAGTATTCAGATTATTGGTATGACAGTTATGGAGGATTTTGAGGTATGCAATTGAAAGCATTTTTCGGCATGTTAATTGTTCAATTATTCAAATGGAAAAAGATACATCTTTCGAAGCATTTTCATCTCTTCAACGTATACTATGCCTCTCCATAGAAGAGCTTGTCGTCATTACAAATATCAAATTGATACCACCAGAGAGGCAAGATTCATAATCCTCAGTATATTCCAAACCAGGAGTTCAGAAATCAATCTGGCCTTTCAACACTCCCAATTCTCGAACTGTTTTGTTCAAATACTAAAGTCTTAAGAAATTTTTTATTGAGATAAGTTACCACCATAGTTAGAGGACTCGCCGAACTCATCCCAAAGGACGTCACTTTATAATATAGAAACTTTAGTCTGCGGTTAGCTGAAAGTTTGGAATCTGGGAACAAGTATTTAATATGCGAGCTTGACAGTTGAACTCGGAGTTCTTACGAAGGATTAGTTCTCCACTCAGAATTATTCAGAATCATAAAAGAGACATACTTAAGATCAATAATAATTCTGAAGAGTTCCTCACTTGAGTTGAAACTAAAAAATATGATACGAATCACTGTATACTTCGAAATATTTTCGTTAGATTTTTTTAGAAATCAAGAAATGTCGCACAAGTCGAAGAAAAACAAATACTAATGAACATATTCAAAACGAAGCATGGATCGCAAAGATAAAATTTAGTTAATGATCAATCTAGAAAAAGCTCCTCTTTCTCAATATACAAAGTTTCCATATTTGACTCCCCATACCAAAAAAATATTGGCTATTGAAGAGTACTTTCGACTCATGCCAAAAAATCAACTGAATATTTGCAGCGGTGATATGAAGAAGAAATTAACGAATCATACCACATTATTGTTGAAAGTCTTATTCAAACAAAATCGTTAATATTCTGTCTGATGATGAAACGCCAATAATAATATACTTTATTGCCATCAAGAATAAATCTTGTGGATGAAGCTTGTGAGAAATAAATATGAATGTAAGTATAGAGATATAAATTGTGAATATAAAAACATCTATGAAAAAGTAAAGTTGGAACATACACTATAGTTCAACGTTGAAATTTTGTATCAACATGATTGTGTACAGATTTGTTTAAAACTGTTATCAACAATAATCTTGTATAACCTAAATTCAAATATACACATTTTGTCACGTAAATTTATCATTATAGAACTCTTGCAAATTATAGTAGGGTCTATCAGCCAAGAATGTTTTTACTCTTATTCTAAACATTTTGTTGGTCAAATTTGCCTGTCTTATATCTGAGGGCAAGTGATTAAACATCTTGATCCCATTGTAATAAATAGAAACCATAAAATCTTGACCTTGCTTTCCATACTTCTATTGGAAATGTTATGTCTGATGATGATTAAACATCTTTATCCCATTGTAATAAATAGAATTCCTGACCAAACTTGTTAAAGGAATTGGTAATTTCAATGGTTCGGTGGAACTGGTGCTATAAGAATGGCATGAAGTCTGAAATAAGGACATATTTTTGTAAATGAGGCAAACCGATTCCAGAATGAACAAAGCAATCACTGCTCTTTTGCTCAACAAATTTGTGTCTGTATGAATCACAAGGTTTAATCTTACACATATATATCTGATAGCCCGTTTCTGCAGTAATAATTCAGACAGAAGTGCTGATGAATTGCATACTCCCCAAAACGGTATTCTATAACGTAGATGAGATTCAACGAGGGTGTAATTCATCGTTCTGGAAGCTTTGATTCCCAAATTTATTGAAGTTCTCTCACTGCATAACATCCAGAACAAATTTTACTTTTGAGTTGTTTGATATGTTCAATAAATTTGAGCTTAGTGTTAAAGTGAATACCTAGAAATTTATATTGAGTCTCGTTCTAAATCACTAAGTTATCACCAAATGACAGGTGATCATGAGCATATCTGAATGATGAAATAGCAAATTAACATGACACCATTCTTTGATTTTTTTCATATCAGTAGATATTGCACCGTGTAAATCATCTGAGTTTATGTTGTTCCACAATATCGTCGTGTCATCAGCGAAAAGAGTGAAATTTCCAGGGGACATTTATCCTCCAATAGGAACAACCCACTCTGAATTGTTTTTGGGGAAAGTGTTGCCAATACATATTTGATAGGGTGTTTTTACTACGAAAAAAGAAGAGTTAGAAATATGTGTAGAGTTGGTTTCAGGGATTCCTGTCGACCTTTATTCAGAAACCATAAAATCTTGACCTTGCCTTCCATACTTCTATTGGAAATGTTATGTCTGATGCAAAAAAGATACAGGTCGGAAATTTTCATTTCACCACGACGAAATACCAGAAATAAGCTCGATATAGGTTTACCGATTCCAATATCATCAAAAATTGAGAGGTCTTTCATATAATAATGGAAAAAAAATGTTCAACCATTTGCCAATTGAGATCAAAGGCATAACATGTACCACTAAATTATCATTTTCTGGATTATTTGTGCTTCGTTTGTCCATTCATTCTAATTTGAAGAAACAGAAATGGTAATTTCAAGAAAAGATTAGTTTTTGGAGAAGGTTTTTCAAGTGGTAACTTTCAATGTAAGGGTAAACCGTTTGGTAACGTAACGCATAACGGCGCCAGTATGTCTGGCTTACGTTTCTCCGCACACACAGCGCTAGGCGTATCTCGGGCAAACGATACTCTCGCCTTTTTATGACTCAGTGTTCAGTGTGCGGTCGACATATGGTGTTGAGAGTGAGCATAATTTTTCATATATTTTGCTTTCATATATAATGCTGATATCAACCATTGAAGTGGAATATACTTCTACCTTTGTTTGAAGGTGGTTCACAATGTTTCGTGGTGTATTTCATCACTCTGGTTTAACCCCATTATCAAGTATAAAACTCTAAAGTGAAGTTTTTAATTAATTTGTTAACTTCCATGGCTTCCAACAAATTCATGTTTTCCCTTCATTACATATGTGTAGGATTTTGAGGTTAACTTTACTTATCTTGTGTTTTAATTCCTGAAGATGTTCATGCATTGTAGATTTTTTTGTCCAAGCAGACGGTTCACCCAGCCTTACGTCAGAATTTCTACCGGTTTAGCCTGTATATACACAACATATAGACAAAAGTGTTTTATTCGTTTCATTAAAGTTATCATTAGTGTGGTACATTGTATAATATTTTCTACTGTTATCAACATTTGTTTCAGCTTTTATTTAAACTCTTCCTTTTTGAATCCAGAAATTGGATTTTGAGATTCTTATTTTCTTTGATTGATATGATTTCCTTTCACTTTCTTCCACATTTTCTATGGACTGCTTGAGTTTTAGTACTTATATTTTATTCATATCACGCTCTAACATGCAACAGAAAATCAAGATCATCTGATTTATTTCCAGATGTCCAAATAATGGAAATGCGACTGATAATAGCCTTGTGGTCATTGGAGTTAATCTGCTGTCTGCCTGATACCATTCCTATCGGTAAGTTATCATGAACACTATGAATTCATGACTCTTCTTTTCCCGTTAAGTATTTTTTCTAAATCAACTGTGAGAAATCAACTTCACGATATCTGGAAACTGACAATTGAATGTTTTGATGTAAATTGTCACACACATTTAAATTGCAACATTGCAACATTGAAGTTTTCTCCATTATATTATTGCTATTCAGAACATATTGGTATTAGTTTCGAAGTGACTAATGAGACGATAGTCTGTATTTTTCAATAAATATGTTAGGTATCACACGTTGAAAGGTAAGACCTCGTTAGTCCTTAGCTCGCACAAGTTTCTCAACTCCTGAGAGTTGTCGTTCGTATGAGGGCGACAGCTGATTAACGGAAAGACAGATTTTAAACAGATTCAAATATGAACCAATGACGATGGTTAGTTAATGGCACTATGCACTGACATTAACGAAGAAGGAATAATAGAAGCCCCCACTGTTATTCAACGTAACAATTACCCACATTTCCTAAGAAACTGTAACTAACGTGAAAAACGGAATAGCCGTGATGAATCTTATGAGGAAAAGACAATTTTTGCTGCATATTCAATACAAAATAACCCAAATTCTGCATATTTTCTTAACTCAGAAGCTTCAGAATATTCAACAGTGACTTGGTTAACAAAATCATTCGAAATAAATATTTCCACAGCAAGTGAAAACGATGACAGGTGCTGTGCCTCAGTTTATCATCTATTAGTAAAGTAAAAAATAAATTCACCACTGTTGCCTTCAGTAAGTATAACTTACCTAACCTAACCTAACCTAACCTTTGGTGTGGATTTTGGGCTGGTGGCGTGATCGGTCCATAGTTTTTTGAGAACGACGTTAGCCAGGACATCTCTGTTAACTGTTAGCACTTTAGGTCGATGATTACCAACTTTTTTGGCCTGAATTGGATGATATGGACAACAACGACATTTGCTTACAATAGGCATCGATAGGTCTTTCGAACGAATAAAAAATTTCGATGGCATCACATACACACACTTTATTCATTAAAATTCAATGATAGAAAGTGCCTAATGAAAGACCGTTCAGTCGCAGTCCGAAATATTACAAAAATGATCAATAAACTAGTTAAGAAAAGACTCAATAAATTTTTCCTTCGCCATAACATTATAAGGAAAAATCAATTTGGGTTCCAGAGCAACAAGAGCACACATGATGCAATATTCTCGTTCCTGTTTGAGGTGTATTCCAATATGAATGATGGAGATGCTGCTGCAGCAGTGTTTTGTGACCTTACAAAAGCGTTTGACTGCGTTGATCATAAAATACTGCTACGGAAGCTGAATATCTATGGATGTAGAGGGATAACACTACGGTGGTTTGAGTCGTATCTCAATGGTCGCAGTCAGATTGTGAAAACGATTAAATGTTCAAACAGTATTGAAATAAATACAGGTGTGCCACAGGGATCGGTTCTCGGTCCCATATTGTTCCTGTTGTATATTAACGATTTGATGGATATAAGTATATCTGGAACATTCACTCTTTTCGCTGACGACACCACTATATTGTGGCATAGTAAAGGTATTGATATACTCAATGAGACAATAGCTCATGATATACAAAAATCAAGTCTGGTGTGATTCCAATCTACTCTAAAGTCTGCCGAATTACAGTGATCTGCAATTATAAACTGACATTTACCAAATTTGTTCGGTGTATTCACTTTGAATAGTTCGTTGTTCGTTGTAGATTTAGAACTGAGATGCATACTGTACAGATATAAGAAAATAGTAGAATATTTGAATTCAAGAGAAAAAATCATAGTCTATCAGAGTCTTCTGGAATCACATTTGAAATATGGGATTATAGGCTGGGGCGGTGTTTCAAAAACATATTGTAATACGTTACAAGTGTCCCAAAATAAATTTCTGAGAATCCTGTTGAACAAACATCGAATGTACCTCTCAGAATTACTATTTTCTGAAACAAATCTTCTTGACATTCGACAGCTGTTTTATATGCAGGTCAACATATGGCAATACTCAAACAAATTCAAATTGCAACGTATCATTCATACTTATAAAACAAGAAATAAGGATAGATGTGGTGCATCCACTATGAGAAGAAGTATCGGACAAAGGAGTTATTCATACCTAGGAATATGTCAGAAGTGAAAATAATGTAAGAAAATTCAAAAGGAGCTCATAGCTCAAATCAGAAGTAGATACAGGAGAGAGATTCGTGAGTTGATTGAGGTACAATGATGATAATGATAATAATCATAAATATAGCTACACTTCGTTGAGTGGATTGTCAAGTTTATACTGGTAAACTATAATTGAATGATGCTGTATTGTTTCTACAATTCAAATTCCACCTTTAATTCTTCTTGTTTGTTATATAAATCTTTAAATTTTCATTTTTGAACTTATATACTTACATACTTACATATTGTGTTAAGTGTACTAAATTTATCATTGTAAAAAATGTAATTATGTGTTGTGTTACCACGTACAAGTTTTTGAAGCTCTCAACAACTTCTGTTGGTTCATTGAATGTTTATTGTATTTATCGTGTATTACTCCAGTATGTTCATTTACTATCAATAAACAACATTCGTATTATTGGAATCATTGCTCAAAGCAGAATCAACGAGAGGTTTTTCATCTGCAATATAATATTTAACCAACTCATTTAGCTCAAACATCTCATCATTGAGTCCAATCAAAAGAAAATCTAGAAACTCTTCCGCATCTTGTTGTCTACCATCGATCCATTCAGTCCGCATATTATGCAACATTTTATGAATCCACGTCGGACCGAATGGGATGCCAGTGTTGGTCATTCTTGGAATTTTGTTGATATTACAGTAATTGTTTTGTCTGGGCAGACCCCTTGGATACATCAGACCAATTTTGTGGGGGAAAGAAAATTGCATCAAGACTTCGAGAAGAAGAAATAGTGTAAATAATTGACTAGAGTTCATTATAACGTAATAAACCCACTTTTTATCGACCTTTTGTGGGTATTTTCACCTCCCACAATCTGAAAAATATGAAAATTATAACGGAGAACTTCACACAGGTGCAGGAAGCGCAAACTTTTTAGTTTGCCTCGATAAGTTACTGCGTAAAAAGACTAGAGTTCATTATAACGTAATAAACCCACTTTTTATCGACCTTTTGTGGGTATTTTCACCTCCCACAATCTGAAAAATATGAAAATTATAACAGAGAACTTCACACAGGTGTAGGAACCGCAAACTTTTTAGTTTGCTCCGATAAGTTACTGTGTAAAATCAAAGTATTTTTCACAAAGAAAAATGTTCTATTTATCAGTATTAAAAATATTGCTCATCAAAAAATTGCCAAGAAATGATACAATACTTATCTTAACGTTTCGGAGGCCAAAATCTGCTTCCGTCTTCAGAAATGAACAAAATTCAAATATATATGCAGTTAGTCCTTTGCTGATTTTTATTTCTCCACTTCTACAGAAGATGTCAAAAAACTATTTCAACATCTGTCAAAGGAGTTGAGAAATAAAAATCAGCAATCAGCAAATGAATAACTGCATACGTATTTGGATTTCGTTCATTTCTGAAGACGGGGGCAGATTTTAGCCTCCGAAACGTTGAGATGAGTATTGTATCATTTCTCAGCTATTTTTTGATAGGAGAAATTATTGAATACTACCCAGTTACTGATGAAAAAATATTTTTCTTCGTAAAAATACTTTGATTTCATGCAGTAACAGTCAAGGTGAACTAACCATACTGCCCAGGCCTCTCGCCAGCCGACTTCATCGAATCCCGAGCAACTGGATTTTTATGCAGACCTTCGAAACAACCCAACATTTTCTCCGTTTCAACTCATGTCACATTTTTCTGACTCAGTATTGAAAACATTTCTTGATGAAATTCTCCTTCCATCGGTTGGTTTTTTGTATATCACGTACAACTCAAAATTAATGACAGCTAGTTCCTCGACGATAAGTACTCCGCTATTTTCAATTAATATTAAATTTCCAATATTGGTTGCAGGTGGTCTGTTCCATCCCGCCGACGACAAACAGGAAATTGCATTCCGTTACGCAGTCGAGAAAATCAACAGCGATCGTTCGATCCTGCCAAGATCAAAGCTCAGCGCTCAAATTGAGAAAATTCCACCGCAGGATAGTTTCCACGCTTCCAAGAAAGGTGAGTGGAAAATGTTTTAATTGGAGATGAAGTGAATTCTCGAAGAAGCTGAAACTTTTGCACGCAGAACTTTTTCACTCGATTGCAGCATTGCCAAAAGGAAGGATTATGACTTTAGCGATCTGAATAATCCTCTATTCAGTATGAGCTGAATGGGAAATTTGAGTAAAATCAACCAAAACAGGTAGAACATGAGATAGTTTCAGCTTCTCCTGAAACCATTTCCAAGAACCCTTCAAACTGAAATTACGTGACTCGACGACCGGGTCGCAATCTCCCAGTTCCCAAAGTCTCGTCACTGGCTTCATGCTTGCTTTGATCAGTTCCAAATGAACACTAATAACCTCGTGATGCACTGTTTGGAACCTTTGTGGTGTAGTAATGAATATTGCTGGAGTGTTTTTTTTTCCAACACCAAACTGTTATTTCAACACTTCCACACGACAAGTGATCATCTTCAAGAGGAAAATCCTCTTGACTTAAAGACTTGACTTGACTTAAAGAACAAACAAGAAGATAAAACGTTCAGTTTCAGTAGAGCCATGAAGATGATAGCATAGCCTGCTATCGAGAAAGCTCGCATATAATAATTAGGAGTTATTGAATGAATCTTCAAATCCTTATCATAAAAGAATGTTAATGTAATGTCACAAAAAGGATTTGAAGCTTTATAACTTCTATTTATTATAAGAGGAGTTACACCTCTCGAAGCGAAGCAGTAACTCGTCTTGATAATGCCATCTGAGATGGTGGCGAAACGTCGACTATCGAATAGTACACAACGGATGAACACCCGGAAAAACAANAAGTAACTCGATGAAAAAAACCGAAAAATCAAATATGTTGATCAATTGACAACACCCTCATTATTCTTGAGGAGAACAAGTGAAGAGGTGTTGTTGAATGAAAGTAAAACCCTGCCATAGGGCGGTTGGAAGTTTGTTAATAAAAATATTTAACTCTGGTTTTTCATCAATATAATTCATAACATTTTAAATATATCAAATATAATATGATGGGTTATGTTTCTAGGTTACATTCCGTGGTCTTTGTTTTTGATCATCACAAGGATCAGTTTCACGACGTTCGGCAAAGTCTAATTTGACATCTTCTGGTGATGTCTGGAATATGGACCTAAACTTGTTAGGTCCATTCTTGTGAGGATCATTTTCACGTCGTTTCAGCAGTCTCATTTATCATAATCTGGTGATGTTTGGAGTATGGACCTAGACTAGTCTAGTTCCATACTCCAATCGTGGAAATAATTCTCACAAGGATGGTCCATACTTCAGCCTATGGAAACGGATAAATATATACATGACGGGGATTTATATACATGACTTCTGTTTACCGAGTACTTGAACAGAAATATGAGCAGTCTCAATGCTGAATTTTCAAATGTGAAATGTAGAAGTATAATCTGAGTTTCCTCTGGTGATACAATTTTATACGATAACATCTACTCATTCGCAATGAAACCTCTCCGTAGCCATCATCCCACGCCACATTTTCCATAATTTCGCAAAAGTAATTCACTAATGGGTCGATTCACAGCAGAAGCACTGAGCTGATTACCTCTAGTTTCCGTTTCAGGCCCTTAGTTAACTAGGGAAGATGTCCTTTGGGTCCAACAACGATCCGCTGGAACACATCAAAGGAGTGTGAGCGGCACAGCGGCAACTAATTAATTATTCATGTCGCATCAGAGTCCCTGACGCCTTCTTAGAATTTCACACCTATAAGAAATTAGTTTCTCGAAAGATTCCCGTTGACGCTGAACGGAAAATCATCCAGCCGGGACCGGAGAATACGGTAATACAGAGCCGATTTCCATGGAGATATGTCTCTTGATAACTCCAAATTTATACATTATAGTTTCTCTCAACAGCAGTGAACTCGGAGTGGTAAAAGTTCGACTGTGTCTGGAGGCAACAGTCGTCTCACATAGTTACTCTCATTGATGATCATCAAAAAAAAATACATTCGAAACGCCAAAATTAATGATGCGTGAAATAACCTGAAATATAATATGCACAAATGCATGTTAGGTAAGGTTTATTCTGCTTTCCTCAGAAATTTTGATGAGTTTGGCTGAATTTCCTGAAAGATTTCATATATGTTATACAATAGATGCGGCAGATGGGAATGAAATATGAAGTTATACTGACAAATCATAGAATAACCAGTTTTTTCTCCAGCAGAGTGCACGGTTTTTACCTACGACTTTTTGTGCTAATGGTTACGATGTATACTTTTATATTAAACTTGACTTGAATGTTTGTTAGGTTAGGTTAGGTTAGGTTAGGTTAGATTGGGTTAGGTTAAGTTACGTTAGATTAGGTTAGGTAAGAATAGGTTAGGTTAGGATAGGTTAGGTTAGATTGGGTTAGGTTAAGTTACGTTAGGTTAGGTTAGAATAGGGTAGGTTAGGTTAGGTTGGATATAGGTAATAATCTAACGGTTCGAAAGTCATAACCAGAGGGAAGCTAACCTGAAATGCCATCGGAAAACGAATCCACATGTTTCTAGAAATGATATGAAATCTAGAAAGGTTAGGTTAGGTTAGGTTAGATATGAAATCTAGAAAAGTTAATGCAGTCAAGTTTCTGGAAAATGATTCCATGAAAATCAAAAAATAAATGGATAAGTACTCTTTCATAATTCCCATATTGATTTCAATTTCAATAAGTAGAACCACATAAGGTGACAGTTTCATCGAATCTGTGACGAGAATTGTTTATTTGCTCTCACTATCCCGTATACTTACTGATTATCTTATTGTTATTGATTATCACTATCATTCCCTATCATCACTAACCCGTGTTAGGAATCACACGTTAAAAGGTAAGACCTCGTTAATCCTTAGCTCGCACAAGTTTCGACTTTTGAGGGTCGTCGTTCGTAGGGGTGCGACAGCTGGTTAACGGAAAAACAGATTTTAACAGAACAGATTCGATAATATATGGATGATCTGAAGAACAAATAAAGCATTTTCATTATCATAGTGCATTGAAATTTCCTGACACTCAACTAGAATCACCCTGTTCAGTACACATATTGCAGATTCTGTGGGAAAGAGTCGGAGTAATGTTCTGTGAGGATAATGGGAACTCGTAATACAGTTAAAAGGCATGGTTGTAAAATCTATTTTATGGCGAAGGAAACGGGAATTATAATGCAGAAATCTGAGGTACGTAATGCTTTTATGTATCATACATGAACCTAGAATATATGTATATGAACCCGGAATAGTATTAATAAACACATTATATAAGAATGATGTAGCATCATTTGAATATGTAAGCTGTACATAATTGTATGATGATATCATTTCATGTTTGGTTTTTGAAATTCGGTTACGGCGTTGTTGAGTTATTGCTTAATCTTCGGCCCGCAATCTGCCCATACAGCTAGTCACGTACAATCAATATGCGACACGATGGAAATCCCTCATCTGGAAACACGGTGGGACTACAGGCTTCGCCGAGAAAGTTGTCTTGTCAATCTTTATCCTCATCCCACCACGCTTTCTAAGGTAAGAAACGAATATATTGCTTTTCATAGCGTTTTATTCCATATAGTCCAGTAAATGACCATTTTCTCGTATGATTTAGCCAAACTTCGACCATTTGGGTACATGCAACCCCTTCTCGTGGGTAAAATATGTTTCACTGACAATATTTCCGAAAATGGACTATTTTATATCAGCAGCAAGAATGGGAATGCTTCATGTCCTCAACAAATTGGCGTTCTTACAAGTTTTTTATACTCATTGGTCATTCATTCATGTTCATTCATGGTCATTCCTGTTTCAACTGACACATTTTAATTTTTTGGTTCGATGACCTTTAGATTTGTTATAATTGTATTCATTTTCATTCCATTTATTTATCCATAGATCTCAAATCTGTTATTACTTTTTCAAACAATAAGTTCGAACCAAAATCGTAACAATAAAAAGTTGATTCCATTTGATATATCCAGAAAACTGTAATGACCCCTATATTTTTCAATTTGTACTCAAACATTTTTTTCAACTCAAAGTAATAAAGAAATTTACGTTTTTTTCAAAGACACTGTCCTATTCCATGGAATTGACTTGATTCAATGCTCCAACATCACACTGAATATATTACAAATAACTTCAACTTATAAAAACAAAGTTTTGAAATTTGCATATTCTATGCATAAAAATAACAGGGTATTACAAGTTCTTTGGCTGAAGGAGCTTTCCCTCTCCAAGGAAATTAGCAGGACTATCTCATANCATCCCCGCATTTCTTGATTTTATGATTCTTCAGCCAATCACAAAACTTGGTTAGCAAAAGTTATCCAGTACGAACCGCCAATTCTACAGTCTACGTGGACTAGTTCATTTCCATGTATTGGTTTTTTTGGCCTTCGTGAGTGCCGCAAACTTTAAGTGTACACAATATCGTTTACTTCAACTATGCCTTTGCATTCATTCGAATCGAATCTCATTAGGTTTATATCATCACCACTCTTATGGTTATTGGGGTTATGAGGAGTACTAATTAATACAGTTATTACCATCATTATTGATATCAAGACAGGCACAGTTCATCTTTCCGAAACTCTCATAAATACATCAGTGAAGAAAATACCCTCAACAAAAGTTTGTGAAAAACGGCATACACCACTTGCCTCAAAGTGTGAAAGTTTATAACTTCCCGTTCGCCCTAAACGATGATTGCTTGTTTCAGGCCTACGTCGATCTCGTTAAAGCCTGGGGTTGGAAATCCTTCACCATAATTTACGAAAACAACGAGGGCCTCGTACGTCTTCAGGAGTTACTCAAGGCGCACGGACCGTACGAGTTTCCTATAACGGTTCGTCAGCTCGGAGAGAGCTCTGATTACAGGTAAATACTCATGAATTTCCGGAAAGCGTTTATCTTTACCTCGCACGAGTTTGCGTCGAGTGATTTATGGGTCACGAGTTGAAGTCGAATTCGTCCTGGATGTAAGGACCAAATTCCGTCATCGCGTTGAATTTATTAAATAGAAACAGAAAGCAAATAAATAATTCAAAGAGAAACGTAAATGTTCTCAAGCGATTACAGTTTGTGATTTATATTACTCTCGGATTCTTTGCGAGGATCATCTCAGGCTGATTACTTGAATACTTTGTCCTACTTTCATCCCTGTTTTTCCTTAAACCTGATTTCAATGTTTTACACTCGGAGAATGAAGGTTTGTCTCAGTTTTCCGAATATATGAAAAAGTATGACAATACATTTGCTTTCAGATAATAACAATATTCGTTCACAATATGTCTCAAAATAGAAAATTGGAAATGAACAAAGAATGAATATAAAGTGTGTGCCGCTACTGGTTAACTGAAAATCCTCACTGGATAAGAGAAGAACACACGCAATACCCTCAAAAGGTTAATGTTTGGGCGGGGATTGTAGGAAACCATATCATTGGTCCGTTTTTCATTGAGGGCAACTTGTAAGAATATAATTATTTGGCACTACTTCAAAATGATGTCATTCCAAGTTCAGCAAATTCATATCCTTATCCAGGAAACCCTCAAGTTCCAGTAAACTCAAACTGAGTAGGCCTAGATGATGATAGCACGACCAGCTGTCGAAAGCGCTCGCATATAATTAAATAGAAGTTTTGAAGCTTCAAATCCTTTTTGTGACTTACATTAATTTTAAAATACTGAAAATAAAGAGAAATTAGATGCATCATTCAAAAAATGTATATACAGGGTGTAACTAAATAAGTGTAAAACATTCAAGGAGGTGATTCCTCATCGAAAAAAAAATATGTTCTTCCAGCCCCTTGAAGGGGGTAAGTACATAAAATTGGTTTAACAATTTTTTTTCACAAGCACTAAAAAAGTTACCATATTAAAATCAACCTGACGTTTTGTACTACCAAAAAGATGTATCTCTGTAGTTGTTCGTAAAATAATTTTTCGCTCCGAACTGGTTTATTTTGGGCAAAAAACCCAAGAGACATTTTTTGTTTAGAAAGAAACAGGCTATCATAAATACATTTTTAAATGTTAAACAAATAATAAGACAAAGAGTTACATTGGAAATAAATTTTAGGGGTTGCGTTTTCCACCCCTTACAACCATGGGGTAAACCCAATAAATTACTGGCTGAGTGTCTTTTCGGTAGTACAAAACGTCAGGTTAATTTCAATATTGTTACTTTTTCAGTGCTTGTGAAAAAAAGTGTTATACAAATTTTATGTACCCCCTTTGAGGGGCTGTATCTTAACAAGGGATGATCCAATGAAGTTTCTTTGTATGAAAGATCCTATCTTTTTTACGATGAGGAATCACCTCCTTAAATGTTTCTTATCCAGTTACACCCTGTATACAGTTGCTTTATACAATTTGAGTAGAGCCTAGATGATGACAGCACGGCCAGCTGACGAAAGCGCTCGCATATAATTAAATAGAAGTTATAAAGCTGTTTCTGCCTATTGGGCATCGTGAGTACCGGGCAGGCGGTCCTCGATTGAAGACAAAATGTGAAAAACCAAGAAAAGTACTTGATGAAAATAACTGCGTAAACGCAAGCGAGACATAAGTGGAACCACCTATTGGCTGCCCAACCACTATGACCAATAGGCTGAAACAGCTGTCTACCGGTGGCTCTTAAATTGAAATCAATACGGGAATGATCAGAATGGTACTTTTCTATTCATCTTTTGTTTTTATGGAATTATTTTCCAGCAGCTTGACACATAATATTCTACCCTTCCTTTTGTATAAAGTCCGAGAGTGTCAATGAATACGTCAGGAAACTGCTTCTGAACCTGTTGGACATCCTGTACATTTTCCTGATAAATGTCATTATTTGACAGTGACATGACATTACAAATAGAATTGAGTGGAATGTCCCAGATACCAAACTTCGTTATCCAGTCAATCCCTAGTAAATTGAGGTTTTTTATTGGAGTAACGTAGCACTTCCCTGAATATAACTGATTTCTGAACACAATATCAAATTGGAACTCGAACATTAGATTAAGTCGTTGACCACTCACACTTTTGACAATGTTTTCAGTTGAACTACATTGTGATTATCCTAATTTGGACCATGTTTCCTCCGATATGATGGTGATATCTGATGCTGTATCTGTTTGAAGGTTTACTGGAATACCATTAATGACAACTTCAAGGTATTTACGTTCCGCTAACAAATTCACTTGAGAAACTGAATTATTTTTAGTTTGAAACTTGTTTCTCCGTTTCTTGACATTACAGTGTCCTTCTTTGTGCCCTGTCTTTTTGCAGTCATTACAAGTGTGATTGCGAAAATTGCAGTTTTTTGAATAATGCATTCGACCACAGTACCAGCATTGTGTTTTTGGTGAATTCCCATTCATGTGTGAACTGGATTGAGAATTCTGACTTCTCTTCGTTGATGGATACTCATTTTTCTGAGAAACTGCATTAACGACTGGTGTTGTAGATTGCTCAATCATCGCTGTATCGTTCTTAAGATTCAGTATACGTTGACATTCGGAAGTAAGATCTCGAAGTAATAAAGATTCTGAATCTTTTCCATCAAGTTTAGATAGAAGTTCGGTTCTGAAATCTGAATCATTACCAGATTGAAGACCGCATACGAATATCAAACATTTGAATTGATCTGCTGTGATGTTTCTGATGTCAAAATCTTCACAAAATTTATTGACTTTGGATGCATATGCGACAAAATCTTCTCCAGTATTTTCAATGAGTTTCATACAATGATAACAAGTGTTGAAAATTAATGACTCTTTACCAAATAATTCAGTGAGTTTAGACACTGTGTCTTTGAAATTGCTTGATTTCGGTTTTTTCGGCAGAATGAGATTGGCGTACTGCTGATGAACATGTGTGACTAACTTCCTTAGAAGTAATCTGACTTTGGCTGAGTCTGAAAGATTCTGAGCATCTTCAGTAAATAAACTTTCATAACGCTTGTACCATGTAGTGGAATTCAGTTAAGCTGTTGCCTAAAGTTTCCACGCGGAATTCTTCACCGACGTCTCTGGCTGGAACATTTGCTGATGAGAAGTTCTGAGACATTCGTAAAAGGAATTCTTCTTGCTGCTTGATTAGCTGCTGCTGCTGAAGTTGAGCCTGGGTTTGTTGAGTTTTTATAAATTCAAGAATGGTTTTCTGTAACTGATCAGTCATGATGGTTTTCACTTTGATTGGTTTTTATCAAAAATCCTCGTCGCCACTTTTATATTCGTGAAAATATAGTGAAACTCTACGGAACAAAGGAAAACAACTCGTTGGTTTTCAGGGCTGCCAACAGGTATAATTATTATTATTCGCATAGTTCTGTTTACAAATTTCCAAACCATAGCATAAACATCTCCGCAATATTTCAGGCCTCTGCTGAAACAAATAAAAAACTCCGCAGAATCGCATATTGTATTGGACTGTTCCACCCAGAGGATTTACGATGTTTTGAAGCAGGCGCAACAGATAGGGATGATGAGTGATTATCACAGCTATCTTATCACGTCTCTGGTAAGTCCCGCAATCATTTGTTATATTTTAATGGTCACGTGGGGGTGTTTATGACGGGTAAATCACGGTACATTTTTGCAGATAAGCTGCCGGTGTTAACATTCGTTATGCACGAAAACTGAGTGTCAGGGGGGAATTATATTCATCATTGTGAAAACATAACAATGAGATGAATATGTAAATTTTGTTGCAGTGTTGGCCAAAGTAGTTATGGGGTGTTTTTTGTGATGACTGTTTCACAAGATTTTGAAAAGCAATTGGAAATGTAACTCATGATAATATTCCCGAATTTTATAAATTATTCCACTTTGAAATCACTTGTATAATAGTCATTAGAAAAAGTTTGCTTTGGCCAGGTAATTTTCATTGACACCAAACTACACGATTCTTTTTGATCCATTGCGAAAACAATTCAGATGTAGGCTCTGAAATAGTTATGTAAAAGATCTTTTCCCACTCCAATATAATTTTCCCATATCAAACTCCCATCTGAAACATATTCCTTCTAAAAATACTCATTTATTTCACTACTTGGGAGCCGTCTGAGAATTCGCATCCCCATGGGCTTATAACGCTTTTTCTATTTTTTTCACAAAACCCATTTCAACAATATTGCTGCCTATATTAGTTTGCACGGTCCTTTGCTGTTTTCATATCTTCTGGACATAATTTGTGTTGTCCATGAGTTTTTTGCCACTTGTGATCCATAAAATATGGCAAGCTGTCTCAATTCCATTGTTGCATTCCCTGCAACTGAGATCTTCGGTGTATAGCCCTATTTTGTTCAAATGCCCTCTCAATAGACAGTGTCTATTGAGAGGGCATTCTTCTTCATGAAGATTTTTTCGTACGTTTCCGAGTATATTTTCCCAGTACTCTTCATATTCCTCGGTGATCTATTTTCCAATCTGGTTCCATACCAAAGATTTTGGTACCCCCCATGGTCGGTTGCAGGCCTATATATGCGGTTGATGATTCATGTCAGCTCTTTCATTACAATACAGCGGTGCCTGAGGGCTCTGACTACATGCCCAGACGAGTACCGATGACACTTTTGGGCTCATTAGTACCCCAAGTGCAGCCTGGCTGTGAAAACATCATTTTATTGGACTGATACGTACTGACCTAGTGAGTCACTGGAATGAAGGTTTCTCTCGGATGTTTCTGCCTGAGAGGCCTGACATCCAATATACAGTCAATCCATTCCGTTTCGCCAGTTTTGTCAGTTCTTCACTACATGCCTAGACCAGTACCAATGACACTTTTGGGCTCATTAGTACCCCAAGTGCAGCCTGGCTGTGAAAACATTGATCCACAAATGAATATTTCCTGTGCATTGCAAGATTCCAACCCCTTTCGATTTTCATCCCTTCTATATACCAAGTGTTTCTGTCGAGCATTTTCTTGGGATGGATGTTCATTCTCCTGTCTTCATGGTTTGAGATTTCAACCACGAAGCTTGTGTTTGTGTCGATGTTATGAAGTCTGAGAACATGTTTGATATCCGTTTTTCCACATGTTCCGAATTTCATGTTGTGCCCGATCCCATATAACTTCAGTTTTTCAGTTTGAATTCACCCACCCTTGCTTCCCCTATCATTACAAAATGCACAGGAAGAAGATTCAAGGGTGTCTTCATTTCAGTCGTTGGAATGGTTTTCATTCCTCTCGAACTTGCAAGTATTTGCATCATGGTCAATTCGTTAATGGCGGTCGTTTATTTGATCTTTTCCATTAATGCATATGTTTGCAATTCATCATGCCTGGTGTGGCCCCCATATCTTTCCGTAAATGCTACTAGCCAGCAACAGTTCTACCTTTGCCTTTCTTTCACCTCTATCTAGAGTTGGTATCAAATCAGCCTGGAACCTAGTATCACATCACCTCCAGATATTCGACCTTCTCCGACAGATTTATCTCCTCACCTCGAAATTTCAGAGGTCCTAGGCCCCCCGTTTTGAATGTTACTATGGTCGATTTTGTTATGCCCACGTTCATCTCTTCTTCATCGGTTCATCTAGTTATAATATTCAGGACCTGCTGCATGCGTATCTTCAACTGGACTAGAATAACGAAGTAGTGTTCATAGCGTTATGTCATTATGGCCCAAAAGGCGTGGTGACTCGTCCATTACAAGATTCTATGAGAGTGGGGACAAACTCTCCTTGCCACATATGCCGATACTGTCTCTCATGAACGTTGTGTCTACCAATCTTCCTCTAAGCACGTAGTCTATGCACTGCAGCTTGTGTCGTCGATCTTCCTCCTCCTCATCGCCTGGATGATTAATTCTAAGGACATATTATCAAATGCGCCCGACATATTCAAGAAAGCAGCTGAAAGCACTGAGACTGAGACTGATTGGTCTCAAATCATTCGCCGAGTCTGGTCCAATTTTCCAGATTTGGGAATGGAAGTGGCACAAATCAGTCTCCATGTTTCTGGTATGTATCTCAGATACAAACTTTCTTTGAGAATCATGTACAATTTTTCAAGTACAAGTTCTGGAACCTTTTGCAGAATTACTGTGTGAATGTCAACTGGACCCGGTGACATTGGAACGATTTCATGACCCATTTGATTTTCTTCAAATTTTTACCACCAGTTAACACTCCTTCAGCCTACAGTTTTGAATTTGTCCAGGACTCCGATGTGTGAAGTGCCACCGGAGAAGCTCTCTTGTAGTAGTTTATTCTTTTTTTGTGTATTCCCCGGTCCTTTCGAAAGTATCTCATAAAACTGATGCATACTTGGGTCTGCTCGACCTCCTCAAAATGTCTTCTACTTGAGTTCTTAGAGCTGCTTTGTATTTAGTAAGGAATCTTCTGTATGGATTCCAGATAACTGTTTCCATTGTCAAAGGTTTTTCCAGTATTTCGACTCTTTCGTACTAGATATTCATACCACTGGGAAACATTTCTGTTTGATCCATGGTTGATGGTGGGACAATGTGCATTGTACGTAACTCTAATTATATGGAGTCTCTCATCAAAAAACCTATACGGTCTAAAGAACTTTCCAGTTCTGCCTGATAGGCTTTCCAGTTTGTTTTCTGGTTGTTTTGATATGATCTAACCAAGATATTCACAGGACTTACACGGAGTCAACTTGGAAGAGTTCAAATATGGTGGAACCAACATAACAGCTTTCAGACTTGTTGACCCAGATGGTCCGGAAGTTCACCAAATAGTTCGGGATTGGAACTTAGGAACAGATCCAAAGACTAGAAAAGGTGAACCCGTTTACAGGGTATGTATACATTCATTTCAATTGTAACTCTATAGAACTCTTTCAAACTCAAACAATGGAATTTGAAACCTCTATTATTCAGCAAAGCTTTTTGTGAGAGTTAGTTTTGAAATACTGCGATAAAGCTCATTCCAAAAATTTATCAGACGTACCTAACTCAATCTTTCCTTTTTTCTTGGGGTGATTTACATTATCTGAATGAAAATAATCAAAGCACACTGAGAAATTATGATTCATTTTGCAATTCAATTGTCAACAACAACAAAAAAATCATAAAATTCCAAATATGGTAATGAGGAACATCATCAATGTTAGTATTCCTGTTTTAGGAACTTGATGGAAATCCATAAATGCTTAGGGGACGTCCATTAATCACGTGAGGCTTGAATCGTTCATAGATGGTGCTGTTATGATTCGGAATGTCAAAATTATTGATAAACCTAAGATTTCTTTAGTGTATCTGATGTCTGGGAACGAGTTTATTCACCAAATAAGTGGGTTGTTATGTTTTCATCAGTTTGTGAATGAATCAAGCGAAATGCAATTCTCTTCTGTTTTGCATTTTTAACCAATTACGTTGATTGATGGAAGGGGTCACATGATCTCTGTAATTCAAGCTGAATATCAGTCTAATGCAGGCGTTCTGTACTTTCTGAATTATTGCAGAAGTTATGGAATCGATATAAGGGCCATAGACGACATCGCAATAATTAAACAAAGATAGAATCAGTACGTCTGAAAAGGTAATTTTGAGAGACCTACTAAGATAGTGTTTGTTTGAATACAGATGTTTCATATTAACTTGATGAACAAATCTGAGGTTGTAGTCTATATGAAGTCCTAAACATTTTATTTTGTCAGTCAATTTCACAGAATGTCCATCAATATACCAATCGATATTATCTATGACCCTTCCACGATCTTTGGTTTTTCCAAAAATTATGAATCGAAATAACTTATATAGAAATACTTCTCGCTGTCAAATCCTTTTTTTTTGTTTTCATCATATATAAATCGAATTACTGATCGTTTCAAGATCAAAGTTACCTCGCAAGCTAAGCGATCTGTGGATATATTTTTAAACGTTCATGAATTATCAGTAAACATGCAGCTTGCCGTCTACACAGTTCCCAAACTATATTTCTATTTTCACTTTTGTTGAGTTGGCGTAATTTGCTGGTAATTACCGGAGTTACTTGTTGTAGTCGCTCATTATGATGCTTCATGCATATTCAGGATACTAGAACTTTCCTGGTGTGCCATAGAAGGCGAATTAATTTGCTGAACATCAGGCAGCGGATGTTTCTTCTACATTTTGAGAATAAAAAAGAAGACAATTATTATGAGCATGAAAATAACTACATGAATGGAAGGAATAGACGAAGAGAACAAGGTTAAGAAGAAGACATAAATACTCCAAGGAATTATATTTTCAATATGCCACGGATGACAAACTATTCAAATTCACAATTTTTCGAAACAAACGGCAACAAAAGGAGTTAATAAAAAGGCGAATGGAAATATTGACAGTTGATATAGAGATAAGAAAGTGACATACAATTGAAACAGTTTTACAAACGTGCAAAAATCAATTCCGAAAAGTAACATCTTCATACAGGTGTAGAAAGTGTAAACTTTCTAGTTCACCCCGATAAGTTACTGCGTAAAATCAAAGTATTTGTCGCAAAGAAAAATGTTCTATTTATCAGTAACTTGTCATATCTAACAATTTTGCCTATCAACAAAATTGTTAAATAATACAATAGGTACTTATCTTTACATTTCGGAGGCCAAAGTCTGCCTCCGTTTTCAGAAATGGACTAAAAATTCAAAGATATTTGCAGTTATTTTTTTGCTGATTATTTATTTCTCAACGTCTTCGACAGATGTCAAAGGAGTTTTGAAATGTTAATTATGCCAGTGTTGTTGATTGACTACTGAAACATTCGATGTAATACAAGGTGTTCTCCGATATCAGACTTGGCTACCCGTCTTGGATAGTGACGAAATGGACAGTCTGATATCGAAACAGTCTGATATCGGAGAGCACCTTGTATTACATCGAATGTTTCAGTAGTCAATCAACAACACTGACATAATTCCATCGATAAATTAAAGAAAAAGTCAATATTGTAACAAACTAAAGAATTGACTGTCTTAAACAAATTTATTTCTAACAACATTTCACTAATCACAAACTAATTTATCTACAACACTTGAGCAACTAACACTTAATTCATTTCCACTATTTGAATTCCTTGTTTAACCGCTCAATTCACTTTCTGAACTCAACTTCCCTCTTGGGTCGAGAAGCCATGTGTTTGTTCGCTGGCCGACATATCGGTCAGATAAAAAAATTGTTTGTCAAAAAAATCTCAAAATCTAGCTACTTTAACGTCATCTAGCATTCCAGTAATGAAGTTTCAATCCTTAGTACCGTAATACCGTCGCACTGTATTATTCACAGTCATGACAATATCCAATCTAATCCAATTGACTATAGTTTCAGCTGTTTGGATTTTTCTATATTTATTGTTAATTTCTTCTGTCACTCGCGAACTAAGCCGCGGGTAAAAGCTAGTATTTAATAAATACAGTGTGTAACAACGAAAACTCAACAGAACAGTCTTTGAATATAAAAAGTAAGATTTTTGAAAAAAGCTCGGACACGTCGATTTCTAATTGAAGGGGGACACCTTTCAGACTAATCAGATTTTTTGTAGTACGCACCCCCTCAGTAGTGTAAGGCATTTTTAAACAAATAACAATACACGACCCGTTTAAACAAAACAATCGAACGATGTACTAATGAAAACTGGAAGAAGAGGAGTGTGTATTGATTTTAAAAAAGGGATTTCATTTAACAAAAAACTGATAAGAAGAACTGCTCGAAAATTTTGTCATTTAGGCATGCAAGTTACCGTTGTGGTCTGTCTAATGTATCATTAACATGGCAATTTTAACTTCAAATTATCTCGAAAACTACTCGTTACAAAAATTTTCTTTTAACAGAGATGTAAAGGTATTTGAAAGACCTTTAAAACAAGGTGCCACTCGACCTACTTTCCCTATCTAAATAAGGGTCGTCGGACGCATCCCTCCGAGGGGGTGCGTACTACAAAAAATCTGATTAGTCTGAAAGGTGTCCCCCTTTAATTAGAAATCGACGTGTCCGAGCTCTTTTTAAAAATCTTACTTTTTATATTCAAAAACGGCTCTGTTAAGTTTTCGTTGTTACACACTGTATAGCGTTAATGTGTTACAAACACAAGACATATTTGTAGTAGAGCCGATACTATCACATTGCTCAGATCAATGAAACTGTTCAATAGTAATAAAGGGCTAGGGTCATTGCCGGAAGTAATCAAGGTCACTTATAAGTACTTTTTTGAATAATTGGTCATTTATTTGATATCCACAACTAAGAATTGTCGGTTTCTTTTTATTTGTGATGAATGATATGTGTCCTAATCAGGTATGTAGCTGAATACTACCAGTGAATTTCTCATATTGGTTTTTGAAGTTTCCGCTTAGTGGGAGAAAAATCTCAAACAATAAGAAGGGGCAGTATATATCTAAATGAACAGATTCTTTAAACTACAACAATATATATCTACTGAAAACTCTCAGTGATTCTGAATATTTTGCGGAAATGTTCTGGATTTCTTCCTCGCCACAAATAGCCCAACAATTTCGCGTTGGATAAATGCAATGTCAAACCCTAACGTTCCGCAATCTGTTCCCCGAAGAATATATTGTCAACTTCAAGTTTGGTTTATTGGTCTCATCTGAACGTCTAGTCGGAGGTCTCAAAAGATATTATGAGTAATGTCTTGGAAGCCGAATTCGTGCTGTGAATTGTAATAGCTTGAACCCGTGTTCCGTGATATTCATTCTGAAGGCTGCCATTTTTTGAATTAATGTGAACTCATGTTGTAAACTACAGAAGGACCGAAGCATCTCACGGAAGAACGAACTGACGTCGTATGAATCACTGATGCTTGGTTGGGCGGAGGCTGCATGTCTATTCGAGATAAGGAGAAGTTATATCCTAACAATATATGAGGAACTCGAGGTTAGGTTTTGTAGTATTACATAAACATACAGTGCTAGTCAAAAGTCCCCTCCCCCCCTCGTATCTTTTGAACGGGTATACTTCTNCACTTGTTTGCCAAAGCACTGCACGACCTGGATACCAGCCAACAAATTGACATCAAGCCTCTCAGTTGCGATGCGGTTGACTTCTGGCCGCATGGATACAGCCTCATCAATTATATGAAAGTTGTAAGTATTAGTTTCTGATCACGAGCATTGAGACGTAAACGTGTCCCTTGAAGCGTAGCTTGGAAATCCACATTCAGGAAGAGTAGAGTAGAGTACTTTTTTTGACCATTTCACATTTTTTTATGACTAATCGGGTGCGGTTAATTCAAATTACGGAGCGATTCGACCTTCAATTGTGAATTATGTGGTGGCATGTTGGATAATTCGCAGCTTCGATGGCATTGCAAATTGTATCTACGCTCGATGGTTACACAATGACAGTGGCCGAAACTGTTTAGGCAGTGAGAGAAGGCTCATTGTGTGTATGAGAGAGAGAGTGGAGACCGGCTTCGTTCTCATCTCTACTCCGTGTTGTTTACTGAGTGAGAAATGACACCGGTAGACGCCTGGCGGGAATAAACTGATCTATGATTAGGGTTGAAAATTAATAAATTACTAAAATGACTCCTAAAAATGGTGATAGAAAGGTAAAAATTGAGGGTCATATGTATTTTTCAATGCTACAGCATAAAAAATGAAAACAAAACTTTTTCTTTTAAATGTTTGGGCTGGAACAGCCTTATCACTTTGGGGATATGAAAAATAGGATGAAACCTATTCTCAGATCTACCGAATATACATATAAAATTTTATGAAAATCGGTTAAGCCGTTTCCGAGGAGTATATGGCATCTAACACTTTCAGAAGTTAAGGACCCTGCCACATCAATATATTCCTCAATGTTATAAAAACAGTGGTGAAGAAGAAACTTTCTTAAGAGTGGATTTACATTTTTCAAGGCTCAGTGACTTCAGAGACAGTGAAGATGATTATACAAATCTAAGTTAGGTGATTTTTTTTTACTCATTGTTAATTTATGTCTGGGCAAGTTTAAGGTATGTCAAATTCATCAAAGTTTTCATGAATCTCTAGTGAAACTTCATAGATATATAATGTTGGAAGTGGCATAATGCAAAGTTGAATAAAAAAAAGGACGATAGTGCTCCTTGTAACCTGCTTCGGCAGCGTATTAGCAGCAAACCAATTATGTGCTAATGTTTCGCTATCTCGCGTCATTACTTTTAAGCTGATTGAGTCTTTGCTAGAACATAATGAAGTGGTATCATCTGCAAACAAAGTACATCTTGCTGGTTTTATAAAACTGCATAGAACATTAATATACATCCAGAATAATAGTGGTCCTCAAACGGAGCCCTGAGGAACGTCATGCCTCATTTCTTTCAGGTCTGACTCTATGTTGTTCACTTCAACATATTGATACCTATCCATGAGATAAGTCTGGACGAACTTGAGTGCTACGCCCCCGACATCATAGTAACTCAATCAATCAATCAAGGTAGTATGCGATACACAATCAAAAGCCTTTGTATAGTCACATAGAGTCAAAGAAGAGTTCATTTCCTTATCAATACCTTCGACTACGTTGGACACTAGATTGTAGACTGCTTAAGTAGTAGACCTATTACTCAGAAAACTGTTGAAGTAGAACCGTTTTTCGAAGTGAGAATGAAAAAGATTTTCCAAAAGTATCTCAAGTACTACACCAGTTATAGATATTCTGCTAAATGGACGGTAATTATCAGGTGGAGATTTACAACATCTTTCAAAAAAGGTATCACTTTATAAATTTCAAAAACCATCAGGAAATATTCCCTTTAGATAAATTTCGTTAATTAATGACGAAAGTTTCTCCTAACTAGTTGTTTTTATCCCCTGAAAGAAATCAATGAATTTTTATAAGTGTTTTTATTTTTAATGTGCCATATGTTTTTGGAAAAAAACTGTTTGGCTTTCACTTCTATATTCATAATTAAGTTCAAAATGAATCCTCCACAAAGAGTATAGATCATGCACAAAAGTTACTTTCACATACAAACTGAAAGAAAAAACCCTTCCGAAATAACTAATTCCACATGAGCATTGAACTGTATAAAAAGAAAGGTACTTTCAAAACTACTATTTTCATACGAAAATAATTTTTTCTATTCAATTCGTAGTTCAAACAACCGTAACGAATAGACATAAATCAGCATGAATCAAAAATCAACCATATATTTACGATATATAATAATTAGTTTTTGAAGATATCAACAAATCACTCAGAAATCACTGGAGAAATCGACGTAATCTCCTCCCGAGTTTCGAGCGTGAAAAATACATATTTCCTTTTCTTCTGTTCATTATCCTCAAATTTACAACCAGCTTTCCACAAATCTGGCGGGCTTTCTACGAGCAAGAGATGATATTAACAGATAATCAGGATTGGTTCCAGCCAGCCATATATTCTCGAAGGTGGTATTATCTGGGAGAGCTGTTGGGAAAGAAAATTCCAATCGAAATAAATTCCTTTTATGGGATGATGGTTGAAGGCAGATAAAATGTGAAACAAAAAACCAATAATGTTGTTGCTTATGGAGTTTTTGGATAAGTAGGATAATATTTGTGTAATGTCCCTTGTTCAGTTTCAATTTATTGCTTGATTATATATAGTATAGTATAGTTATAATTTCACGCACTGATTCCGCAAACGAACAAAATCACTTGGAATACAAACAGGGTGCATCAAGAAAAGACTTTTGATATTCCGGGATGACGAAGAGGATTGAAATATTTTGCACTATCTGGATGCTGGAAAAACGTACCCTTCCGGTGTGAACAACATCATTCCTAAGAAGTAATGACGCGGCAAACTCCGATAGATCTGGTCATCAGAACTCTCGAAAAAAAACAAAGTTGCTGTCACAAATAATGTTGCCGTTGGGATCATACTCTTTTGGAGTAATGAAGTGGTTGGGTTAGATCTTAAGTGAGTGGGTATATTCGACCCTCCACCGCAACCCGTAAGGGTTTATTGTGGCTCACGCCCATTCACACTCGACCAAATAAACACAGCTTCTCAACGAAGCCGATTTGTTTGTATGGTGAGTGGTCTTTCAGCTCAGATGGTAAGAGTACAGCTCTGCCGAAGTAGATCTAGAAGGATATCCATGGCCGCTGACAGTGTGGTACTGATGGCACCACTGACAGCCAGACTAGCCTGTCTCTGTAAGCCATAGAGCTTCGCCTGGACCATTTTCTGTGAAGCCTTCGGCCTCCAGGCAATTGCACCATAAGTGATTTGGTCTGACAATCATCACATAAATCCAATGGATAGTGTTTGGGACCTAAATCCCAAGTTTCACCACAAATCCTTCGACATGTCCACAGAGACAGTCTGGCTTTGTGTAAAACTTTTTCCAAGTGAGCGTTCCAAGTGAGTCTTTTATCGAGGACAATGCCAAGATGTTTCATCTCCGTTCCAAATGGAATGACCTCACCATTGAGGGAAAGTGGCGTTAGATCGTCCAATTTCCTTCTCCTGGTGAAGGGAATTATCACAGTTTTGCTGGGGGTGGCAGACATCTACTCCCTCAGGCAGCAACTGTGAACAACGTCCAACGTGCTTTGAAGGATATGACAAGCTACCCTTCTCGACGTGGACCTTGCCAAGATGACAAGTTCGTCTGCATAAGCTTGCGGATCTACTTTTCTTCTGTCGAGGGCATCAAGCAGACTATCCGTCAGGGGAGATAGTGAAGTGAACTCGAGGGGAGCTATAGCAACTCGATTTAAAAATCGTCCGTTTCACGGTTGTATTTCCCCGACAATATTAAGGCTGCGGACTTTTAATTTTGGAGTGTCTACATGACAGAATGGTTACAAGTGGAGCCTGTTGAGTAATTAGGAGTTTGGATCGTCTCCCCTGCATAGCCCGTGACCATGGACGAGTAGAAGTCGAAGAATTTTTCTTCAAGGCAGCTACCCGAGCGAACGATGAACTTAGCTTGTAGTTCGGCACTGGAAGGAATGGATAGAACTTCGATAGCGATATGAAACCCATTCAACGAAAACCGTACCTGATAGAGATCAGTTTTCTTCATGAGGATGTGCCAATGCACTAGGTTATTTTCAAGAATATGGAGGACCTTGACTCTTCAAAGAACTTGACTTTTCTCAGCTCAAGTGAGGGAATTGTTTTTGATATATTGTTTTGAAAATAGCAAAAGTAATATCACTCTTAGCACAATAAACTCATGAATAGAATATCAAGAAATGTTAACTGTTTTCTTTTTGAAGTTAGTAGTAACTGAAAATGTGGACAAAACTTTGGTGTCGGATAGATCAGGAGTATATAAGCTGACTTGTGAACCTTTCGTCATCGTATTGTTTCAGGTGGAGATGAAGGGCTTAACAGGAGTTATCAAATTTGACCATCAAGGTTTCAGGAGCGACTTCGTCCTGGAGATCATCGAGTTGAGTCGCGAAGGGCTCAAGAAAATCGGCACTTGGAATTCGACAGAAGGGGTCAATTTCACTAGGACCTACGGTGAAGCTTACACGCAAATCGTGGAGATAATCCAAAATAAGACATTCATTGTTACAACACTTCTGGTAAGCAACAACAAAAACTATAAAGAGCTGTAGAAGATGTAACTCGTCTGTAGTGTGTACACGGAGATTTGATTCAGTATAAATATTGTAACTGAACTGAAGGGGATGATATTGACAATGCCGAGATTATTGTTTATTGAAAATGTTTTGGTTTGAGTAGAACTCAAACTGCACAATTTCAAAGAGTGCTCATTTCGATAAATTTAAATGAGTAGTAACTGAAATATTGTGGTTCAAAGTTGGCTCATAAAAATGGACAAAACTTTTGAGACCAATATTTTCATTTGACATTTTTAACGTATAGGTCGTTATGGAAAAGAAGTGGCTGACAATGTATTGATTTTCATATAAAAACATGTTCTTTGAATACTGAATTTGACGTGTTTCACAATTTTTTCACAGTCTCAATATCAAAAGAGTCATTCAGGGTGACCAGCTTTTCATCAATCTTTTCAAAATGTGAAGTTCTACGTGAAAATTATAATCGATCTCAACTTCAGCACTTTGCAAACAAGAAAATCCATCCCAAATTGGGGTCTTCATTTATTCAGTGCAATCCACAATCGAAAGATTTCCCGAGGGAAATAAAAACGCTTTTTTCGCTGTAACTCACAACATAAACAAGTCTGCAAGGCCTTCTCCCAATTTGCATGCATACTCTTGCATAAAATTAGCTTGATTTCGAAAGCTTCAAACTCTTGTTTGCTCTGACTCGATTCTCGTTCGTTGGAAATCCGACGGAAATCGTTTGCTGAAGTGATGAGATTATCAGTTTAGTCAACTATCTCTGTTAGTTTTATTTATTCAGATTTGCGAAGTTTCAGCTAACATTATGAGTATCACAAGCTTATATTCAACTGGTTTGTATATATGTACGTGTATATCGAATCTTGGAACTGAATTTTGAAGCAGCTATGATGCTCGATTGGCTAAGTGACGTCATTCACTGAGATATTATTATAGTAGAGTGATAAAACGGACGAAACTTTTGAAACAACCTATATTTTCATTTGGCATTTTTGACGTATACAGCGTGACTCACGGTCGATGGTAGGTTAGACGTTCCTGGAAAACGCAAAGCATGATTTTTCTGAAAATTTCACTTCTCACACTTCCTTACCTGTTTTATCGATCTAAAATATTTTCAGCATTGCGGCGGTGCCACTTCTATTGTAGACTTTGGTCATTAGCGCCAATATGGCATCATTCGTATTCTTGCGTTTTTGAAATCCGAATTGATCCTCGCTTAGTATGTTGTTTCGGCATAAAAACCTTAACAACCTTTCCTGCACCAATTTCTCGATTATTTTGGCCAGGGTGGGAATTAGAGTTATAGGCCTAAAGCTCGATGGGTCGCTACTGTTCCCACCTTTATGAATTGGGACTACAATGGAAATTTTTAAAAACTCTGGGAAGAGGCCCAGATTGAAGGATCGGTTGACAGATTTTCAATATGTCTGCAAATAAAGAAGATATAGGCAAAAAAATAATTTGGGATTTTTTTGGTTTTTCCTGTATATCTTCAGAACAAAAAGAGCTATATTCGATTTCTTTACATAATTGAATAGGTCTCTAAAATACGTAAATTTGCTATAATTTAACCGACACTCTATCTCTTATCGTTTACGAGATCCCCGTGTACAGAAACGAATTTGAATAGCCCTGTATCTTGGCACAATCATGTTGTTGGAATTGCAAAGGGAGCTTGGAACACTGTTCCGAACCAGAAAACTGTACACAGCTCAGCTCCAAAAAAGCTCAAATCAGAGCTTCTTTGAAGCTGGAGCTGGAGCTGGTTCTCATGTATGGAGCTCTGTCCCCAAACATACCCTGAGGTTGCTGGATTCCTTCCAGAAAAGAACCATCCAACTGATTGGAGACGCGAACATTTCTTGCAACCTGTTTAGTCTGGAACATCGAAGAAAGGTTGGGAATTTGTCCCGCTTCTATAGATATCCCACGGGAAGTGTTCAAGTGGCACATTTGATTCCACCAAGAGCGGTACATGTGCGGACTGTGGCTGCTCATCGTTTCGAGGTCCAACTCAGTACACCTCGAACTCCACTGTTCGAAAACTCTTCCATTTGGAGAACTGCGATTATGTGGAATAAACTTCCTGGGAACGTATTTCCAAATGGATTTAATCTCCAGCGATTCAATTCCAATGTGATCTGCTACTTCAGCACAGGCACCGCTCTTAGAGATCCTTCAGGATTTTTCTGTAATGCTTGTGTTTTGTCCCTAAAAAAATCAGATCTTTCAATTCCTCCAAGTTCTTTTTTGAAATAAGAAAACAACAACGCTAAATCATTTTCAGAGAAACACCGATATCTTATTAGGCCTCCCCTTATATGTGAAAGTTTCAGAGTTATTTGCTTGTGGCTGGGGGATGAAGTCGAAAATGCCGAAATAGTGTGTCCTCCTTCATTGAAATTCAACAAAACCCAGCTTTCTTTCAAAAATTTCAACACAGGTTCTACTAAGCGCTTTGTATCGTTTTCCTTTGGCCACCCTGTTCATCGTGGAAGAAAATTTGTGGTATATCGTTGCCTCTGGGGTTTCCTTGAATGGGAAAAATGAAAAATATTCCACCCGCACGACATTTTTCGTTCTCGAATCAACCGTTCTTTTGTTCTCCGTGCCTACAACAATAATCGTCCCGCAGCTCTTGTTCAATGTTTTACGGCCATAGCCTCCTTCAACATCGTATTCAATTTTCAGAGCTCCCCCTACGTGATGCGGAAAGAGGCGAGCGAGAAACTAACCGGCAACGCGCAGTTTGAGGGATACGCAGTCGATTTGATCCACGAAATATCCAGAGTGCTGGGATTCAATTACACGATCAGGCTTGTACCGGATGGTCGATACGGCTCGCTTAATAGAGAGACAAAGGAGTGGGACGGACTCATCAGGGAGTTGTTGGACCAGAGAGCAGACCTCGCCATCGCTGATTTGACTATCACTTACGACAGGTAGTAGGGGTAGATATTTGGCTATTGTTGAAAATGACATCAAGAAGTGATTCAGAAATCACAAGTGATGAAACTGTTCTATCAGATCTAAAATTATTGCGGAAACTATATTGAAAACATTTTCTGTTTGAAAAATATGGAACTTCTCCATCTTGTTCATCACTTCCAAGTCTCAGAAAAACGCTGCAGCCTTGAGGGCTAAGTGGGCTCATTAATAAACTACTCTAGTGATCCAGTGACTCATTTCCAAAACGGTTGTGTGGTAACAGGATCAATTTTCCTTAGAAAAACAATTGCTTTCTTGCCAACGTATTAATTGAAGTTTTATTCAGGAATCTGTAACAACGAGTTTTTATGTCGTACCTTCCAATATTTCAGAACTCAGAAGTATAACTCATTTTGAAAAACACCAGACATATTAGATAGATACATAATGAAGAATACTGTGATGATGAAACAAACAAATAGCTTTGAATATAATTTTAATGAAGAAAGAATGAGGATAGAAAAAAATTTTTCGGTATTCAACGTTCTCTTCGGGCTCCTGTTCAGAACAAGTTGAAGTTGCAATATAAGCTGCACTAATAGACGAAGGACGAATCTCATCTATGTGTTCTGAAACTCATGTTTTGAGATAACGTCAGGTTTGACAAACATATCATTTGGGACAATTTCCATAGTTCAATTTGCACACTTTTTCAATTTGAAATTTTTTTTCTACCAAAAGCAATGCTTTATTAACACACGAAATTCTTTTCAATCCATTTTCTTCAAACTAACCAAAGTAACGTCAGCCAAAATGTTCTATCTCTCAAACTAATAATCCGACAGCTGTGAAATTTGTACACATGTCTTTTCAAGGCATTTGTATTTTAGCCTACGAAGTTTTCAGCTCAGTAAATGAGGAATCAAATCAATGAACCAAATCCAATAAACCTTGCATTAGCATAGATAAGTGAAATGATGGTAATATGATTGTTTTTGAACTATCTACTACTGAAACCCTTACTTCGACTGGTTTAAACATGCTAAAAATCTAAACTGTTGTCAGAAATAATTTCACGAATATTCCATTTCACTTTTGTGAAACGGAATCTATCGCATTCTAACATTATCATCGCGTTTGCCTTACAGAAACCATTCAGGGATCATCGGTGTGACGTCACGGTATGTTACTGAAATTGTGCCAGTGGCGGTTCATTCACTCGTTCACATTTTTGCCATGGGCGTAACAATAATAATGGAAGCTAGTAATCTGAACATTCGAAGGGAATCAGGAAATGAATCATATTAGCGAAATGAAGCTGATCGAAACCATAGATGATAAGAAATATTTCTGGTGTGCTGGCATATATAATGATCCAAGCTGATGGATAATTCATTTGGGTGTAATTCGAGTTTCAGGAACAAGAAAATAATATATTTCAAAAGCTGACTCCACATCTTTTATATGAGGTTAGATTATATATTTTCTATTAGATTATAGTTAAAAATAGATAGAACTAGGTGAAGAATGAAAAACTGATAATTTGCAAAACTTTTTTTCGTTCATAACAATTACACCAATTTCTTATCGTACAACATCCGTCTTAAGTAGTTATATAAAAGTTAATAATGTCCAGGCCTTCCCTAGTATATTATACGTACAGTTCATAAATATTTGTTTTCATAACAAAAATGTCAGAAAAACAAGCACTCATATAATGTTCAATAGTTTTCTTTCGGTAAACTCATCTACTTTCTCTCGTTAATATTCAAATAGCTGCAATCAAACGACAACGCTGAAGCTTTACTACGGTCCTTTGTCTTCAAGATGATGTAAAAAATCCATCAAACTGATTACTGTCATAACTTGAGTGGGTAGAAAGTTTTTTATGACGCTATAAAAGTATTATGGAGCTGAATAATCTCATAAGGCAACTGGGTTCCATTATTTTATCAGTTCAAATATAGGTGAATTCCATATCAAAACTCTATTACTAAAACAAAGTCGATGCTGTATAAGTCAGGTATTCACAGTTACCAATCTCCTAAAAGCATATTTAGGTTTATACTAAGTATAAGATGGGAAGCTACCAGTTTTGGAAATTCAAACGTAACGAAGCTATTCAAAAAGTGGAAATGAAAATAACACCGGAAGAAAATCTTCCATGAAAAGGGGTAATGTCTTATTGACTTGTGTATGGGGTTGGATTCTCCTCACACAACTCAGCAACGTAAATTTCCGCTTGAAATACAGTCGCAAAGGTTCCTAGGCAAGTTGATATATCTGTCCGGGGTCTGCGACTGAAAACTCCTGCACCAGACCGAAAGGTGTTTTTGATCCATCTGTGAACCATCAACTATCTGCTTCTTATATTTTCTTCTCCCGGTAGGGAAGAATTCAAAACAAGCCTTCTTTGCAAACACCAGAACTCCAACATCCTTTTCGACGCGTGTTCCACCAATCAAGTTGGCGTCATTGGTGGTCCCGAAGAGTGTTGCAAATATGTCTAGTCTATCCTCGTCGTCTATGATAATGTCTGCCAAAGTAGTAGGCGAAATATCGGACATAAAAACCTGCAGACCATGGCAAAAAATCCCGGAAAAAAGCTTTCATAAGCTTATTTCCGCCCGTGGAAGTTTACATTCCCAACTCATGATGTGTTTAGCATCCAAAATTTTCAAATTGGTTTCTTATGTTGATGATTATTTGAGTAAAATGTATGTAATAATACATGTATATATGTAACTAGTACTCAGTTGCTGTATCGCTGCTGTTTCAATGTTTTGACAGAATCAGAATCAACAAACTGCGTGCGCAGCGTTATAGAACAGTGCTTTCAAAAAATTGTTCTACAGCGCCATCTAGTGGCGAGTTACAGAAAAATTGATAGCCTAAAAGCCTTCTCTATGGAAAATTACTTATACATGTCAAGTTTCATCACGATCGGTTGAGCGATGTAGTTGGTTGTACCAACCAACCTTTCTAAATGTTCAATATGCGAAGAAGGACGTAGTGAAACCATATAACATGATTATATAGGAATGTAGGCTTTTATGGCTGGCGTCAAGGTTTTGCTTACCCCAAACCGCGCGTACTTCCCTTGCTTTCAATTCTCTATATTTGTGGTGATAGTTGAATGCTGATGAACTTTCTGTTCGCAGGGAACAAGCTGTAGATTTCACCATGCCATTTATGAATCTTGGCATAAGCATCCTCTACAGGAAACCCATCAAGCAGCCACCTAATTTGTTTTCGTTTTTGTCGCCGTTGTCGCTGGATGTTTGGATTTACATGGCAACAGCCTATTTGGGAGTCTCCGTTTTGTTGTTTATCCTGGCAAGGTAAGATATGACTGTTCATACAGAAGAATTCATTTAGAAAAAGACATATTTCATAATAAGGATTCAAAGAGCCTCTTTGGAACCCCAGTCAGTTCCTATGACTTACTTCATAGCCAGCAACTTTCATTTCATTTTACTGTTTGTACTGTATACTGATTCATAATATCTTCAAAGTTGATTTGTTCAGCTCTTCGCTAGAATCATTTTTGAGCTCTCTTCCATTACATTTTCAATTTTACTAGTATTTTATTCTCCTTGTCTGTTTTATTGAAGAACGCCTCTTGCTGGTATGGTTGGCATTTAGCTCTGTGAAAATCCTCAGCTATCCCATATATTCCGAGGTACGGTTTTTGACATTTTATTTCCTAGAAGTTGATTTCAATTCCACTCTAATCATCTTTCCGTCATCTTCCAAACAAACTTCAGCTCTACTGTCTAACTCCTTCCTAGATTTTTATCATCTCTCGATATTCTCTTTCCTGTAGTTCTGATATGTTTGATGTTCCTAGTTTCTCGATAACTATATCGTGTTTCAACTATGGACAGAAAACCAAACATGCATATCTCATAGAGTTCAACAACCATTTCCTTCAGCCAGTATTCACCATGTTTGATTTAATTCTCTATTACTTCTCCTAGGTGTGTTAGCCTTCCTTTTCACCCTGTTAATATCCCAGTAGGAAGATTATTCATCTATGCTGACGACACTACAGCTATTGTATAGGCAAAGACAATGGATGACATCAGACCTGAATAAAAGAACCAAAAAATAAACAACATATCGATATCCATCAAGTCCATATTATCAACATTACTTCTCATTACTTCTCAAACAGATCGTATCACATTTTTTTTAATGGATCGCCCTATATTTCGCATTATCAGATGCTCCATGATGAACAGATTTCAACAAAGTATAAAACAGATGGTCTGAAGCTTATGGTTTGGGTGTTTTTGTTACTAGTGAGGGTCATATGTCACCATTAGAAGAAACTACAAACCATCTTCAACTTTCCAGATATTCCTCTGCATAAGTTCAATTCCCCGGACAAATCTAAACGAAAAAACCTCAGCTTATTTCACGTTTAATTTTCCTAGGTTCACCCCGTACGAATGGCAGAACCCGCACCCTTGCAATCCGAACCCCGACCACTTAGAGAACCAGTTCACGCTGTTCAACTGCATGTGGTTCGCCATCGGCTCCCTCATGCAGCAAGGATGCGACTTCCTACCCAAGTAAGCATAGAAAGTACACTTGAAAGTCTGTTCTGTGGTTGCAGGTTCAGCCCCTATGAGTGGGACAACCCGCACCCATGTGACAGCGAACCGATCGTTCTGGAGAACCAGTTTACCCTAATGAATTCCTTGTGGTTCACCATCGGGTCCCTGATGCAGCAAGGCTCCGACATTGCCCCAAAGTAAGTTAGTTTCGGTGTTTTCCGTTCCGTCATCTGTTGGCGTGTCGTAGTTTTGCTGGATCAGTTTCTGAAACACAATTGATCAGATTATTGAAAGATGTGGGTATAAAAGTAGTACTGATGACTTCCTGCTTCTGAAGTAGGTATATGAAGTTATTATTGTATACAGGGCAGTCCAACGAAAACTTGATACATCAAAGTAGACATTGATATCAGATTGTTTTCATTCGCATTATATCTGTTTCAATTTCCTTTGTAAACAAATCTAAAGAAACGAACTTTAAATGTTCAGGCCAGTATCGGATATACCCACACAGTAGGTTGATAGGACTGACGCCTACCAGAAAACAACTACTCCCCTGGCTAATACCACGAAGGGCGTTGAATTATATCCAACAGGTGTCAGTGCAGGATTCTTCACAGAAGTTATTCCTACATATGCTGTTAGCGATACAACTGCCGCAATAGATTTTCAATTAATGGAACACACTTGCAGACAGGTTTCGGGCCTTCTGGCCACTCGTCAGTGCAAGGTAGTGTATATCATCAACATAAAGTCGATGATTTCCGATGATTGAAAATCGAATTCCGTCAGAGTATCATTCCTCGAACTAAGCTGAAGCATACAATAAACAACAGGTTTGTCGTCGCCCCATCTGCCTGTGAACGAGTTAACCAACTGCATATCCGAAATTTGCCCAATTCCTCGTATAAGGAAAGAAAACTTTCACATAAAGTCAGGGGAGTAGTTGTTTTCTGATAGGTGTCAGTCCATTAACCTACTGTGTAGGGTGTTAAGACTGGCCTGAACGAATTGTTCTTAGATACTTTAATGTTATTCAACTTCAATTATGGATATATGCACATATGGTAGTTAATAAAATTCATCTCAGTAATGTCTTAACAGTAATGTCTTAAATGCTTCTTTGAAACGACTTTGGCTCAATTTTTCCAATTCAGAAGGGATATTATTATATACTTTTGCAATCTAATAAAGGGGGAGTTAATGTTCCCTTGAACCTAATGTTCAAGTTGTGCATGGATCTCGTTTCTTTCAATTTATGTGAAATCCTTTGGTCCCTCCTTATTCCATGTAATAGTCGAAAACAGGAGTTCTGTACTTTCTAGATTTTGTGTTAATAATTTGTGGTTAGATTCGGGTGATATAAGATATCTGAATAATTGAATGAGAAAAGAACCAAGGTCCTCACATAAACTAACTGTATTGAGGTGGGAAGAAAATGTATGTTTCCATATATCATTTTTCTAGAAGAATATGCTCGTTAAATCAGTTTTTTATGTGTTTTTCAAATCTTGAATTTGAGCCTAACAAGACACCAAAGGCGTTTTCATTCATTCTCTATTTCTAGTCGAGGAATTGAAAGATACCTGTGTTGTACTATTATCAAAATGCACATGCTTCAGGAAACTTTTTTATTATGAAACACGTGTTGCGATTCCGTAGTGTTCAGTGAAATTCTCACAATGAAGAGTAATTTGAATACGGTCCATTTTGTGAACCCCATATTTTTCACTGAATGTGAAAAACACACCTTTACTTTGATAATATGTTTCCCGACGACAAAGCTTGCAGTCACATAATTCCATAAATCTGATAAATCGTTAAATGAAACTCAAACGCTACTTTACAGTAAATACCCTTGAGAGCCAATCTATGCACGTACAATCTTTCCGTTAAAAACTATCGAAACCCTCCCAGATATACATCCCAGCTGAGGAAATAATACTAAATCATTTCCAGGGCGGTTTCAACTAGAATGGTGGCAGGAATGTGGTGGTTTTTCACGCTGATAATGATATCGTCATATACGGCCAACTTGGCAGCGTTTCTCACCGTGGAAAGAATGGATTCGCCCATAGAAACGGCCGAAGACTTGGCAAAACAAACAAAAATTAAATATGGAGCGCTAAGAGGTGGTTCAACTGCCGCCTTCTTTCGGGTGAGTATGCTCTGTTAACAGAGTTAAAAAGTATGTTAATGGCCGTCAGAACGACGGGAAAGGCTGTGAAGTTTTTAGACCGGCATTTTTGGGTTAACATATAATCATTCTTAATGTCTTTTTTACTCGAAGATAAGTGTGGAAGGTTTTGGTAGATGGGTAACTGGCCTGTTTTTTATTGAGGATAATTGGTTTCTTTCAACTGTTAACGAATAACTTCAGTAATGAAGGAGTAGAAATGCAGAAAATACCATCATTACTTTCATTCGGAAAGTGACCGTTTCTAAAGGACTCATACTGAGGATTATACACGGTGTCTCTCAATAACTTACTAATATTTGGGAAGATTACTTCTAGATCTATTTTGAAGAAAGACTTTATAATAATAATAGTAGAATTTATTCATCAATAAAAAATCAAGCAAGACGTCATACATACAAGCGTGTATAAAACTTATTGGACTAGTCAAAGAAAGGAAGTATTCACAAATAAATCGTTAAAATACTGTGAAATTGCAAAACAAACCAAAAAATCATACGAGCAATAGTCAGTTTCCTAATAGTGACGTAAAATTGTTCAACATTAAAAATTACTTTTTCAAGAAGGACATTCCTCAATTCAATTCTCAAAAGAATAGCATTCAGATTCACAGCTATTATATCTCGTTTAATACCAATATGCTTTGATGAATTTTCAAACTGATAACTGATTCTTTCTTCATTCCTAGTACTAGGTATAGAAGTGTCATCAGTTCATTTTGGTTTATTTCAATTTAGGAGATTCACACTGTATATGTCACGAGATTATTCTTGCAGATAATTCTTGTTCATCCAAGCTGAAATCAGTCGAGTAGATCATCTATAGAATGGTTTCGAGGTATTACCTTTTATTATTACAGGGCCAAACAGCAGTGTGCTTGGGAACTTCAAAGGGGCACGACTGTACGTATGAAACCTTTGCCTCTGAGAAAAATTGTTTTCTGTAAAGCCTCCAGCCACCAGGAAATTGCATCATAAGTAATCATTGGTCTGACAATCATCACATAAATCTAATGGATTTGTTTGGGATCTAAACCCACAAATCCTTCGACATGTCCATAGGGACAGTCTGGCTACGTGTAAAACTTTTTCCAAGTGAGTGTTCCAGGTGAATTTTTTATCAATATGTCAAGATATTCCACCTAAATGGAATGATCTCATCATTGAAGGAAAGTAGCGTTAGATCTTCCAATTTTCTCCTCCTGGATATAATAGGGTAGTTGCTCTTTATTGAATTTTCATGATCTATTTCAAAGAACTTTATACTGAAATATCTTCACAGTTTTACCCAATTTCTCCGAAAGTACTGAGGAGAAAGGTCAGGTATTTTTGAAGAAGTAGCTAAACGACCATTTCCCAAACTTTCAGGAGTTGTTTTCACCCCGGCCACAGTTCTGATGTTATGTAATTGAAAAATAGACCACAAAGTGTTCCTTTATGAAATAAGTCCGGAGTTTATAGGTGTCGAGCTATAGAAAGTGGTACGTTTTCAAACTGACACCTTATATATACATTTTTGTGGTCCCATCTCAGGTCCCAAACCATCTTTCATTTTCAGGACTCCAATTTTTCAACATATCAACGGATGTGGGCGTTTATGGAGTCTCAGAGGCCCCCTGTTTTTACATCGAGCAACCAGGAAGGGGTGGAACAAGTAGTGAAGGGGAAGGGCAGCTACGCGTTCCTCATGGAGTCCACTTCGATCGAATATGTCATAGAAAGAAACTGCGAGCTTACTCAAGTGGGCGGTATGCTCGACTCTAAAGGATATGGAATTGCGATGCCACCAAGTGAGATTTATTTTATTTACACGAGAAATGTTTCTATTGAATTGTATAGCTAGCTAATTGCACAAAAAAGATCTTACTGTCAAGTACGATTAGTAACGTATGCTTTTTTATAGTGTTAATATTCTATGAACTCCTCAGTGGTTCCATTCAATTTTCTTTGACGAGATAAATCTCTAGTTTTCATAGAAGACGATGTTTCTTAGCAGAACTTTGAAATCGATTATGAAAATTGAGAAATAAAACTTCCTATGTGTTTATACCACTTGAACTTGTAACTAAAGTAACTGCATTTTATTCCTATAAGGACATTTTCGTTTGAAAAGGTCCTTATGAGACGAAACTTCAATAAAGTTAGTCACAAATACAAGTGCTACGGGAAAATAGGGTAAAACCGGGCAGCTGGGACAAACCGGGTTCCTGTTTTCCTCAGATATCAGTAATGTTAGAGCTTTGGCAACATATAACGATTAATGAGGCCCCCCATGCTCCCTCCCGTGTTGAGTGCCCTGAGTTGAGATCTTCCCCACATCTCATCTCGTTTATCACCCCCGCTCCTCCGGAGCGGTCCTCAACTTACTGATGGTCACTCCAGCAAGATTGACATCTGACCTCTTTCATTCTTATTAGTCAGTGGGCAGTGAACAAATCTAAAGAAATGAACTTTAAACGTTCAAGCCAGTATCGGATATACCTACACAGAAAACAACTACTCCCCTGGCTATTACCACGAAGGGCGTTGGATTATATCCGACAGGCGTCAGTGCAGGAATCTTCACAGATTCAACTGAAAGAGTCGACATTCAATTTTGGAACGGGCACACTTGCAGACCGGTTTCGGGCTCATTAGCCACTCGTCAGTGCAAGATAGTGACCTAAAGTCAATGATATTTCATAATTGAAAATCGGAATTTTTTCAGAGTATTTCATTCCTCTTCCTAAGTTGGAGCGAACAATAAAATGTCGCTCCATCTAGTGGACGAGGTACTAACCCACTGACTAATAAGAAAGTTTTTCTTCCTTATTCAGAGGAATCGGGCAAATTTCGGATATGCAGTTGGTTAGTACCTCGTGCACTAGATGGAGCGATATTTTATTGTTCACTTCAACTCAGGAAGAGGAATGAAATACTCTGAAAAAAGTCCAATTTTCAATTATGGAATATCATTGATCATAATCTTCAGTTTAAGTGATATTATCAACTATAATCGCTATTTTCCCACAATATAAACAACTCTTTCAAAGTATTCTTCCATTTAAAGGATTCTTCCGTTGTTCTCGTGTAGAGCACGAATTCCATTCCGATCATACACATCCAAAATGAAACGCTTTTTACCTTTCTATAGATGAAACTAAAGACTAACAGCGAAACAGGGCGTTTGTTTCTTGGATCACGAATTCCAAGCTTTCTATCTTGGGCCTGTTCTACTTCATAGATGTTTTTTTTCATATTCCACATGTGGGGACGGCTGAGTTCCAATGTTGTTTTCATGATCCAGCCGGGTGCCGCTGATGAGATCAAGAGTAGATTGGAATAACACTGCCTGATACTGCATCATGGAGGCACCATTTTCAATTTTTCACAGTCCAGTGTCATTTGTTTTAAATAATATTTCAAATATTAAGATGTTCGTGACCAATAGTTAAAATACATAAAATACATGAGAGCAATTGAAAGTCATCCGTTGATTTCGTTTTATAGATTCTCCATTCCGAACGGCTATCAGTGGAGCCATCTTGAAGCTTCAAGAAGAAGGGAAACTACACATTTTGAAAACTCGATGGTGGAAAGAAAAAAGAGGAGGTGGAAAATGTCGAGTGAGCATCTCATCGAAAGCGTTTGTATCTGTAGTGTATCACAAATCATCATCTTCGTAGTTGTTCATATTAGTAGCTCATTTTATATCATTATTGTGGTTGGTGGCTATGAAAGTTTCAAAGCCTTACACCATTACTAGTTTTCATATTCTGGAAGAAAATCTGACACATTAAGAGAAGATTAAAATCATATCCAGAAATATAATCCACTTTCACTCAATGTTTTCAAATATTTCTGCAGTCATCGAAGATAAATCCAAACAAAAAATTGAAGGAAAAGTTTGAAAAATCTCAAATCATGTAAAATAAATACCAATTCCAAAACTATCAATTTCAATATTTTGTTTGTGTTAGATCGACATCCCCGTATGTCATCTAATACTTCTGCAGAGAGCTCGTGTTCCATATCTGGAAAGTGAATATCACATTATTATCATTTTATTGCTATATATTTCAAAGAGAAATTTGGCGAAGGAACCGGTTGCAAATTATTATATGTTGATTTCATGTTCATTATTTATTGAGGAGTGAAGAAATGACAAAACATTGGTGTTGTACTGTTTTTTGAAGGATTAGGAATCCATTGTGAGAAATCGAATGTGGGTAATGAGCCAATTTTTCTTAAATCTTCCGCCAAAATATTCAAAATATAATGGGGACTCTATAATTTGGCGAAGGAACGATATTAATTTGTATCGGATAATTTTAGTACGATTATCATCTAATTGAAAAAGCAGGATAATCACAAGAAATTCTGAAGATCGAATATCGTATTAATATCATTGTATTGGTATTATTCAAATATATCGTTGAAAATATATATGAAACGGATGAGTAATGGCCAAATTTCCCTGAAATCATCCGCCAAAATATTCAAAATATTGTTTCGATGCTAGAATTTGGCGAAGGAACTGAATGAGATATATATCGGATAGTTTCAATACCGTTACCAACTAAGTGCAAAACAGGATCATCACATTCAATTCTGAAAATTGAATATCATATTATTATCATTATATCGCTAGTTTTTCAAATATATAGTTAAAATAGTTGAAACATTTCAAAGAAGAAATTGGCGAAAGAACCGGTTGCAAATTGATAGATATTAATTTCGTGTTCCTTATTTTTTATCGAAGCATAAATAAACACTAATACTGTTATATTATGTTTTGGGGGATATTAAATACACGGTGGGAAATCAAAGAGGTAGTGTTTCTAAAGCTGAATTTCTTGAAATCATCCGCCAAAATATTATACAATATAATTTGGCGTTTAATTTGTATCGAATGTTTTTATTATGGTTATCCACTACTAATGCAACGCAGGGCCGTTACATTCATTTCTAAAAATTGAATACTATATTCATGATATAGCTATTTTTCAAATATACGGTTGAAAATATATTATGTGAAACATTAAAACATGTTAAAGAAATTGGCGAAAGAACCGGTTGTAAATTATTAGATATTAGTTTCTTTTGCATTATTCTTTATTGAAACATAAGGAAATACTAATACTGTTGTATAATGTTTTGGGGGATATCGAATCCATTGTGGGAAATCAGAGAGGTACTATTTCTAAAGCAAAATTCTTTGAAATCATCCACCTAAATATTCAAAATATTATGCGGCACTATAATTTGGCGAAGGAACTTGTGTTTAATTTGTATCGAATGTTTTATTATGGTTATCAACTAATTGCAAAGTAGGGCCATTACATTCAATTCTGAAAATTGAATAGCATATTCATTATACAGCTAGTTTTTAATTTATCGTTGAAAATATTTTATGTGAAACAATTTCTAAAAAATTAATGCAAAATTTGGCGAAAGAACCGGTCACAAATTAGTAGATGTTACTTTCATGTCTATTATTCTTTTTTGAAGAATAAGGAAATGCCAGACACTGGTGTTGTATTATGCTTTGGGGGATACTGAATCCATTGAGGGAAATGAGGAGTATTGAATTCATTGTTACTATTCATTCCCCACCCATCAAAGAAAGACAATATCCGTCATGGAATTTTCCGAGTGAAACGAATACGGTTCGAGAAAAGAAGAACAAACGACTGAAAAATACAAATTTTGTGCTCGAACTCCACGACCGGTGCTACCTTTCAAGCATAAAGAATGATAATGATAATAATAGTAATGATGTTTTCATTTTTCAATAACATCGACGTTTTCCAGGACGAAACCACCAAAACCAGCAGCACCGCCAACGAGCTCGGCCTGGCCAACGTAGGCGGCGTATTCGTGGTCCTGATGGGCGGCATGGGGGTGGCGTGCGTCATAGCAGTCTGCGAGTTCGTGTGGAAGTCCAGGAAAGTAGCTGTTGAGGAGCGGGTGAGCAGCATTCTGCACGACACGTAGCTATAAAGACATTCTAGTTCGTAGGTTTTTATACTGTACCAGATAATCAGGTGTTTTAAAAGTGTAACCGGGTTTGTATGTTGTCAAAAGGGCGACATGTGTTGACAGACGGTAATATCGAAGGATTTTTGCGAAATAGTGAATGATATAAACAGTTATTTACAATACAAGACGATAAATCAATGTTTTATCAGCTGGGAAATATTTTTTTTCTTCCGTAAGGCTTGTTTCGTAAAACAAAATTGAGGAAATGAATCGTCAAGACTCTTCAACTCATTACTTTATTTCAATTAGTTTAAGAATATGGACTTCTATGGGTTTGTTTATTTTCAAAATTTTTATTCTGGTATCGAAAAAATTGGATGAGGCGCAAGAAATGATGTGGAAGATGTCGAATATTGTCGAGAGGTTGAAAGAAAAGGTAGCTGAGACGGTATCAAAATTACTAGTAGGTAAAAAAGTCAAGAAACTGAATAGAACCCAAAAAAATCATGTGGAGGATGTTGTGCAATAAATGAATCTGCCTTCCGAAAAAGTATAAAAAGAAGGTAGCTGAACGGGTAAAAAATTACTGGTACAAAATTCAAGAAACTGAATATAACTCAAGAAATGATGTGGAGGATGTCAAGAAACTGAAGTAAAAACTGAATGTAAAAAATGTCGTGCAATAAATGAAACTGCCTTCCGAGTAGATACAAGAAGAATGTAGCGGAAGCGCTATCAAAATTACTAGTACAAAAGTCAAGAAACTTAATAGAACTCAAGAAATGATGTGGAGGATGTTCTTTAATGAAAGAAACTGCCTTATAAAAAGTAGAAGAAGAAGGTAGTTGAGACGGTATCAAAATTACTAGTAGAAAGTCAAGAAACTGAATGAAATTTAAGAAATAATGTAGAAAAAGTCAATAAACTTAAGAGAACCCAAGAAATGATGTGGAGGATGTTGTGCAATAAAAGAAACTGCCTTAAAAAAATTAGAAGAAGAAGGTAGCTGAGACGGTATTAAAATTACTAGTAGAAAGTCAAGAAACTGAATGAAATTTAAGAAATAATGTAGAAGATGTCGTGCAATAAATGAAACTGCCTTCTGAGTAGATACAAAAAGAATGTAGCTGAAACGCTATCAAAATTATTAGTACAAAAGTCAAGAAACTGCATGAAATCGAAGAAACGATTTGGAGGTTATCGTGCAATAAATGCAACTGCCTCCCGAAAAGGTAAAAGAAGAAGTTTGCTGAAGCAGTATCAAAATTAGTTCCACGTGAGTCGACTTATTCAGGAAAAAAATATATAAAGCCTTTGATGGAAAAACGTGAAAAATATTGAATAGGTCAGTCAAAAAGTGCTTTTTGTATATATTGCCAAGAAGGTAAAAAGTCAAACCATCATTTTTTTCCCTGAGGACAAAACACAAGCACCACTCAGAGCTGTACCTGTGAGAAAGTAGCGATTCACATTGGATTTGAATCGCTGGAGATTAAATCCTCTTGGAAAAACGATCTCAGAAAGTTCATTCCACATAAACGCAGCTCTCTAGTTGAAAAAGTTCTAAACAGTGAAGTTCGAGGTGTGCTGAGTTGAACCTCAAAGCGATAAGCAGCCACAGTCCGTCGCGTGTTTCTGATATGTACCGCTCTTGGTGGAATCAAATGTGCCAAGATACTTGAACATTTCCCGTGTAAGTAACTATGAAAGAGAGACAAATCTCCAACTTTTCTTCGATTTTCCAGGCTATCAAGGTTGCACGTGATGGTTGCGTCTCCAATCAAGCGGATTGCCCTTTTCTGGATGGAATTCACCAACTTCTGGGTATGTTTGAGGCAGAGCTCCATACATCAGAACAATACTCCAAAGAAAGTCTGATCTGAGCTTTATAAAGCAACAAACGTTGCTGAGGTGTGTACAGTTTTCAGGTTCGGAACAGGTGTCCAAGCTGTTGAGAAGCAGCCTTTGCAATTCCAGCGACATTATTGTGGCAAGACGCAGAAAGCGGAATTTTCTGACCCTACATTATTATATCCGGTTCGAAGACATTTATCTTCTTGGAGAAAACCGATGCACAGGTTTTTGTGGCATTGACTTGAACCCGGTTATTTTCACCCCAATCCGAAATCACTTCTAGATCCTCATTAAGATATGAAACCTCCTGCTGTCGGTGAATTTTGTAGTAAAAGAAAATTCTTCCATTTGAAAGTGAATGTGTTGTTATTGATGAAAAATTAAAGATGAAACAACCCAAACATTTACATATACAACAAACTCATTATGTTGCCGAAAAAATGAATCGACAGTTGAAGTACAAAATGAAACTGGGTGGTTTAAAATAGAAAAAAAAGCGCGCTGAGTCAGAGAAAAACACATCTAGTTCAAGTTAATCCATTATCAAAGCTGGTGCATAAATTGAACGAATGTAAATGAAATGTAAATGAATGTTAGCTCTTGCTCACTAGAATAACACAATTGACACTAAAGCTTTAAAAAAAACTCGATAACATGTAATTACCAACGTACCCTCTGTCGCCATCTTATAGCTCTGATTTATGACTGCCAAAAATCCCCAACTCCCCGTTTCCAGGAAACAACATACCTAAATCTGAGGTAAATATGGGATATTTCACCACTAAACAAGGGAAACATCAGTACACATTTTATTGAAAATCAGAAAAGTTTCTGTTATTATCGATTTCAAAGAAACCTACTTCCAATTTTTAGTTGACAAAAGAAGTTCAGAATTTTCAACTACCAATACGTTAAAGAGAATGTGCTTGTTATGTGTCCAGTTATTCGTCAAAAAAAATCAACGGCGTGTTCATACTGCCTGAGGAAGTTATTGTATAGCGAAACACGTATTACGGTTTTGTGAACTGATCAGTGAAAATATCAAAATGAAGGATACAATGAAGATTTACATCAAGTATTCAATTCCATCGCATTTTCTAACATTGAAGGTGCATCAAAAGTCAAACATATGAACTGAAGCAAATAACATTTCCTGTAATAAATAATTTCATTTTTATTGTTAACACATGTTCGCCCCTTCTCATGAGTTTTTTCGCGTCATTCTTCAACGAGATCCACCTGAAAACTAGAGGCTCAAATAATTAGTTGAACCGGCATATGCATTCCTGTTAGCATGTGACGTCAGTTTTTATGACAAGCAGAAAAAGCCAGCAAAAAATCGAATTATTTTATTCATTCCGAACTATGAAATGTGGTAAGGGATGAAAAAATAATTGATATTATTGTATATGTAATGAAAAAAACATTTAAATCAAAAGTGACGGCTACCAGGCTACAGAAGTGCAATATAAAACTAGGATAAACATTTTAGAGATATGTGGTTATTATTATTGATAATTCATCCGATGTACCGTTTGAAACCATTGAATTACATTTTTTTTATAGGAGCTCTTGCTGTCTTCTAGCTAAAACTTGTTCTACCATCACTCTGGAGTAACCATTCCGTTGAAGGTCATTTTTGATGATGCCTATTTCTTTTTCTTTGTATTACAGAGCTCGAAAGCACGGTCTAGTAGAGTCTTGATAATTCCTCTCTTAGTCGATTGATGGTGGTTGGATTTCTGGTTCAGATACTATCCTGTTGCAGTTGCAGTTCTATCTCAATTTCAAGTATTCAAATCCTTAAAATCGCCATTTTGACGTCCATCTCCACTGTAGACTCAATGTTAGATTCTTTGGTGATCCTGTTATTCTGTGATGCTGCAAAGAAGCAGACAATCTATAGCTAAATTTGTTCACTATTTCATAAACCAAACTACTGCACATGCTAGCTCAACCACGTCTAGCTTATTCAGTGGGAAGACATCATTTCAAAACTTTGTCAAAACTCAACTTTCATCATATCTTAGTTCTAGTATCACACTGGATTTTTCGTACTTCTACTGAATTCTTCAAATATTCATTTTCAAAAAATTCGTCGACAATATTGTACAAATCATTTCATTATCACAATCAACAAACCAAAAATCATCTTCGACAAAACATAACTCAATCAATACAGTTGATGTGACTCATGAAGTCCATAAAATATATTACTTCATTTATAAGATAACTATAGAAAACTATCTAAGTTTACTTTATGTATTATTTCTGCTCTCTTTGAAATTTGGATGAAGTAGGAGGTAAGTTAGTTTTACGTATCAACAAACTCAAAAGCATGCAAATTCGTAATGGCATAAAAGTTTCCCCGAACTATAATGACTTATTGGGAACTATAAAAATAAGGCTTATTAGTCCGTTCAATTTAGACATTCGAAGCTACCTAAATTCCCACCAAGCAGAAAAAATAATTTTTTTGATCTTTGACTTCGAATAATTTTCTTTCCATACAGAAGAAAGATGGGGAACTTTCAAATTTCATTTTTGATCATATTTTATAGCTTTACTCTTATTTTTTTGGTCTAATTTGACCGGACTATATATTGAATACTACTTGGGTTTTACCCCAACACCAAACCGTTATTTTTAACACCTGGACACGTGTTACAATCACCAGGTGATCATCTTCAAGAGGGAGATTGATCTTCCTCTTGATAGGTATATGTTTGGGGTAAAATCTGTATAATTTTGAATACAAATAACACCAGTTTTGATAAAAAACAAACAAAATGAATCATTATCATCATTACATTCATTTCACATCTGATAACATTCAAAAAATAACAATTTTTGAATATGTTACAGTCTTCCTTGTGTTCGGATATGACTTCAGAATTCCGAAATGCCCTTTGCTGTCACAATTCCAGAAAACCAGTAAAGAAGAAACAAACTTGTGTCCCTACGGTTGTGGATGATGGCGTGTACCATCCTCCGGGATCGTACACATCCTACGGATTCGTGACCAAGGAAGCTCTATGAGTGGTTGAGATATATTTCAAGATATTCTGAATAGTCTTCATCCGGTACACGCAGAACCAATGAAATATATTTTCTATAAAAAGTTTATATCAGTGTCTCAGGTTGAGGTGTACATAAATGATTTTGTTGTTGAAATTGGAATTATGACGCTTGATACAAAATTCAGGAATCAGTTTTTTCTGTAAAGGTCATGCCCTGTAAATATTCCTGAATAGACATTTGTTAGAAATTGAAAGGTGTATATTTCAAAGAGACTAATTTTATTATCCGTTTTGAAAACTCTATTCTTGAATTTTCTCTATTTGCTTCTCTATTGAACACTTTTTTCTAAGGAACAATCTGAAAACACGACCACTTTAATCTATTAATACTCAGCTGGTGGTATATGGCATTTTATAGTGACAGTTTCTATCTTAAAGTATATCTCTGACTGCTGAAAGTAGTGAATAATTTCTTTTTCTAAGAGAGATTTTACTAACACAATGTTGTATATGTTGAAAAGTTTATTTGTGGATAACGTAGGAGTTTAATGATATTTTTTTCTCTATTTTGTGAAGACTGCTTCTTTCCAAAGGTAAATGTAAAGTTACCTCAAGTAACATGTACTGAAAAGAACCGAACTTGAGAAAGAAAACACCTTTTCTCTCTCTCTCTCTATTATTGGCTTTTGCTTCCATTCAGGCGCAGTAAGCCATGTCTAATCGAGGGGGTAAAATCTACGTTATTTGTAGACATGTCTTCCAACGACGGACATGTACAGTATATGAAAAACTATAATCATCTTCTTCATGAATCGTTGATTGTTGCGATACTACTCCTACGTGGACTTCCGGTCCACCCGGCCTTGAACCGGCGTGAATAAGAGTACCATTTAGTTTAAAACACTTAAACAATTCTCGTTAACACTAATTTTAGTAATATATTGATGCTGGCATGTTATAAAACGGCGGACATTCACAACAGGTGTTGTTCCATCTCCAACAGTGGCGTACGCGTCCTTCTTTGTGGACGGTCGCTATTGGCATGTCCGTCCACCACCCTATCATTACCGAAACTGAAAACACGTTTTATTCTGTTGAAAATTGGCTTTATTCATCAACGTAATATCCATCATGAGCTACACAATCATTCTATTAAGACGTTCTTGTAACAGATCTTTCGCATAGTCAAATGTTCATGCAATATAAAGGCAACACGTTCTTTACAATGTCTGCTAATAAAAAATCAAAATTGGTGGTTTGTAGAAGACTAAAAATCGTCTTGTACGTCTTTAAGAATTGCACTGAAGCATGAATATATTTATTGTAAGCAATCTTAGATAAATTCTCGTGAGAAATGTTGTCCATTCACTTGATCCAAGTTTTGTGTTCAAACCAACCTCGATTTGATACTAATTGAAACACTTCCAGCGAAGAAGAAAAAAATTAAAGATACACATTAAAAGTTCACATTTTGAGAATTCAAAAAAAACTTACAAATCTTCCTATTCTCCTTCGTTATCCACAATAAGTTATAGTTTATTTATTATATAGTTTGCTCAATCTCAATATGTACATAGTATACTTTTTTGGAATTGTAATTGAAAAAATGTGTTACTAATATACTTGTAACTATGTTATTGCTCTACATATTTTATAATAAAGTAAGAAAACCTTTCAGTGTGAAATATTTCTTTGCCATCCATAAGATAGTATAATAAACCATGTTTTCTAATGAAATATACTTGGATAATATGAAAATAGAAAAGGGTGTTTTTATTTCAGATCCTCAACTTCTCTGGCTTTCACAAACAGGTAAATCACCTCATATTTTTCAAAGAGATAGTAAATGTAGCAATTCATTTATTGATTTCTATTTGCTGGCCTGAATAGAACCTTTGTCACTGTTCATCCTTCACATGCCACACTTTGCTCATATTTTTGAAAACTTATTGCTCACTTCAACAAATATGAGAAATGGAAACCCAAAAAGGTCTTTTTTTCTAAGCAATAATAATATTTCTGAGCAGAGTTAAGAATTGGTCCTTTTCCAATCATTACCTCTAGATAAAATTGTTGAATCACCAAATCACTCAGATATGAAAATAAAATTGACAGTTAGAAGACAAAAACTCACAAATTTATTTATTACTTACATCTAGCTATTGACAATATCGGATAAATTGATAGTGAAAATGAATTTGAAATAATATTTTTTGTACGCAAATATAGGAATTTGGTTAAAGTTGCACATAATGAACATTTTACGTAAGTCGAGATCCTCTAGTCAGTAAAAAAGACTGACACTTTTTAAAAATCCTTTTCTTAAAAAGACTACTTCATCGCTCGTTTGCTTTCTATCAGTTTCTTCAGGCTGTAGGAAGAAAGTGAAAATCCTAATGCTGCGACCACAAAAGCGGACTTTGGGTATTTGTCCACTTCCTTAGTAGAGGGTCTGATCGTCCTCTGAAACAAAAAAATCATATGGTAAAACAAAAACTAACATTTATTATTACATTAACAAAATTTGATCATTTTTATGAAAAATTATTTCTGTATCTTAACGGAATATGGAGTAAAATACCCTCGGTAAAAATTTTTAACACGCATTTTTTAGCTTCACCCGTATGTATGTATGTTTGTTTGCTTGTAACTCACATAGAATATTTGCTCGACTTCATCAACGATTACGAGAATATGGTTCATTCAACAAAAGAACGCAGGATTGTGGTCGCCATCGAAAAGTACGAACACCACAGCTTGAGGAAGCAAACAAGGGATGCTCCAATGAAGTTTCTTTATACGAAAGATCCTACCTTTTTTTCGATGAGGAATCACCTCCTTGAATGTTTTACACTTATTCGGTTACACCCTGTATTTATTTTATATCTCTGGAACTATCACAACAAATAGCAACAAATATCCTTTACTTTTCTTCAGAAGTCACCTCTTCACTTTGAAGATCAGGGTAGCATTTCTTGTGTTGTCTTTCGATGGAGAGATATTCACCTATTGATATAATCACTCATCAAAATCGATAGTTGTGAACATACTTTTGTGTGAGTAAAATTTATTAAAGTCATTATTAGTCACAAGCAGATGGAATAGTTCATAGAAAAAAGTGAAGGCATATAAGCTGTCTATTCGAAAAAATAAGGGGAATTTTCATTTTTCTCAAAAAATACTTGTTTATTCGTCACTTTCTATTCGGACCAGTCGAAATTTACTCTAAGCGAGAGACCTTTTGCGCATATTTTCAACCTTATCACTTCCACCCCTCTGCGGGGTGAAATAAAAACCGTTGCACTTTGAAGGATTTATGTGTCAAGCGATTCTTCTTTTGGAAGATCAATTGTTTTTTCAACGTTTTCGTCTTTTTTAAATTTTAGTACATATCAAGAAAAAACCGTTATACAGAAAATAGAGCAAAAAACATTACCCTCTATTTTCACTGCGTAGCTAACTAACACTATGAAATGAAAATGTTCAGCGCAAAATTCAGCCACCTCGGTCCTGCCTATAATATTATTTGCATTTGTGTTGTCACTGTATTTTATATTATAAATGGTTTCCGTTTCAATAACAAAAACCTAATCAAAGAGAGGTTCCTCCTTAGTTATATTCAGTATATTTATCTTTAGCAAGGAATGATATAGGTGAATAATTTATCATCACATGGAAAACATGCAGTAATTATTTTATGAACCTCAAAACAAAAAGATGCAAAAATCCAAACACATCGTACTTTAGACCATAAATAAATTCCCGACAGCTCGTAACGCCGGTCAAGTTCAAATAAATAAGCAAGTGTTTGTGCCAAAATGAACTGAACCATTGAACCAAATTGGCATAAACATCCTGATACGTAAATCGTTCCGCATTTCGACGTAAAACACAAGCGTAATTGATATAGTACGTAACAAATAAATGGTATATAATGACGAGAAACTTGAACTTGAGAATTTGGAGCAGTCTGATATTAAGGTGTGGCCGAAAACCGCATAAACTGTCAACTTCCTGAAGTGGAACTTCGAGACATTACATAATTTCAAATGGTATAAAGGAATCAGTTCATTGTTATGTCTCAAGACACCTATAAAATAAATGCTCATACACAAATAATAGGGGAGCAGAAGCGGGGATTTCGGGATTTACTGAAGCGCGGCAGATTAATATACAGGAGGATACCTTGTACCCGGTTAAGTACCCCCACCAAAAATATATAATCTGACGATTTCCGACGAAAAATTTGTCGATAAAGTGTAATGCGTGCAGCTGTGTGATACCTATATTTCCCTCTCCGAGTTTTTATTCCTCTATTCTCTATTCACTTTTTCTCTATCTATTACTCTCTCACTTCGTCCCCACTCTGAATTCTGTTGTCATGACGTCATCACAGCTGATCACAGAGACTCGTTCGTGATGCAGTAACATTAGTTACAAACTTATACAGTTACGTATACAAACTTATACAATATATAAGTTTGAAAATGTCCTTATAGGACGAAACTGCAGTAACGTTAGTTACAAATAAAAGTGGTAAAAAACATAGTAAGTTTCATTTCTCTTTTCTTCATTAATTAATCAATTGATTATAAAAAATTAATTTTTTTGAGCATCTTTTTTGATTATTTTCTTATAAATACAAGTATTCTACTTAAAAAACATACACTTATTTATTTGCATGCTATTTCCTGAGCTTTTCAATCAATTAAGTTCAATAAATTGAAAAAAATTTTAAAAATTTTGTTTTTGTCAGATTAAGCGAATCCCTCTAGATAATCGTCAGATTATGAGACAGCACGTCTAAAACATAAAGATGAACCATATATATCTTAATATGACGCGCCTGAGTATTTCAAAATCGCGAATTTTTTTACACATTATAATAATGGCCACGAGTTTGCGTCAGATTGAAATCGTCAGATTATTGAATGAGAGTTTTTTTGTTGCACTTAACACCCCATTAGAAAATCTGACGCGCTCCATTAATTTTTTTTTCTTTTCACTTTTATATCTCACGTACAACCACCCACATCATGCAAACGATCATATTAACATACCAACATTATTAAAAATACGTAGGACATTAATGCTATCAATATCTGACGCGCTCAAGTATGTCATTGCAACAGTTTTTTTTACATATTTAAAAATCTATAGCCGCTTCCCCCACCGATGAAAAGGTATATATTTTATAACATGTTTTCTTCTTATCCCCTGCTAAAATAATTGAACTGGCACTACCGTCAACGGCGTTGATGGAGACAAATGATGGCTGTGGAAAGAGATTCGATGATACTTTCAAATGACATATTGTTTCTTTGAGTAGTCATGAGTTATGTAGGGTATTAGTTGTAACGATATGGAATTGGGAATGATTTTTCAATTATTGTTTGTTCCACGATAGAGTACCTACATTTCGTTAAATATAGTGCGTTAGTCAGCTGCTGTTTGAAATATCATTGAAATATAAGGGTGTTACCGAGGAAGTTCAGTGTATTATTTCTAATTGAAGTTCACAAATATTTCACAGGACAAAAATAGGTTTGAAATTTATATTCACCTACAGATGGTGATTGTAAAATTTTTGGTGCAGTTTCTTAAATGATTTTATGGAGATGCAGTTCCTTTTGAATGTTCCACAGATAAGAGACTATAAAAATTTGGAACCTTCCAGTAAATAAAACAACTTTTGAACGTTTATGGTATTTTAGTTTTTGTTTACATCAAAAATTGTCAAACAGGTCATCAACTAAATCAAATCCGATGGTGTCCTTGGTGAAAGTTCCATTGTCCTTCGTGAAAGTTTAAGGTAAACAAATAATAAAGGGCTTATTTCTAAAAAAAGACAAACTCAATTCACAAACCAAAATGAATTATAAATAAGTAAAGCGAATATCTGAAACATCAAATTAAAATTTTCGACTCTAAAGACGGATTTCCACCAAACGGACTCGCTTGCGACTAGTTTCGTTGTCAAAAACAGAAACAAAAAGCTTGTTTGAGTTTCTAAAATAAACTTGAAAGTTGAATTCCGCCAAACAGATTAGTCTGAGTCGCGCGTTTTGCTGTGAACTGTTTTTTATCGTTACGTTACGTCATCTCTGCGTTATGTTTTTGTGTTGCGATTTTTTAAAAATCGAATCTTATGAGCAAAAGAAGCGAAATTGAAAGAAAAGCAGATGAGATCATTGTGAAGACGAATAGATTATAGAACGGATAAAATTATGGCAGATTTGATGAATGACGACATATTTGCTCGTTGCCGTCGACTGTTTTCACACAGCAAACTCTGTTCACAAAAACACAGACAAAACACCGAAACATTTTGATCTTTTCGTCTGCCTACGGGTCATTTCGTCGACAAAGACAGTCGCCTGCGACACAAAGTCTTCAAAATGTTTTCTGTTTTGAAAACTCAAGTTTTTGTTTTGTCGAAATCGAAACAGTTACTGTTTTGTACAGATAGGAGCTTGCATCTTATTCAGATTGATAGCATTTGTCTTATGCCTAAACATTCAGCCCATATAAGAGGGTATATTGTCCAGAATGAAAAAATAGTTTTTGAAATCAATCCAATTGATTGACTATTCAATCAGGTTGAGTTTATATTCGTTCCTGTTGCCATCCAAAGCATTCGTTTAGTAAGACCTCCAATTCCACAACTCGCTATTCATTCTAAATCAAATCTTCTGATCTACCTTAATTAGATTTTCAACTTTACACTTTGAATTAGGAGAATATGTAAACAAAAAAAATTACCCTAGACAAAATTAAAGATTAAAAGTAGGTAAAATATTCCAGAGAAGATAACAAAGACATGACATAATGACTGCAGTAATATCTGAACAAACAGGTTAAAGTGGAACATGAGATATAGATTAGAAAGAATTTGTTCCAGGTTTATATTATTGCTAATGGTCTAGAGGGTCAACCAAAAAACGAGTGTTTTTGTTCAATTTTCAATGCTTTAAAAAAATATTTTGAAAAAATTCAAGTGCTATGTGAGAGGTGAAATGAACATTCAAGACAATAGGTTAATGGGATCCAACAATGTCATTTAATAAATTAAATATAGGCCACATTTCTTGCATCAATTTGATTTGATTGCTGCCAATACTTCCTCAATTGAAAACTGCAGTTGATTTCAATACAATTTCAAACTTGAAGTACCTTGCAGTAGATACTTTGTATGATCATTAACTGAAATATTCCTATACTTATAAACAATGTAAAGCTTCCTAATCACCTGGTTTTAACAAGGAAGAATCACAAAACTGAAATAACTGTGCAAAAAATGTCAACTGAAGAAGGGTTTGTCAAAGGTTTTTGCTGAATTCAAAATAATAACATTTCATTACCTAATGAAAGATTTGAGGCTTATACGGACTCCGGTCAATGATGAACTACAAGACCTGTAGTTCATCATTCAAATACATGTACTGAATTTTATATCAACATCCATTGTGAATACATATCTCCCTACATGGAATATTTGAAACTACATGCATACTTGCTTGTGAAGGTAAAAGTATAAGCAATAGTATTATGTAACAGGTTAATTTTCACATAGATGAATAATCAACTTACCTGTGGAACTGTTACGCGAAGGACAATGCAGGCGGCCTGAGACAATTTCATATTTCGACCGTCAACCCTAGAAATACAAACTTCCAGTTACTTTCAACTTCTGCTTCTACAATATACAATGTCAATCTTGAGTGACAAGAAATTTGATGGGTTTAGGTTTATTTTTAAACGTCTATTCAGAGCACTTGCTGTCAGGTGCCTAGAAAATATCTGTTTGGTCCAGGGGTATTTAATAAGAAATTCAAATTTGAACTTAATAACCTCAATCATTTCAGTGCGTCAATGAACACAAATTAAATCCTTATCAAATCTACAATGAATTTTAAATATTCCCACTGAATCCAAAACAATCCTTATCATTAATTTTTTTCTCATTTTGTGTATATTTATTTATTACTTTATTTCAACTTACCAACACTGAACCTCATATAACGAAGAACGGCGTCTAAAAGAGACGTGAAGAAATAAATGTCACAGAATCACAGATCGTAACTACTATATTTAGCATCCTGCTCCAGACATACACTCACAGAACATAACCTAAACACTAATGACAAACACACAGTGTGGCCAACAATAGAGATGGGACGGTATTTGAAGAACTTTCTTTTTGTGTGAGAATTCATGATAACGTAGCGTCGCGGTATTGAAGAATGATCCACGACAGTAATTTGCGACAGACGGTATCGCAGAGTATCGTACCGCGTTCCTTCTTCGCCACAGTATACTGCACCGTTCCACTGTGTATCATGAATGTCTGGACTCTAGCACTAGTTCTCATTCTCATTGAATCGCCGAATCTCTTTCGGGGGGCCTTACTGTCGGTAAGAATGAAACTCGATCCCGATATAGCAGAATATGACGTCACATTTTCCTAGAGTTATTGTTTGGTTGAGTTAAGTGAATGAATACGTACGAAAAATGAACTCCACCTGATAAACACGAAACATATGATGCCTTAACGAATACATACTGAGCAGACTGAGCTTCAAAGCTTCAACAACTCGACCGCGATACGCATGACGTTTCATATCGTTTAGTATGGTCGTTCCTTCTCGTGCAGTTTTGCTGTGAAGCAGTTATCACAGTATTTTGTCACGATATTTTCCAGTCGCGAAAGCGACTGAAACGTTTCAATAAAGTAGCGGTATTTTCTATATCTAGTCAAAAATGAATTTTAAATACTCCCAACGTATCTCAAACATCCCTAATCTTTTTTTTTTAATTCATTTCATATTTTATTTATTGAAGGGATATATTTTTAGGAGGGTTTAATTTTCTGAATATTGATTTGTATATTATTACCAACACTTAACCACTTATAAATACCAACGGTGGTAAAAAAAAAAGTAAAGAAATGTAAATATTACAGAATAGGAATGCCAACAAATTGTAACTACTGTTCCGTGCTCCGTGCACTTACATTCTGTGACAGCAATGACAAATGACAAATCAGAAACTCGGAAGAGATGAATGTTTATAGTGGTAACTAATAAATAATTATGCGATTGAATCACGTATTTCGTACAAAATAACAATACTAAGACTAAAAAGAACCCTGATTGTTCATTAGTTGTTACTAATATAACCCTTTGCCAGTGTTGTTTGCTTCGGAGACTTAATTTTCAATCAGGTGAATTCCCAAATGAAGAGAAAAATCAGAATTCTCTTTTTCAGGAAGCAAAGACTATCTAATACAAGCATCACATCGAAAAACAAACTTAAGTCTGTCGGTATGAAAAATTCTCAATTTTGATTGGAAGTTTTGATAGGGAACAGGAACCACAAACTTTTCGACAATTTTATTGAACAAGTAAAAACTAAACATCCCCCAAACCAGAATATAGGCCAAAAAAAGTGGCTCATTTTCGAATTAAGGGAACTGACATCGAGACAAAAAAATCGATGTCTCTCTTTGTTTTTCGAGTAAAACAGCTTTTTCTCTCATGTAGAATTGTAGAAAAGAAAACAAACAGGCCAGATATTTACAATAATCTCTAGAATAAATAAAAGTTTACAAGTTGGTTAAGAAAAGCCACAATGATGAATTATAATTTCAATCTGTACTTGAACATTATACAAAAATACAACAATCAACAGGATGATCATGAATAACGGCTTGGTGTCGAGGTAAAACTAGTAATATTCATTACCACACCAAAGGTTCCAAACAGTGCATATCAATCAGAACTATATCACATAATTTCTTACATTATACAATAACGTTAGTTTAGAGAAGTTCACATTTATTTAAAGTCAGTAATGTTCACAGAACATATTAATACCTTTCAGTTACAAAACTGCTGCGGAGATTACTTTCAAAGAATATTTATTGAAAATGAACCCTAAAGATTATTCATTTCCTTCAAATAGTCAACAATTTTAGTAGAGCGTATCATCGGCAGGTTTAACAAATTTTCTATCAGCTTTTCTTTTGCGCTCCCTATTAGCGCCATGAAACTTTTTTCCCATCGTATTCACTAACGTTGAGTATCCTTCAGCCATTTCAACATCAGTTATATCTTTTTCTTTTCGTTTTTCTTCATCTTCCAACTGTTTGCCATAATCATTAGCCATCAGTTTTTCTATTTCAGGATTCATTCCTCCAAAAGACAATCTGCCATCAACGAGAGTTCTTATGTTTGCCATGCTGGTTGAAACAAACACAAGATTTCCAGACCGTCTCATTTCTTCGGTTATCTCACTGGAATACATGATATGCCCTTCCAAATCATCCTTTTCTTTTTCAACTTTCTCTTTGGTTTTTTTCATGAATTTCATATCCAAGATACCTTTTGATAATTTGACATTCGTTTTTGAATTATCCATAATTGTCGTCAAATATTCTTTTATTTTTATTCTAGACAAACCACTTCAGCTTTTAGTCTGAATTTCACAAAATCAAAAGTAAAATTAACCTCAATCTGTTACCTAAAATAACCTTATAACCTAACACGGTCTTCTTCTATTCATTTTGTGGCCAAGGCTGCCAATCAAGATGCACCAAAGAAGAAACTACTGTCTCTAGACCACAAACGTCCCGCATGTATACTTTGACTCGCTTATTGGTCAATAGCACCTTTGTTTCAAGTTTAATGCACAATAGGCGTCAGCAAATCGATAACAATACAGTGCGCTATTTTCAAATGATAGTAATGTGCTTGTACAAAAATGACTATTTTCTCAAGGGTAAAAATTGTAAAAAAGGAGAATTCACATCACATAATAATTGACATGCAATTTATGCTGGCAATAATAGAGCACTGTGATGTGCTGATGTCTACTTTGTAACAAGTAAAAAAAGAATAGATTCATCTACAAGAGAGGACCATTACTGTAAGATAGCGCTTACCCCACAGAAATTTGATAAATTAAGTGAAGACAAATAGGTTTTATATTTATTGATACATAAATGCCACTATTTCACATACTTACGAGTGAAATCCTCCCAGCTGACGTGTTCACTACAAAAATACACATGTTTTCTATTCGGTTTACCAATCTACTAGTCATCATGAAAAGATGACATTTGTATGAATGTTACTATGATGTATGATTGTCCTCAAATTGGACTTTCGAATTAAAAACTCTAGATGTCACCCAACAAGTAGTTCCATACAAAAAACTTACTATTTAATAGTAAGTAAAATTATTTTATATTAATACTGGTTGAGAATTTGATTGAAGTGTTCGTTTTTCCTATCGTCTGTCATACGACAGGTCTTAAAGTTTCCCCTTTCAGTTGTAGGAGTCGCTATCACCTAACCAGTAATAGTTTTCAGACTTCTAGAGTGGACTGTATTGGGGGTGATGGATGGTAGCTTTTTATCGAGAGGGATGTCAAATCGGATTTTGCGATGCATTCGAACGAGATATTTGTGTTTTTTCTCCGTGCTCGGGTGACAATCGAAAGAGTACTGATATACGGTCAACCCATTTTCGGTCACGAGCGGGGAACTTTATGTACAGGATGTCATCAATATGTAATAGATGATTATAGGTGCATAAATTTAAAATTATAATATATGGGTAGAGCGGTTTGACGTGGGTTCTTTGTTCACTCAGTCAATGTGAGTCGATGGTTGTTATTCGTAGGGGTGCGATAGCTGGTTAACGAAAAAAAACACATTTCAAACATATTATTGGAAATAGTAATGAACCCAATGAACAAATTCGTATATATATAAGAAACCTAATTGAAGAGAACTTCTAGCGGATTCTTTCGAAACTAAACAATATTCTTTTATATATTATCTAGTGAAGCATTCTTGTAGATGATACATCTTAACTCCAATGCGAATTTTTTGGGGTGAGTGAACAATTAAATGCAAAAAAAAGTAATTGCTACTCTTCTTTGTGAGACGTATTTAATTTTTGTATTCCTTCTTTTATAAGTTTTCTATTTTTTATGTAATAATGGAGAAGCAGAAAGGCAAAGTGTTAACTGAGACCATCTCTACCACATTCACTTTCTCATACACATTTAAATAAAAAAAGTGCTGTATTTCGGGTGGTTTTTCAAGATGATAGAAGGCAAGGAAAAGTGAGCATGACGAAAACTTGGGCGTTTCACCTTTTAACCATCCCGAATAACACATAAAAATCATAACTACCTGGTCAAATGTAGAATTGGTCCGCTTTCTACCCCTAAGAGTGGAATTCAAAAAAATCTATTTGTAAAAACTTGGACAATTTCTCTTATTTCTCGAACACAACATAATTTTTGAATCCTCAAGGAGTGAAATTAAAGTGAAATTAAATATTATTGTAAAAACATATCACACAATTTCTAAAACAGTTTACACCTTCCTTGTTTTGTGATGTGGGTAATGTCTTTGTATTTCTGACCTTGCTAGAAATTAGGTTTGATTTCGATATTAGACTGGGGTCTATGCCTCATTAAGATGTGATTTCTAAGTCTTTCTTTAGTTTTTGTTTTGAAACCACACACATCACATTCAAACAATTCCAGTTGCGATAAAGGCTTATGAACTACCATGTGACGTACAAGTTTGCCTTTTTCCTTTGATTGATATCCGCAATTGTAACACGTGTACATTTCCGTGGGCTTTTTAGGTTTCAATTTATGTGATTTCATGTGAGTTTCCAGGCTGTATATATTGTTGGTTGTGAATTCACAAATTTCGCACTTACGGATTGTCACATGCTCTGAATTCTTTTCGTGAATTTTAATATGGTTTCTCAGACAGTGACTCCATTTGGACTTGTAGGAGCAAAGTTCACATTCGAATAATGTAGTTTCTGAATCACTTTTGTGTGTCACCATGTGGCTTGAAACGGCATAAGGATGTTTAGACTGATACGGGCACAGAGGACACTTATTCATAGTTAGTTCTGTCGGCGATTGGTGAACTCTCAAATGTGAAGTTAACCGAGACTTTATTTTTGTCGTATATTCACAAAATTTGCACTTGAAGTCCTGCTCTTCCTTCTTACTGGTGAACGAGAAATGTTTGACGATTAAATGTTTCTTGAAAACACTTTTATTGTTTGTAGCATAGTTACACATCTCACATGAGAACTTTTTCAACTGTGATGAACTTCCGTGAACATTCAAGTCGTGTACTTTGAAACTATGTTTGTACCGAGTCTGAAATGAACATTTTTCACATTCATACATATGAACTTCGGAGGGGCTCTTATGAATTTTTTCATGTCTCCTCAGTCCTTTTTGGTAATTGAAGACTAGACCGCATATTTCACAAGTGAAAATGTCCTGTTTGCCTGGTGTAGCTTCTAAATCTCTTTTCACGAGACCACTGGAAACAAAACCAAGTCAATTAAAAATAAAGTTCAATCCTTCAAAAAATTTTAAGATTTTGTAAGTATTTTCTCTGAAGTGCTGAAGTGATATTCCGGGTGTACATCTGTTCGTCTTTGTTACAATCACGATGTTTCAGCAAGATCGCACTTGCTCTGATTGGTAGCTGAACTTTGAGACTGAGGTCGTCCTTCTCGACGGAAAACGTTACAGTTTTGTGACATACCTGTACTCAATCCGCGAAAAAATTCAGTTTACCTTAGAGATGGAAAGAAACAACGAGTTACCTTTATTGGATGTACTAGTTAGAAGAAAACCCAACGAAGGAATTCATATGAAAATCATGATGCCATATCATGATTATATTAAATGTATAGTAACATTAATAGACGGGAGATCACAGAAGCAGTCTTTTGCGATTTCTGTGAAGCATTTGACTGTGTTAATCACGAGATTCTGCTGAGAAAACTTCATCTTTATGGTATTGAGGGCATTACTCATAAATGGTTTGCATCTTATCTATGGGGTAGAAGTCAAAGGATTAAATATACAACAGTATCTGGTGTATCTAACGGAGTACCACAAGGCTCAGTACTTGGACCTGCCCTATTTCTACTCTATATCGACGACCTGACTACCATCGATAAAGAGGGTAAATTTACTTTATTTGCTGACGACACCACAATATTATGGCATAAAATCAACACTAATGATCTATATAATGCCATCTGCTCTGATATTTCCAAACTCTCAGATTGGTGTAAGACAAATTTATTAGCTTTTATTCTCTCAAAAACCAAAGTTTTATCCTTTAATTGCATTCTTGATAATATTCCTCTAGCTTCGAATTCGAATGTGATTGAGAACACGTCATGCAACAAATTTCTTGGGTTATTAATTGATAATAAGTTGAAGTTTGAGGACCACATACTATAACTTAACAAAAAACTTTCATCTGGATGTTATGCTGTGAAAATAATTTCTAACGAACTAGGACTAACTGCAGCTAAATCTGTCTATTATTCATTAGTAGAATGACATTCTAAGATATGGGATCCCCTTCTGCGGGGTAAGGAATCAAACTCGAGTCGATTTTTATTCTGCAGAAAAGGTCATTAAGATTTCTCTGTAGAGCCAGGCGGCGAGATTCTTGTAGGCCTTTCTTTGCCACAAACAAAATTTTATTACTGTATGCTCTATTCATTTTAGAAACAGTTTGTTTAGTGCAATTGTCTCTCATTACACCACATGCCAGACCCTAAATTCAAGTATTTCCATACCTAACTCTACTTTAACTAAAAATTCTATATTGTATAACGGTCTCAAGATGTATAATCATCTTCCAAACTACCTGAAATGCATAGTAAACTGTACTGTACTGTTTATATATTCGTGCAGGTATGTTATTTTTGTTTATATTGCATATAACCAATGTTCTTCAGAAAATGTGACATTCAACATTTTTATTTTGTATTCTTCTGTTAGGACTCAAGATATTTTCATCAATCTACTAGCTTATATTCTGATTTCATTCACTTGACTATGTTTTTTCTTTCTCAAAATGTTCACCAAGGCTTTGTCGATAAGAGTTTCTCTTTGAAGTTGTCATCTTTATTCGAACTGCATTACTGATAGAGAAAACCAAATAAGTTGACTTGGAATCCCGTTTCAAATGCTTCCTTCTTTTTGGAGATAATCGGTCAAGTATCATTTCAATATAATAAAAATTCACCATATGTATAAATATTTTCAGTTCAACCTACAGAAATCGTAAAAAAATTCTTTATCTGAAGGCACCTCTGACATAAGTGTGTGGTGGAGCATATGGAGAGGCACACTGAAGGGGCATCTTTTTCTAACTAACTACTCTTCCCCATAACATTTAAGACATTCATTATCACTCATGGATACCAGACATACAGGAATGGAACGTGGAATAAAACTGCTCATTTTTGGGGTACATCAAGCCTTTCGAATTGTTTTTCTGAGCCGGAATATTTTTTTCAATATATATTTGGCAGCATACTTTCCTAGTTCATTGTTAATCAAGATATTTTGTTTTGGATTATATTTTTTCCAATTATAGCAGTTGAACTTTCACAAACAAATACAATACCTCACAGATTTGTTTTGAATCACCTTCTGATTTCATTATTAGATTCTGCCTTGTTTTCAAAATATCACACTTTTTAAATTACGTTCATGATAACTACTGATTGAATAAAAACCAATTACAATATCAAGAGAAACTACATCAGCCTAGTTATTTCCCATTGCACCTATTAATGATTATCTCGAAACTTGAATCTCACCTTTTACACTCCTTTTTGACGAACCCTTCGGCCTCGATTATTGCTCCTTCCATACTATTCTCTAGAGATTGTGGTACAATCGCAAATCGGTTAAATTTGGATTCTTCCGAAAATGTTAAATTAATATCTTCTGATTTTATATTCAGAGGGTCATTGTTGACTACGAAATCTTTAACCGTTTTTTTTTCCTCATCACATGAGGCATCTACCAGAATATCTTCAGATTTGATATCAAGAAGATCATTATTTACAGAGAAACAAGAAACACTTGATTGCTCTTCAGGAAATAATGGCTCCTGTTTTATTCTTTCTTCTGGATAGATAGGCTCCTGTTTTATACAGTCTTTCTCCAGAAATAATCCTGTTCCTGACATTTCATCTGCTCCAGTAGATTCTAATTTATTTTTATCAATTGAAATCATGTTTCTTCAAATAAATATCTTGTCGTATGTTAAAGCTCACCAAATCACCAAACAAATGAGAAATGTAAGCTGATTTCCAAGGGCTTCAGTACTCGCCCTTAAACTCTTTCCAAACCACAATAGTACAACCAATAGTACAAGTATCTGTGGTACGTCTGTGTCTGAACTGAACCTCAAATTAAGGTAGAATTTGAATTCTTCTTCTCTTTTTTTGGTATCTGCTTCTTTTCGGCGCAGTAGACCAGTGTCCTCATATTGCATAACAGATGTTATGCAACAGTCGCTTCGTCCGGGGACGTGTGTGTCTTGCTTAACGGTAACTACGGCTGTATGTTTTTGATAGACACTAAGTCCACGTGAATTGAAATTTTCTTGCGTAATTGAAACTTTAGGCTTGAGTATCTGCGTTCTATCTTCACTTGCTGGACGGTACTCACCGGACAAAGAATACATACAAAGGTTGTGACATTAGGATTGAAACTAATAAAATTGGGATAAGGAGTGGATGTGGGTATACCCCCCTCCCCCCGCTATTATAATTAAACTCCATGTAGTTCCAAATTCGACCAAAACGGCGCTAATATCAAAAGTGGTATGATATGAACTTAGCAATTATAGAAAACGTGAAGTACGCGAGTTGTTAATGATATAGAACTTAGAGAAATGTAACTATACACGTAGTCGAATATTATTTGGTCAATATAATTTCTAATAAAGTTATTGTGAGATAACGTTGAAAGTCAATGAATTATCATGAAATTTAAAAAGCTTTTTCAAGCGGGGGTTTCTACTTCCATTTTATCTGGCTCTCTTTATTCTTAAACTTTTAGCGTTTCATATAAAATTTACACTTTTGCTACAGTGGCACCTCCCTAATTTAATGACTTTGGGCGGACACTTTCTGATACACAGAAGCCGTTCTCCTTACGTTTACCCACTTTCAGTGAAATGTATGCTATACGTAGTATAGAGTTCACTGCCCTCCCCCATGCCCCCTTCCGGGTTGAGTGCCCTGAAGTCGAAGCTTCCCCCCCAGCTAGTTAGCGAGGAGAACCTACTACCCCACTCCATCCACCCCCACTCTCCGAGCGGTCCCCAACTTACTGATGGGCACTTCAGCAAGATTGACATCTGACCTCTTTTGGTCGAAAGTCAGCCTTTAGGTGCTATTCTTCCGCTCACTGCCCTCTATACACTAAATTATATAAATATTGAGATTTGACAGAACCGGCATAGTGTCAACTTTGTCAGTATGACCACCGTATTCTATACGGTTGTATGACACCTATAAAATTGGTGTGGCAGCCCTGCTGGGTGCTAACAGAGGTTCAAAGTCCTAAGTTTTCGAAAATCTAAAAACAATGCTCGGCCACTATAAATACATCATTCGAACAATAGGCGTTCGATACCTACAAAATGTTTCTTATATTCAGGGACAAGAACCGGAACCCAAAATTAGGGAATACTTCTACTACATAGACCACCAAGGAATGGTTAGACCTCTGCCTGCAAATTATTTTTTATAGTTTGAACAATTCTGAACAGTTGTTTTTAGATGATGCCAGAATGAAGAATTTCACGTCTTGCTTCAAAGACAAGAATTTTTTACGGTTTTTCTTCAATCAACTTAAACCAAACAACACCAACCGATACAAAGAGTTTCCATTTTTATCACTGTGTGGACGAGAAAGAAACTTTGTACGCTGCGATGACTGTCCTATAGTTTTCACACAAGTTTTGCGAAATCTTGCTATTGGAAGTGAAGAAACTCGTCTGTCTTACAATCATGCTGGAGATTTTCTAACAATGAAATTTCAACCAGATAAGGTTATCATGTTGCCGGAAACGGGTAGGGTGTATCATCCAGCTCCTGAAAGAGTCGGATCTATTGGCTTGGTGGGGTACAAGTTGGCTATCGACTTCAGCAAGCTTTTCAGATTTGAAAACGGAGAGTCTAACCCCCCTACTCATTTTACATTTGATGGTGTCACTTACGATTTGGATTTGGACTGGTACAAAATGAAAGGCAAAGGAAAAATGTAAATGTTAGTTGTATTTGTAAATATAAAGTGCTAATGTAAATATTTCAAATATGAATAAGTCGAAGAATAAAGCTCTACAATTATTGCAATGTCTAATTGGATGCGTTTGGCAAATCTAATAAAAATTTTTTATTTTTCAAAAAATTGAGAACAAACCAATGAATATATTCAAATAATTCACCTTGCACTCCAATGAGACAAAATATATTTTTTACATTTCAATAGATCATTCTTCAAAACTCTGAAGAAAATATATTTGAAAGAATCTGGGTTTGATACACGCAAGACTAGTACTGGTGAGTTATAATATTGCATATACTTAAAATAGAACATCAAGTTCCTTGTGCAATTTCATATTTGTCATGTCGTGGCTTTATATGTAAACAATTTTACTTTAGTAGAATAGGAATTTTCAGTTTAGAAAATCATTTTGATCAAAATACAAGAGAAAATTATGAAATAAACTTTGAATAATGGAACTAAGGTACATTAAAAGAAATGTCTGTGAATATTCTGCACCTAACGTCATATGACAACCTACAAGGTCTTTTGTACATCTCACATTAGCTGATAATGAATCAGGATTTGGGACAATAACCAAGTAATTATTTCAACTACGTCCAAAAGACATTATAGGTCATAGGAGTTAACCCATTACAATTCAATGCCACTTTAATTTCGAAAAAACAAGATTAAAAAAGTGAATAATTTTCGAACAGATTGAGTTTTTTCTGAAGAAAACGTTTTGGCTTTCCACTTCAAAATCATTTCAAACAAAAAAAATGGGAACTTCCAAAGAAACCAAGAAAGAAAATCGAATGAATTAGTCTAGTTGAAAAACTCCAGACATCACTAGAAGATAGCAAATGAGACTTTGCCGAAACGTTGTGAGAATAATCCTTATGAGGAAAAAACACACAGAACAAGGACCAAAACCCGAGGAAACAGCTCATCATACTTTGTCCGTGATCCCAGTGTTTGCTGATGCTCTTGTCAGAATATGTCCTCAAAAAGTACAACGATGTAATGAGTGCTTCAAAAGTGCCTTTATCTCAACAACACACAAATCATCTGCAGGAAACCCTCAATGACCACTTGCTAAAATGATTTAAACTATATCCATACAACAATCAAAGTAACCCAAACAATGATAGATGCGTGATTACCACGCACATTGGCATCTATTGGGTAAAATAAACAAGCCTCCTTGCGCTGGCCAATCACATTTAACTGCAATCGGCTGGCGGAATTCGTTCAGGTATATCGCTACAGGGTCGGAGTGGTGATAAACGTTTTAAAGCCTGTGGTGTGTACATATACGGTATTTTAACGTTTAAAATTTGTAAAATGTCAAGTACTGATAGGGCTGAAGAAACTGCTAATTCGTCTACACTATACCTAAAAAATTTTCCTATACCCAGCAACATATTTTTACAAAAATCGGCCGTTCCTTAGTGCGACTCTCTACAGCAGCCTTACCCGGAAAGTTGAGCTGGATTATCCTTTACTTGAATGTACAATCACAAAAAAAGAAACGGATTCGAATTTATCGATTCCATGGCCCCAATGGGCACACAAAAAGTATCATTAAAATATTTTTTCCAACACAAATATTCAAATCAGTTGTTAGCTATATTCTTATCACTTTAAAAACAAGAATAAAAAGTCACCCAATATTTTAAAGTCAATTAAAAAAATTTAACAATAAAAACTTGTTGCAAAATATTTTCATCTAATAAATACAGATAGACCCCTACTTGAATATGTATTATCAACATAAGAAGTGTTAGTTTCTTAAAATACTGAATGTGCACAGACTTTTACAAAACTTCGACAGTATTTGGTTGAAGTATCAGCGATGGTGAAGCCAAAAAAATGTTGATACACCCACCAAATTCGAATAATGACACTTTTGCTCTGAAATGGAGCCTCAGTGAAAGAAAGAAGACATTAAATGTCCATAATTAAAACAATCTGATTCTGTATTGGCACCAATCCATTCTTCCAGGACTGGATTAGTAATCTCACGCCCTAGCCCATACTTTGAAAATACTCCCCTTAAGCGAGTCTGGGTATTGTGGAACATTATCTTCAACGAGTAATTTCAATTAACAATAACAACTGTGAAACTGAAAGTTTTCTAATTTCAGACATTGAAGCAGTAGCAAATGAAATGTTTAGTATATTTTTTCTATCGGGCGTTTTTGTACTTGTAATTGTAATTATTTTTCCAAAATCTAGCCATATTCATTTCTGTATGCATTTATCCAGTTCGTTATTTTGTGAGTATGGTTTCTACATTACCCACTCATTAAATACCTATTTGCAGCATTTGAAATGAAAAGAGCCCTAGTTCTTTTTCTAAGTGAGTACTTGTCCTTGTACTCAACTACAATTCTTTTGGTATTTTTATTTTGTTTTTTAGCCCTATGTTATGAACTCAACTCAGCTCCGATTTGAATAGTCATTTTCAGTATTGTTCCATTCGCGTTCCAATTCTGATTCAGATCATTATTATACTTTAATGTTGAATGATTCCGACTGAATAGAGTTTAGTAATAAATACTTTGTTGAATCTGAAGATATTTGTAAGAAAACTTCTTGGCGAGACATTCAGGCTAGGGAATATATAAATTCAGCAATTAACGACATCAAATAGATACTTACGAATGTGTCACAAGGAAGGACTTTCTGGATATCGCAGATGTTTAAAAAATATGAATATGTGATGGAATTGACGAATACTTGATGAAAATAAGTTTTTGACTCACTAAAAAAAGTATTAAAATTCCTGTACTAAAAGTTACTAGTATCTTCTGTCATGATTCATCCTCTGATGGAGGAGTGGGGGGTCGGGTCAGTGACTTATGGTTTCCGGGAAGTACCCAGGAGAGTCCCATTTTTGAGATTTGTTCTTCTTGGGTACTGATCATTGTGGCTCTCACTCTGTCATGTACATCTGTAACATAAGGCTCAAAGCAGATGTAATGTTTGTCTTCTGTTGGTGGGTCATCGTATAAATGGTCATTACTTAGTTTCACTAATTCTTGAGCTTTTGATTTGAAGGCTTCTTGGTCATTTTTGAACCTGAAAATATTTAAGGAATTGAATTTTTGTGAAACTTTCTCTGGTATTCGTTTTAATGGCTTGGGTTGATACATGAAAAATTTGAAGTATTTTCGCCCACCGTATGAGACAACAAACAAACTAACTTACATTTTGGCAGCTTCCATATTTATAGCATGATCTAGACTGTGTTCAATTTTATAAAAAATCCATTGTAGATATTTCAAAACTTGCCACAGATGCTGTTCAGACTTATCCCACTTCGGAAATGCTCCCAACAAATATAATTCTTTAGTCTGAGGATCTACTACGGGGTGGTACATTTCTGAATGAAATATTACTCTCTAAAAATAAAATATTATTTGTTCACCACAATAAGAATTGTTTCAATGATTCAAGTAGCTAACTAGCAATTATCTACGTAATAAGTATTCAAATCCAGTGGCAACCTACAGGGTGACTGGCATCAGGAAAAGTTTCATCAAGAAATATGGTGAATCGAAATACTCCACCTTCAAAGTAACCACTTCTAACAAATATTATTCCAAACCACACTGAAAAATAATAAAAAGTTTAGTATGAACAATAACTTTCTAAAACATTATTAGATAATATAAAGCAAATTCACTTACTCAAAGAATTTTCTCTGGACGGAATTACATATACACCTCGTATATTTTCGCTTTGAATCATTTTACTAAAAAAAATATTCACATATGGTAATTATTAGGACTAGTACCCGAGGACACTCACTATTCAGCTAAAATGGTATATTCTTGCCGATAAACTTTGTACAAATTTTCAACATGCTCATTTTGTCGATCGAATAAGTTTTCTTTATTCGGATCAGCAGGTATAATTTTCCTCATTGAGCCTTGCCTTTGGAAATTCTCATTCTGAAAATTTTGAATTGGTTTATTCTCCATACTAATTTAGAAATAAATTACCTTCGAAGACGATGCTTGCGTTTGCATTTTGAAAGGGGGGATTAAAATAACAGTGATAATCATGAAAATAATCTGATATACAAGATAATATATTAACAATAACAAGATAAACAAAAATAAATTAACAACTGATAAGGATTTAACAATTACACATCCATCCAGATCCGGACCATTCAGACTATTTCATAACAGGCCGTGTCTAGTCAGACGTCATCCGTAAACGTATTCAAAATACATGATTCTTGGTATAGTGCAAACATAAATGTCTCCCTTGTTTACTTTTAAATACATAGAATCGTTAATATATGGGTATAAAAAATAGGAAATATAAATTACTTCCCAAGTTACTGTGTCGAATTTATATATTTCATCCGACCATAGACATGACGAGTTGGACTGGCCGTTAGGTCATTTTCACTTGTGTGTATTGTGTATATAGTAATACACAAGTTGTATGTAGTAAAAGAGTACATTAGAGACAGAGGAACTTTGAACGCATCGCTTTTATCACGCATTCACTAGCTTACTCCCCAAGTCAAGCGCTTTTGTTTCGATACGGGCAGAGTGACCACCTGCAGGCAAATCTGGCATCTATTTATGCAATGTTCTTCAAGGCGAACACTTGCAGTGGTACTTATGAAAAAGCAATAAGTATTATTCTTTATTCAGCTGAGAATAACCACCTGTGTATATATTATGTTTCAATATTGTTGCATCTCAAGTCAACCGGCTGAGTTGGAAACTCTGACACGATTTTATACGGTTTATATTATTCATATAGTATTCGAAAATATTCCATTTTATCCAGTTCTGAGCTGTTTGAAGTTGCAAGTTCTTTCAGCTCCTCGATAACTTATAACAATTACAAAATTTGAATCAAACAGACAAGGAGCGAGTAAAAACGTGGAATCATTTGAATAATAAATTCAAAGCTTTCATAATATACTACATTACTAGAAAACATCCATTTAATTTGTTTTAGTGTCGAGTATTTTATATCTATTATTCACTTGTTGAGCAGTGTATGAAATGTCAAACGTTGACAAATCCACTCGTCGCGTGTAATTATGGATGCGCAGCAGTCCTGAAAAAATAAAACTGTGAAACACAAACATCAAGGTTTTCGACAAGAGTGATACTACTGGTTGTAGTTATACTATGATTTAGTCACAGAACACAGAATAATAACTGTCGCAGTGATTTTTTTAGCGTTGTTATATTTGTAGTTTAGTAAACACATTAATGCAGAATGTCTGATACCGGTTTGGTAAATGTTATAGTTTTTTACATGTGGTGACCTGTGAGGTTTAATCTATTGATAAGCGGTAACAAACATGGATATAATTGATAAAGTTAAAAAAGAACCTTCGGAAGAAAATGAAATGTTAAGGGCATTACTTATGGGGGAAGGGAGTATAAAACAAGAGCCTCTTCATCCAGAAGGAGGAATAAAACAGGAACCAGTCCATCCAGAAGGTAGAATAGAAGAGAATGAAAAGAATGGGCAACAAGTCTTCGATGAAGAGGAAACAAATATCCCTTTTTTCTGTGTAAATAATAATCTTCTTGATGTGAAATCTGAAGATATTCTCATAGATGCCATAAATAATGAAAAAAGACCAGTTCCAGCCTTTGTCGCAAACAATGATCCTCTGAATATCAAATCAGAAGATACTAATTTAATAGTTCCCGAGGAATCTCCCAAGAATGGCATGGTAGGATCAATTATTGAGGCCGAAGAGACCATTAAAAAGGAATGGGGCAGGTAAGATTTAACAATCACTATGCATGATAGTTTCTGGTTCTGATGAGTGTTTTTTATACAGTGTGTTCATTTAGAAACAATTCAAACCCAAATATTTCTTTGTCATTTTACCTATAATATCTGACTTATGTTGCGGGGAAGACATGTGAGTTACAAGGGAAGATTATATGTAGGTATCAATTCCCTTGTTGATTAATTCATTTGGTAAAACCATTTCTTAATCGAGCTATAGAAAATGTGTGTAGGAACGCTCAAAGCTTTGGAATACATGTACATTCATCTACAAAATATGTTTATTAATATTAATTTTTTGATTCTGGTTAATGAACATTATGTTACTGGTAGCCAATGCTCGGACAGACAAGACTACTTACTATTCTGACCTAGTTAGGGTTACTATGGCGATGTATCTCCTAGGTCGTATCTCCCGCTCAAATTCTACTTCTCTGTGCGGGTACCCATTTCCTTCGATGGTATTTTTGTTTGTGAGAAGCATAAAAGTGAGAAGTGTTTTGCGAGTTCGGTGTTTTTCTGCTATTGACAAAAATGTATCAAAGAATTTGCATAAAGTTATATGTAAAAAATGGAATTTGAGTGCTCAAAAACACCTGAAATGTTGACAGTGCCATACAGTGATCGTACTCTGAGTCAGAAAAATGTTTACAAGTGGTATACGCTTTCCACAGTAGGACGAGAAGATGTGAAGGATGACGCTTGCCCTGGAGGTGCTAGCACTGATTGAAATGTTGAGGAAGAGAAGGAAATTGTTATGAAGAATTGTCGAATCACTATTAGAGAAGGTACTGAGGATATTGGCATATTGGTGGGCTCATGTCAAGCAATGTTTTGGAAATTTTGAGCATGAAACTTGTGACAGCGGAGTTTGTTTGAAAATTGCTACTACATATTTATTGTCATCAATTGACAGTTTCCATTTAGACAAGGTGAGTTGAAGAGCAGTTTCACATGAGTGTTGCGATCTAAAACCTGATTGATACTCCATACCATATATCTTCGATATATGTGCATATTTGGTTATAAGCAGCTAACTAATACTTTTTCTAAAGGAGGCATAGTGTTAATGGGACGAAAGTTAAAGGCTTCATTTGCGTTGTAAACTTTAGGCACAGGAACAACTGTACTAATTTTGAGTTGATCTGGAAAATGCCCATTTATCAAAGAAGTATTGACAAAATCAAGAAGTACGTGACCTAGTACCGAGAAGATACTCTTGAGAACCTTGTTATTCATTATATTAGTGTTACACTTGTTATCCAAACAGGAAATAATTGACTTCAATTCCTTAAGTGAAAAACGTTTGAAATCGGACAAATTGCATCCAATCACAATCACATGACCATTGTACAGAAGCCGGAGTTCTTGCTTTAATATCAAGAATACTTTCAATGAAAAAATTATTAAAGCTTTCAGCTTTACATCAGGAAGGGGACTATTATTGGGTTTAATAATGTTTTCAAAGATTTCCACATTTTCTTTGGATCATGCGAACAATCATCAATCTTCTGTTTGAAGTAGTCAGCTTTTTTCATTTTCAACAAATTAACCACTTCGTTTCTATAACTTTTATAAATAGCCCAATTGAGCTGTTCATCAATCATAGTTCTACAATTTTTAAATTTTTTTAAGCTTCATCCCTGTACCTTGCTGCAACAAAAACTTCATAATCATACCAAGGCAATTGGCTTTTATATTGTTTGTATGATTTTAATGGACTTATAATATTGACTTGTTCACTTATGTTCTTAACAAGTTTAGCATATATTGTATTGGTATCATTCAAGTTCAAGTTCCAGTTGCAATTCATTAATTTTTCATTCAAAAGAAGAAGTTTTGTTTCACTAAAATCCCTATATAATTTCAAAGTGCTAGATTTCTGCAGCTGACAGGATTTGATTGTAACAGTGATGATATTATGATCTGTAATAGAGAGAGGGGTGAGTTCCTCAAATACTGGGTGTTACTTTAACGGGCGCCAATAGATTCAATTATTTAACCCTTACTTAAACATGTTGGAAAAGACGAACTCTTTAGCTAAAAATGGCATGTGGAGTTTGATTGTTCTTCTGACAGGATAAAAAGGCATTCCAAATGTAATAATAAAGACAATATACGCTTGTAAAGGAAACTGTCATGAAGATTCGCCATCGATAGTTGGAGTTTTAATAAAACTACCGCTAGAGGGTGAAGATGTCGCTTTCAATTTGCATGTTTCCACAGTAATCCTTTTCGGTTCCGGTAATTCCTTCCGAAGTTCCTGGAAAATCTCTTCAAACTTTTTGGCGACTCCTTCAAGTTTCCGTCCGACTCTTTCAAGCTTCTCATCGACTACTTTTTCCAATCCCTAATTTGTTTCCTAAAATACTTTTTCGAATTCATCCTGAATATATTCCTGTACCTCCCCTTTACTCGTTTGGGAAGATTTCAAATCTTCCAATAAATGAAGGTACATCTGATTGTATTTTTCCTGCTTTTCCTATTTTTCCTGAATATTTACCAGCATGTCTATTTCCTGTTTTTCTTAAATACCTAATAGTATTTCACCATCTTCATTTTGGCGTAATTGTTTTTCCTCTCTTGTGCGATTTTCTTTATCTGCCAGGCCCGCTTGCAAAGCCTCGAACATTTCCTTAAGCTCTTCCATCTCGTCGTAATCGACACTCCTTGTTTTCACCATAAAACAGCAAAGTTTTAGTCAATTATTCCACTTCTGACACCAAATGTTACGTTTTTCCCCATGGGTTGAACAATAATTAATTACGCTGAATAATCAAACTTAACTTTATTTCACTTTGAATACAACGAACACTTTAACTATTATTTGAATTTCTATCGCCTTACTAGATCACTTCGCGTACCGCACTGTAACGTCCACTTGACTGTGGACGAAATTCCGTCGAAATCGGTAGCGTTATTCTCGTTGATTCTAGAGCGGCAGAGAACTTTGTGCATTCGCGCTGTCTTAGCTACGTCACGTTTGTATTATGGTTACCAGTGGCGGCCGGCATTATTTTCTTTCGGGCATGTAGGCATAATTTACAAAAATATATTGTTGAAACTCCGTCTCAGTTTTTCATGGAGAATTTTCAATTTCTGGTATAGTTTCATTACATGGATATATATTTTTTGTTTGCTCTTTTATTTTATTATATATTCCCAAATTGGAACTTTGTAGGTATAAGCATATATATTACTTTTTTGATATAGTTAGTTAACCCTGTAATTAGTTTGTAACTCTTGGGTAATAAAGGTAATCAAATCAAAATATACTTTATTGTCCGAAGATTTGCATCTCTTTGACAAAGTCCAAGAAATACAATGGTAATATAGAAAAACTACTGTATAAGTAGAGCATTTAAGCGGAATTTGGAACGTAACTGGCTTATCAGTGTTTTTTTCATGTGTATGGCTCGAGAATCGGGTTAGTGGTGGCGTTATCGCTGTTTGAAAGATAATGAGTCGAGCGCGCTTGAAATGATTTGAGAACAATAATAATTGTGTATACATGGTCTATGCAGCGTTAAAGAAAAAAACATGGCGGGTGCTTGTCGAAAAATCATAAGGTATACAGGACGTTCTTTCTCGTAACATATCAATCAGCGTGCAGCGTTAAAGAAAAAACATAGCTGCCAGCGTTAAAGAAAAAAACATGGCTGCTATGGAGGTATACAGGGTGTGCAGCGTTAACACTGGTATACCTTATGACTTTTCGACAAGCAGTCGCCATGTTTTTTCTTTTACGTTAGCAGTTATGTTTTTTCTTCAACGCTGCACAACCTGTACACCTCCATGGCAGCCATGTTTTTTCTTTAACGCTGCACGCCTTGATTGATGTGTTTTGAGAAACAACACCATTTTTACCTTATGATTTTTCAACAAGCAGCCGCCATGGTTTTTTTCTTTTACGTTAGCAGACATGTTTTTTCTTTAACTCTGTATACCCAATTATTATTGTTCTCATATCGTTCCAAACGCGCTCGAGTCGTTATCTTTCAAAAACAGGCTAACCTGATTCTCGAGCCATACACAGGAAAAACACTGATAAGCCTCTTCTGTTCCAAATTCCGTTTAGATAATCTACTTCTGAATGATTTTCAAATTGTATCAACATTTTCTGAAATAAAGTATTAATACTTCTCATTCGAATATTTTCACTTTCCATAATTTTTCGGGAGTAGGTCTATCTGCCACATTATAGCCATGCAAAGGCATCAGTATTTTATATATTTGTTATAATATTTAAGTAAATTATGGGGAATAGTATTTTACTTTTCCTAAGTTCGGTTCTTATTTCCAGCGGCCTTATGGGAAGAGCATCCACATTAACATCAGGCTCAGCGACAGAAAATTGGAATATTTTTGAAGCTGACTCCAGACCTACATGTGCGAAATGTGGTCTAACTTTTAAACATAAAAGAAGTTTGAGGAAACATCAATTCATTCACAAGAGCTCCTCGGAAGTTCCTATGTATCAATGTGAAAAATGTCCATTCCAAACTAGGTACAAAAATAGTTACGAATCGCACAACTTGAATCTTCACGGAAACCCATTGTTGAAAAAATTCTCTTGCCAAAAATGCAACTATGGTACAAATCATTCAAATCTGTTGAAAAAGCACATCATTGCCAAACATTCACCGCTCGCCACTAGCAAAAAAGAAAAGAAAGATTTCAAATGTGAATACTGCGGGTACAAGGCAAAAAAAAAATTTCTCTTGAACGCTCATAAACGTACTCACCAATCATCTTCGGAGGTAACCATGGAAAAGTGCCCTCTATGTCCTTATCAGTCGAAGCATCCAAGTGGCGTATCAAGTCATATGCTGACTCACAAGAGTTCCTCAGAAACGCCATTGTTCAAATGCGAACTTTGCTCTTACGAGTCTAAATGGAGACACTGTCTGAGAAATCACATTAAAGTTCACGAAAAGAAGTCTGAGCATGTGAAAGTTCGTGAATGTGAAATTTGTGAATTCACAACCAACAATATATATAGCTTGGAAGTTCACATGAAATCGCATAGAGAAAAGCCTGAGCAGCCTGAGAAATTTACCTGCTACACTTGTGGACATGAATCCAAAAAAAAGAATTTGCTTGTGCGTCACATGCTGGTTCATAAACCGTTGTGGCAGTTACAATTGTTTGAATGTGCTATGTGTGGTTTTAAAACTAAAACTAAAACTTCTTTGAAAAATCACATTCTGATAATGCATGGACCATTGGCTGATTTGCAAGTCAAACCAAATTTCTAGTATATCTCTATTTTCGAAGTATGTCTGAGATCCCCGCCTTATAAAGATAACAAAGATAACATCTCAAACTCAACTCAAAGTTATGCTATTCGTCTCACATTCAATATTCCTCTTCCTTTCCGTCAACAGCATAACTTAAAAACTAGATTCTTTATAACATCTCCCCTTTTTAATCAGAAAGTTGAACTGCAACACACGGTTTCGAAAAAGAGTGAAAAAACTTCTGCTAGATAAAGTTTACTATGATACTAAGGAATTTCTTTCTGATGACTTCGCAACCTTTAATTGCAACTTCATCAATAGACCATAGACCATAGACTTTTGTGTTAATTCTTGACCTTTATTTTACTGTTAAATTTCAAATTGTTATAGTTCTTAAGCCTGCTTTGTCAACAGAACCAAAACTTGTTGTGACAATAAAGCATTTGTGACTCTGACTTTCATTTCCATTTTATTTTTTGACAGAAATTGCAGCATGCCCATGTACAAAATCAACTTTCACTTGTTATAGTAGACTTTTCAAAATGAAAATGAAAGAATTTATCACAGAACACCTATATGTTCTGTGGTTTGGCTCACAATTGAAAATGAATTGTTCATGTTCCATAGTGAATGTTGAAATAAAAATGAAGATGAAAGTCTGTTGCATAAATCCACCTTAATATTTATTCAGTCTCTCAAATCATGTGTGAAGCTTTGGAATTCTGTATTAGAAAAGCCATATGAATGTCCTCCATAAAAACATTGAAAAGCAATGGTCCCACACGGGATCCTTGGGGCATACCGGAAGGTACTGAACTTCCAGAAGATTTAAATCGGAGTTATCTGTGTCCGATTAGAGATATAACTTCGGAGTATGGTTAACTTTATCAAACGCATGAGTAAATGGAGTAAACTTGGCCACCTACGTCCAAGATGTTTGAGAGATAATCTACATAGATAAGATTAGGGTTCAGTATACTGATCATGAAATAATGGGTCTAAGAATAGTGTTAGGTGTATAGTAATAAGAAAATTTTAAATTTTGGCAATGCTACTTTGGATACAGATTGCTCTGTAGTTTGTAATATCAGACTTATCACCAGATTTGTATATAGGGGTTAACAAGCAGTATTTTCATTAGTTTGGCAAAATGCCCTGTTTACTGGAATAATCGAAAATAAAATGTAAAGGTCGTGTTAGAACAAAGCTACATTACTTCAATAATGATGGAGGAAAACCATCCGAACCAGGACCGGACCAGTATAATTATACTGTATAATTAGTTTTACTGGAGTTCAGTATCAAAGATCTGTCAAAGTACCAAGCAGATAACTGGTTGACTGAAATTGTAATTTTCATTTGTAGTGATTCATAATCTTTAGCTTTTAATAGTAGAAGGGGTAATCTGCATATAATGTGGTTGACGAATCCGATTAGGTCAAGGGCAGATCATTAATATATAAGATAAATAGTATAGGCCCCAATATAGATCCTTGTGGAACTCCTAGTGCAATAATATCCATTGGTAAGAAAACAGACCTCCCTAATTTGGATATTTTAATCATTTGAGATCTGTCTTTTAAGTTCGAGTCAAAGCAATCATAGGTAATACCTCTGATTCCGTACCTATACAACAAGCTTAGTAACGTACCTGTAAATAACAAAATGAATAGGAGTATTCATTTGATAAATATGTAACATAAGTCTGCAGCTGAATAAAGTTATTGTATTTTTCATATGATGTTTTTTAATTACCTCAGATATTCAAAAAACAAGTGGTTTAGTGCTTGGATCCATGAAAAGAGATCAGCAGAGTTAATCCTGTCTGAACTTCTCTCGAGAATAATTAAGCAATCAGTTGAAGTATGAAAAGCTTTGCCGCTTTTGGGAACCCTGATGCCGTTGATTAGTGATAATTTATCCAGTATTGATTTGTCAGTACAACTAAGACAATTGGAACCAAAATTTTGAGCAATGTGCACTTGCAAACTCTGAAAAGAAACTTAATAAATATAATAATAAATCTTCATTATTGATGCGTTTACAGAAATCGAAGTCAGTCTGATGACTGTGTCAAGATTGAGAAAATGAATATTTCAAAACAGTCATCTTTTTCATCTACACAGTGTGATCTGACAAATGCCTGCCGCAAAACAACTACGTCCCGATTAATACTACAATGGCAAGTGATGATTTCCTCATAGAGGAAATTTTTGCAGATGGTTTTTCATTCATCGAACAGCAATGATTACAAAAAAGTCAATCAATCCACTATCATTCTAGCTAAGAGGATATATTACGGCAACAGAATGGGGGAATCGAAGAATAAAATTAAAGAAGCTTGGTCAATTATTAGTGATATGAGAGGTAAAATAAAAAAGAAAAACTCTCTGAACTCTCGCTTGATCCTAATACGGTGTGTAACAACGAAAACTTAACAGAGCCGTTTTTGAATATAAAAAGTAAGTTTTTTAAAAAAGCTCGGACACGTCGATTTCTAATTAAAGGGGGACACCTTTCAGACTAATCAGATTTTTTGTAGTACGCACCCCCTCGGAGGGGTGCGTCCGACGACCCTTATTTAGATAGGGAAAGTAGGTCGAGTGGCACCTTGTTTTAAAGGTCTTTCGAATACCTTTACAACTTTGTTAAAAAAAAATTTTTGTAACGATTACTTTTCGAGATAATTTGAAGTTAAAATTGCCATGTTAATAATACATTAGACAGACCACTCGGTAACTTGTATGCCTAAATAAAAAAAATTTCGGGCAGTTCTTCTCATCAATTTTTTTTGTTAAATAAAATCCCTTTTTTAAAATCAATACCCACTTCTCTTCTTCCAGTTTTCGTTAGTACATCGTTTGATTGTTTTGTTTAAACGGGTCGTGTATTGTCATTTGTTTAAAAATGCCTTACACTACTGCTGAAAGGGTTTCAGTTACTGCTTTATTTTTTGGCAACGACCAAAATGCTAAATGAACATTAAATGCATTTAACGAGCAAAACCCTGGTAAACACCTAAGCAGAAATCACGTTCTGGATTTGGTCACAAAATTCAGGGAGACAGAAAATAATACCTTTTAATCGTACTAGTATTGTGTATTATCTATAATTTGCCACAACCTACAACTCTACTGCTTACTATATTTTGATTCTGCTATGAACTGGTAACGTAAAATTTAGATATGACAACGCGCTTTACTCTCAATCATTATTGGTTTTACTATATTTCCTGTTATCCATTCATTCTCCCTCCATGTGCCATGCCTTGCATCCAAGGGAATATCCTGTCTACCCTTTTCACTCTGTTCTCAATCTTTATTATCACATTCATTCAACATTCGTGGTGACTGACTCTCGCTTCAACATGAAGCGGGGTTATCCCTGAGATTACACTTGGTTCGGCCTATGGCGTCGTCCTATATGATATGCCACACATGATACTATAAGGAAGGGCCTCTGTGCCGCGCTTCAGCCCAATATTCCGCCTGGTCCATCTCATCAATTTCCCCGCCAATTCACTCAGTTTTTTTCTAACTTCCTTGTGGTGTTCTATAAGGAAAGCAAACTGAATAAATGACAACTAATTTGACATAGGTGGCTTCAACAAGATGGCCGTTATCAATTGTTAAAGTTCGGAAGTTTCTGCTGGAAGACCCTAAATATACACGCATACTTAGATAATGAATGTGCAAATCTCTTGATATTCAACACATTTAAATATTTCACATTTTTCAAACCATCTTTTTACTTCGTTTTTGAAAAGTAAAGTTTGAGGTGTCCTTTTAACTAACTCGATTTTGTTTCCAGTGGTCTTGAGGGAGGAAATTCAACAAATGCATCAGTCTCTGGATCTGAAAATGAGAAACTTTTCGCCTGTGAAATATGCGGTCTAGCTTTTGCATGGCCCAGTAGATTGAAGAGGCATGCAGTAGTTCACAAAAGCTCCTCGGAGGTTCCCATGTATCAATGTGAAAAATGTCCATTCCAAACTAAGCATAAATATAGTATCGAAACACACAATTCCAATCTTCACGGAACGTCATCACAGTTGAAAAAGTTCTCATGTGAAAAATGCAAATATGAAACTAACAGCATATCATGCATGAAAAAACACTACATTTGGAAACATTCGGGGTTTGCCGAGAAGAAGACAGAGAAGAAAGATCTCGAATGCGAATCTTGTGATTATAAGACCAAAAAAAAATATCTGTTGATCGCACATTTGAGAATTCACCAATCGTCGACAGAACTAGACATGTATAAGTGTCCTCTCTGCCCATATCAGTCCAAACATAAATGTGGCGTTTCAAACCACATGGTGAGGCACAAAAGTGTCTCTGAAACTCGAATGTTCAAATGCGAACTTTGCTCCTATAAGTCCAAATGGAGTCATTGTCTGAGAAACCATATTAAAGTTCACGAAGAGAATTCAGAACATGTGACAATCCGTAAATGCGAAATTTGTGAATTCACAACGAACAATATATACAGCCTGGAAACTCACATGAAATCACATCAAGCGAAACCTAAAAGAACTTTCACATGTTACACTTGTGGACATCAAACTAAAGAAAAAGGTCATCTTGTACGTCATATGTTGGTTCATAAACCTTTAGGGCAACTGGAATTGTTTGAATGTGCTGTGTGTGGCTTTCGAACAAAAACTAAAAAGGGTTTGAGGAATCACATCATGACTGTCCATGGACCTGGGGCTAATATCCAGATCAAACCAAACTTTTAAATCACCTCATTTCCAAAATGTCATCGAATGAAATTATAAAAGTGGATCGGATTTTCTTATTCAACTATACTAAGTGACAAAGAAAGGTAAACACCTATTTATATTGAAAATATTTTAATGATTTTTCACTTACATACTTGACAGATAATAGCAAACAAACAAGTAAGTTTCCAGAGAAATTGGATGATCTTGAAACCAGTGAAGTTCAGTAGTATGTTGCAGATCCTCGATGTCTTATACACTCGTGGACACATCTGGGCGTAGTCCACACATGTTCGATTGGTGAAAGATCGAGCGATCTGGATGGCCATGGTAAGCAGTTAATGTCATGCTGATCCATGAAGTCTAGAGTTACCCTAGCGGTCTAGCGTTGTCTTGTTGAAATATGGGGTTCTCGATGGACTCAACGAAGAGCTGTCATGTTGCCTCTAATGAAGACTGAAGGTGTCACCATACCAACAGTATGGTGAACATTCCTCTCCACATCAAACTGGGGATCTTCTATTTCTTGCTCGTCCATCTTGCATACCCAAACAAAAGCGAGATTCATGGCTGAAGACTACACAGTTCCACTGTTGATACCAATTTATTCTGTCTCTGCACCAGTGTAATCGGTTGCGTCAATGCTCGAGAGTCAGTAAGAAACTTCTTATTCGCCGGTATACTATACGTATTCCAACAACTCTTTCTTGTTCTTCAAACCACTGATTCGCAATTGCCCTAGTAGAAATGAACCGATCCCTAAGAGCCAAAACTCTTAATCGGCGATCATAACGCGCTGTTGTTCCCCTGCGACGACCGGTGCCCCTAGTACGGAAAGGTCGATTGGTTCTTCTTGAAATTTCTCTAACTGAAAAACCTGCCTCACGTAAGCCAACGAATCATCCTCTCTCAAAATCACTAAGTTGAGGAATAGGACGAAGTCTTCGCAATCGAGGCATAGTGTTAACAATACGAAACACTTCACAACGAACTCTTTAACAGTTAAAGCACAAATAAGAATAAAAATTAGAGAAATGGTCAATGCTCACACAAAAAAAAACTGGTCAGAATAGCTTCTGATACGACTGAAATTTTACTGGCAAAACATTATTGAAATATTTTCAATATAAATGGGTGTTTACCCTTCTTTGTCACTTAGTATATAATCAACAAATAATATAAAATTAAAGTCAGTATTTAAATAGATATCTGAAATTTGCAGTCCCTTCATTCTTAACCTGAGAGAGAAATATGTTTACTGTCCTTAGGAAACAGGGTCCTGTTAACAAACGTTATTGACCTATGTTAAAAACAATATTGTTGTACCCTAAAGAAAATTGCGCCGTCCGCCACTGGTATACATAAACCAATAGTGACGCGCTCAGTCCGACTGACGCTTCGTGAATTTTCGATGTTCGCTGCCGTTCTAGATGTGTCGAGAAAAATTCCACCGGCCTCCATGGAATTCCGATGAATTTTCTGCCGCCTTCGATTGCCGAATATAAACGCGTTAGATACACTCGCCTATCGGGACAGTCAAGTTTCGCTGACAGTGCGGTGCAGTGCGATATAATAAGGCAGTAGACTATTGAATAATAGTTGAAGTTATAGTTCAAGTGTTTTGTTTTATTGATGATGAAATAAAGTTAAGTGAGATTATTGTTCAGAGCAGTCAATTATTGGTATTCCCACGGGAATAACGTAACAATATGAAAGTAATCACTAAAATTGTATCTATTCAAAATAAAGTATATCATGTACAGTGTAGTAAAGCGAATACATGAAAATACGAGAAAATTATACTGAAAATTTTTATTTCATTGTATACAACAGCCTCAAAAATTAAACAGGCATTTGGCAATGACAGTGTCAATGAACGCACTGTTCGACGTTGGTATGCGGTTTTTAATGGTTTGAAACGTATTGGAAAAGTCAAAAAGCTCTAAAAGTGACTGCTTCAGTTGCAGTTGAAACTTCGGAAGAATGTGACCAAAGACGAGCACGGCAAAATCCTGAAACCAACCAAAACACTGACGCCACCAGTGAAAGCATACATTCCTATATTCAATTGGGTCGTTGCTTGAATATTTATGTTGTTGAATAAATTTCCCCCCAATTCATTAGCTGCGCTCCACAGAAACTATAGAACAGTCGTCCAGTCATACCGCTCTCCCACTCCCGTTACCATGATCTCCCATGATCCTGTCTTTGATCCTCTTTCTATCCTCATTATTACTATCCATTCCCTCCACGTCACGCTATCTCTATCCATCCCTTTTGTCGCCATCCTCACGGGTTTTACACTCACAATTACACTACTAGACAAAATGACAATTTTCACCTGCCACGATGTAGTTTATCAACTCCATGAAAATGTTATTATATAAAGGCCGCATTGAATATAACAAACTTCCCCAAAATGTGAAGAATAATAAAAACATTTTTGGGAAAGAAAGTTTTTGGCATTCTACTGCTCCATCTTGATACAAAAAAAGAAGGATGAGGGAGTCTTCCAAAGAGAGGAAGGAAGTAACTCTATACATGGATGTGTAGATCATGCAAAGAAGTAACTTTCAGATACAAACTGAAAGAAAGTCCTCTTGAAACAGCTACTTTCATATAAACATTGAATTAATCACTCCTGAAGAATATAACCCCTTCAATTCAAATAAAAACATGTTTCAATTCAAAAAAGATTTGACTGATTGATTATATGAAAGGTATCACAATAGAATAGATAGTAAGTGACTCTGTATATATTATGTATTTATGTGTACCTATATGTATATATAGGTAGATATTCTACTTTAAAAAAGGAAAATTATCTTTATAAATCAACAATTAAGGCCAAATATAAATTATAGTTCAATACCATCTCCACAAGCCACATAAACAACAGTGGTTTTGTTATTTATTTATATAGAGGAAGATAGGTTAGTTGCACAAAATGTCATGAGTCACAGAATGTCTCGGAACATAAGTAAACAGAACAGCACGCCTCTGAAATATGTCATCTCTGTTTGTCTCATACAGGTGACAGATTCATTGTCCTTTATTAGCTATAACCGATGTTGCCAAATGGTGAAATAGAAACGAATCCCTTTAAATGTTGAATGCATTATTTCATTCCTCTTNGCTTTTTTGAAGAGGTGTGTTATTTATGCAGTAAATATAATGAAAGTGCAAATCCCTTGATATTCAACACATTTAAATATCTCACATTTTTCAAACCATCTTTTTATTTCGTTATTGAAAAGTAAAATGTGTTTGAGGTGTCCTTTTAACTAACTCGATTTTGTTTCCAGTTGTCTTGAGGGAGGAAATTCAGCAAATGCATCAGTCTCTGGATCTGAAAATGAGAAACTTTTCGCCTGTGAAATATGCGGTCTAGCTTTTGCATGGCCCAGTAGATTGAAGAGGCATGCAGTGGTTCACAAAAGCTCCTCGGAGGTTCCCATGTATCAATGTGAAAAATGTCCATTCCAAACTAAGCATAAATATAGTATCGAAACACACAATTCCAATCTTCACGGAACGTCATCACAGTTGAAAAAGTTCTCATGTGAAAAATGCAAATATGAAACTAACAGCATATCATGCATGAAAAAACACTACATTTGGAAACATTCGGGGTTTGCCGAGAAGAAGACAGAGAAGAAAGATCTCGAATGCGAATCTTGTGATTATAAGACCAAAAAAAAATATCTGTTGATCGCACATTTGAGAATTCACCAATCGTCGACAGAACTAGACATGTATAAGTGTCCTCTCTGCCCATATCAGTCCAAACATAAATGTGGCGTTTCAAACCACATGGTGAGGCACAAAAGTGTCTCTGAAACTCGAATGTTCAAATGCGAACTTTGCTCCTATAAGTCCAAATGGAGTCATTGTCTGAGAAACCATATTAAAGTTCACGAAAAGAATTCAGAACATGTGACAATCCGTAAATGCGAAATTTGTGAATTCACAACCAACAATATATACAGCCTGGAAACTCACATGAAATCACATAAAGCGAAACCTAAGAGAACTTTTACATGTTACACTTGTGGACATCAAACTAAAGAAAAAACATCTCTTGCATATCATATGTTGGTTCATAAACCTTTATGGCAACTGGAATTGTTTGAATGTGATGTGTGTGGCTTTCGAACAAAAACTAAGAAGGGTTTGAAGAATCACATCATGACTATCCATGGACCTGGGGCTAATATCCGGATCAAACCAAACTTTTAAAACACCTCATTTTCAAAATGTCATCGAATGAAATCATAAACGTAGATCGAATTTTCTTATTCAAATATAATCAACAAATAATGTAAAATTTAATTCAGTCTTTAAATAGATATCTGAAATTTGCAGGCACTTCATTTTCAACCTGAGAGAGAAATGCGTTTTTCACCACTTTTAAAAGTGGTAAAAAACAGAAAGTTTCGATTCTCTTTTCTTCATTATGATTTCCGTTTATTGTCCTAAGAAAACAGGTTTCTGTTACCAAACGTGATTGAGCTATGTTATAAACAATATTGTTGTAAATCATGCCCTAAAGAAAATAACGCCGTCCGCCACTGGTAGCCATAAACCAATTGTGACGTGGCTAAGAGCAAGTTTGAGTATTCTTCAGTGTAGTCAATTATTGGTAAACCCACAGGGAATAACGTAACAATATAAAATAATAATAATCTTATGTTAACTTGTCTAACTAATCTTAATGAACTGAAGTTTATGGAATGGTTTTGTTGCAAAATATGATGGGCGACTGCTGATTTTTCAGGTCTTCCATATTTTAAGTGTGCTATGTGTTCCTTATATCTTACTTTAATAGATCTTTTTGGCTGTCCATAATATTTTGCATCGCAGTCCTTACATTTAATCTCGTAAATTCCAGACTTTTCCGAATTCTCGACATTGTCTTTTGGACTTTCCAAAAGCTCTGTAGTGTATGACTTGTTTTAAAATCCACCTTCATACCTAGTTCCTTGAAAATCTTTCCAAAGTTCCTCGTATATTGGTGGTATGGAACTGAGATGTATTTATCTTGGTTTTTGTCCTTTCTGAAAGTCGAAATTTCGTTCATTCTTAACCTAAACCTCTTTTTCCTTATTATGTCATCTACAATACCCCTCGAGAAACCGTTAGTGGCTGCTATTTTCTGAATTGTACGTCTTTCTTTTGTGGTATTTACCGATTGATAGCGAATTTCATACTTTTAGTCATTGATGCTGCTCATTTTTTTCTAACTCGATTTTGTTTCCAGTGGTCTTAAGGGAGGAAGTTCAACTAATGCATCAGTCTCTGGATTCGAAAATAAGAAAGTTTTCGCCTGTGAAATATGCGGTCTAGCTTTTGCAATGATATGTAGATTGAAGATCCATGCAGAAATTCACAAGAGCTCCTCTGAAGTTACTATGTATCAATGCAAAAAATGTCCATTCCAAACAAGGTACAAAAATAGTATTGAATCACACAACTTCAGTCGTCACGGAAAGTCATCACAGTTGAAAAAGTTCTCATGTCAAAAATGCAACTATGATACTAACAGCATATCATGCTTGAAAAAACACTATTCTATGAAACACTCAGGGTTTGCCGAGAAGACAGAAAAGAAAGATTTCAGATGCGAATTTTGTGATTATAAGAACAAAAATAAGTTTCGGTTGATCGCACATTTGAGAATTCACCAATCGCCGTCAGAACTAGACATGTATAAATGTCCTCTCTGCCCATATCAGTCCAAATATCGACATGGCGTTCCATACCACATGGTGACACACAAAAGTGCCTCAGAAACTAAATTATTCAAATGTGAACTTTGCTCCTACAAGTCCAAATGGAGTCACTGTCTCAGAAATCATATTAAAGTTCACGAAAAGAATTCAGAGCATGTGACAATCCGTAAGTGCGAAATTGGTGAATTCACAACCAACAATATATACAGCCTGGGAACTCACATGAAATCACATCAAGCGAAACCTAAGAGAACTTTCACATGTTACACTTGTGGACATCGAACTAAAGAAAAAGGAGATCTTGTACGTCATATGTTGATTCATAAACCTTTATGGCAACTGGAATTGGTTGAATGTGCTGTGTGTGGCTTTCGAACAAAAACTAAAAAGGGTTTGAAGAATCACATCATGACTGTCCATGGGCCTGGGGCTAATATCCCCATTGTAACAATAGGAGTGGACTTCTTGCATTTGAGAATGATTCGCATTGCTTTATTTTGCAATTTTTGTAATGCAGCGATACTGTTAGAATCTAGTAACGACAGTAAACTTGGACAATGTTCCAAGTGAGGTTGGATTATAGTTTTATAGACCGTTATAGATGTAGAGAAAGATAATTGTTGGCGTATTCGTGAAAGAAAGAATATTTTTTACTTATTTTGCTATGAATGTAATTGAAGTGGCTTTTGAAAGTAATAAAGTTATCTATTTTGAAGCCAAGATATTTTATTTCTTGCACTACATGATTTCAATATCATTTTCCGGAATGAATCCTTGACATTAACAAGCTCAACAAAATTCTTAGGAACAATAATGGACTCGCATTTCACTTGGCAAGAACATATAGAGTTCACAACCAAGAAATTGAATCAACCCTATTATCTCATTGAATCCCTTAAGAATAAATTAGATACTAAAGCACTCATATCAGTTTATTTTTCCAAGTTTCAGTCCATTATTTACAATATGAAACAAAATTTAAAAGTGAAACATATTAAGGTCCATATAGATTATTAACAAATCTGTAAGTCATATTTATAAATAAGAGTTTGGAGTATTATGTAATAATTTGAAACAAATTTAACCAAAAGAATGAAAAAAATAACAGGAATTGTAATTTAAATTAACTTGGGTCAATTCGAAATCATTTACTTCATAGTAGGCTTTCCTCAACAGAATCCTCTTAGTTTCTTTTTGAATATTTCCAGGTGTGTATCTTTCAATCCAATAGTTAATTTATTAAACAGTCTCATTCCTAGATAATTGGGACTAGTACTTTATGTTGTGGAATCAGCAGGTTGTCTCTAATATTTACTGATTGATAGATAGGTACTCTTATTCATTGATGCTGTTAATTTTTTTTCTAACCAACTCGATTTTGTTTCCAGTGGTCTTAAGGGAGGAAATTCAACAAATGCATCAGTCTCTGGATTCGAAAATAATAAAGTGTTCACCTGTGAAATATGCGGTCTAACTTTTGCTATGCGATGTAGATTGAAGAAGCATGCAGAAATTCACAAGAGCTCCTCTGAAGTTCCTATGTATCAGTGCCAAAAATGTCCATTCCAAACAAGGTACAAAAGTAGTATTGAATCACACAACTTCAATCTTCACGGAACGTCTTCACAGTTGAAAAAGTTCTCATGTGAAAAATGCAACTATGATACTAACAGCATATCATGCATGAAAAAACACTATACTTTGAAACACGTAGGGTTTGCCGAGAAGACAGAGAAGAAAGATCTCCAATGCGAATTTTGTGATTATAAGACCAAAAAAAAGTTTCGGTTGATCGCACATTTGAGAATTCACCAATCGTCGACAGAACTAGACATGTATAAGTGTCCTCTCTGCCCATATCAGTCCAAACATCGATATGGCGTTCCAAACCACATGGTGAAGCACAAAAGTGCCTCAGAAACTAAATTATTCAAATGTGAACTTTGCTCATACAAGTCCAAATGGAGTCACTGCCTGAGAAACCATATTAAAGTTCACGAAAAGAAATCAGAACATGTGACAATCCGTAAGTGCGAAATTTGTGAATTCACAACCAACAACATTTACAGCCTGGAAACTCACATGAAATCACATGAAGCGAAACCTGAGAAAATTTTTACATGTTACACTTGTGGATATCAAACTAAAGAAAAAGGATATCTTGTACGTCATATGTTGGTTCATAAACCTGTATGGCAGCTGGAATCGTTCGAGTGTGCTGTGTGTGGCGTTCGAACAAAAACTAAAATGGGTTTAAAGAGTCACATCATGAATGTCCATGGACCAGCGGCTAATATCCAGATCAAACCAAACTTCTAAACCACCTTATTTCCAAAATGTCACCGAATGAAATTATAAAAGTAGACCGGATTTTCTCATTCAAATATATTCAACAAATAATGTAAAATTAAATTCAGTTTTTAAATAGATATTTGAAATTTGCAGTTTCTTCATTTTTAACCTGAGAAAGAAATACGTTTATTGTCCTAAGGAAACACGTTCCTGTTAACACACGTTGAGCCATGTTGAAAACAATATTGTTGTAAATCATGCCCTAAAAAATAATGCCGTCCTCCACTGGTAGCCACGTGGCTAAGAGCGCGCCCAGTCCGATTGACGCTTCGCGAATGTTCGCTGCCGTTCTAGAAGTGGTGAGAATAATGCATCCGGCTTCCATGGAATTCCGATGAATTTTCTACTGCCTTCAATTGCCAAATATAAACGCGATCCACCCGCTTATCGGGACAGTCAAAATTCGCAAAATAGCATTAATGCTATTCATTTCTTTTCAAATTTTGATAATGTTGCCTCTTCTCGGCTTATTCAGGGAATTCAAATTGAAACAAAGCTTTGCCGAAACAGGCCAAAAATTCACCAGGCATTTGTCGATGATAGTTTAAATGAATGCACTGTGCGTAGGGCGGAAGAACTTGGCGTTAGCATCAGTGCGATTTAAAAGGTTAAAAAGCTCTAAAAGTGGTTGACGTTTTAGTTGACACGTCAAGAACAGTTCTTCGACCAAGCTACTGAAGATGACTGCTCCAGTTGCAGTTGAAACTTTTGGAGATTGTAACCAAAGAAAACCACAACAAAATCAGAGAACTAACCAAAACATTGACGCCAGCAGTGAAAGCTTACATTCCTATATTCAACTGGGTCTCTGCTTGAATATTTATCCACAGTAATACTGGTCAATCAAAGTTTTTTGTCTTTTTTATCCACTAAAATAGTCGCATTAACGTATATTTATAAATTAATATGTTCATTTATTTATTTGTAATACAATACTCTTACAGGACATAACCCCATTACACAGCAGGAAATAACAGAGTATAATAAATACATCACAAACAAGTGACTATAAAGACTACACATTTTATATTTATAATAGTGCATTACAGTGGATGTCTTTTCGTGAAAGGTATTACAGATCAGCAATGACATTTATTTTCAAGATAACCAATCATATTCTACCTTCTTAATTCGAAGAATTTATCATTTATAGAAATGCCACTCACAATTACACTACTAGACAAAATGACAATTTTCACCTGCCACGATGTAGTTTATCAACTCCATGAAAATGTTATTATATAAAGGCCGCATTGAATATAACAAACTTCCCCAAAATGTGAAGAATAATAAAAACATTTTTGGGCATCTTGACACAAAAAAAGAAGGATGAGGGAATCTTCAAAAAAAAGGAAGGAAGTAACTCTATACATGGATGTGTAGATCATGCAAAGAAGTAACTTTCAGATACAAACTGAAAGAAAGTCCTCTTGAAACAGCTACTTTCATATAAACATTGAATTAATCACTCCTGAAGAATATAACCCCTTCAATTCAAATAAAAACATGTTTCAATTCAAAAAAGTGTTGACTGATTATATGAAAGGTATCACAATAGAATAGATAGTAAGTGACTCTGTATATATTATGTATTTATGTGTACCTATATGTATATATAGGTAGATATTCTACTTTAAAAAAGGAAAATTATATTTATAAATCAACAATTAAGGCCAAATATAAATTATAGTTCAATACCATCTCCACAAGCCACATAAACAACAGTTGTTTTGTTATTTATTTATATAGAGGAAGATAGGTTAGGTGCACAAAATGTCATATGTCACAGAATGTCTGGAACTCGGAACATAAGTAAACAGAACAGCACGCCTCTGAAATATGTCATTCTGTTTGTCTCATACAGGTAACAGATTCATTGTCCTTTATTAGCTATAACCGATGTTGCCAAATGGTGAAATAGAAACGAATCCCTTCAAATGTTGAATGCATTATTTAATTCCTCTTTTTTAAGTATTTAAATAATTTTTTAAAGAAAAAGGTTGAAATGATAAGTTTAAAAGGCGTTGTTTTAGAGCTCTTTTATGAAAACTACTTGATTTTCGTCAGGAGGAACATTCCCCATTGCACTATAAGTGATCATTGGTTTGACAATCATCACATAAATCCATTGGATTTGTTTACGACCTAAACCCCCAAGTTTCACTACAAATCCTTCGACATGTTCATAAGGACAGTCTGACTTTGTGTAAAACTTTTTTCAAGTAAGCGTTCCAGGTGGTTTTTTTATCAAGGACAATGCCAAGATATTTCACCTCCCTTCCAAATGGAATGACCTCACCATTGAGGGAAAGTGGCGTTAGATCGTCCAATTTTCTCCTCCTGGTGAAGGGGATTCTCACAGTTTTACTCTGAATAACGTTCATCGTGCTTTGGAGGATATTACATGTTGTCTAACTATAATATAAAAAAAACAAATTTGTCTCACATCGAAATTCCCAATTTTTTTCGCGAAGCTCCTTCTCAAAGTTCAAGAACTAAGAGAAATATAGATTGAAACCCAATTTTAAAAAAGTCTTTCAATTTATTTGACTAGTTGATCACTTGGAGATTAGATAATGACACTGTCCTAAAATTAAGATAACTATCGATGACACAGTCAAACAGAAGCAAAGCTTTCTGAGGGTTATCGGAATATAAAATAGTTTGGCACTAATTTGCAAACTGCTAGTATACAACAACACTGAGTCCAGTTCCGTGGTTGGCGTATTTTGGTGAACGTAAGGTCGAGTTCTTGCTTCTTGTCCGACTGTTTTGAGAACTTCACAAGAATTGGACAATCTAGCAGCCTGAAACACAACATAAAATGATAAACTTTGACGAAAATTGCTCGCGAAATAAAATTATTGGACGCATGTCTTCAACTACTCGTGTTGTTTTTGTTTCATGCTTTATCGAAAGTTCAAAAATGATTTCCAAAAGTGTCATCCGCTAGTCAACTTCCAGAAGAACATGGCTAGGGATTAAAAGGAGATAAAGTAAGAAGGACAGTATTCGAAAGTCCGTAAGTAATCGCGAGTAAAAGTCGTTTGGGTTTGACACACTCCACAAAAAAAATACATCCACAAGCTCTACCAAGCCAAAACCTGTCCTATTTTTTAGGTTCCCCAACGTAACACAAGTCGATTAATTCCGTCAGCATAAAAATTGTCTGCTCGGGATTCGATGAAGTAGACGAAGGCCGTTTAGCCTGTTCCTGATTGGCGAAAGTTCAACCGATGAGAAAGTTATTGCAGCGCTGGAAAAGATGGTAGTGTGTGAAACGTGCTGATTGGCGTTGTCGTGGAGCAGAATTGGACCTCTTCTGTTGACCAGTGCCAGGTGCTGCTGACGCTTAACGACATCATATAACAATAAGCTCAGGAATATCAGAGGAAATTGATTTTTTCAAGGTTAAATGATATGTCAACGAATGGCTACAATTTCAAAGTCAAGGTTGGCCCAGTTAGACGACAAAGTTTCAAAATATTTCCAATAATACAGCCAAAAATAAAATCGTCCAGTGTTTTCCGTAATTATTCAACTAGTTTGTCTTTCTGTTCAGTTGAGTAAAACTCTACTCTTGGCAACTATGCTCCAATCTATCTGGTAATAAAAAGGTATCAAGCTGTGATAATGGGGAATGTTCCTCAATTTGGGTTATTACAGCAAATGCAAGTTTGAACTAAATAAAGTTGAGTTTAATTCATGAGTTTTTTAAATTCACTTCGAAAACTATTCAAATTGATGTTTCACATGTTGGGTTTTAATTTTTAAAGGGATTTGTTTCTAATTCACATATTGGCAACAGCGCCTATATCAGTCATCTTTGTTTGTCTCATATAAGTAACAGATTCATTGTCCTTTATTAGCTATAACCGATGTTGCCAAATGGTGAAATAGAAACGTATCCCTTTAAATGTTGAATGCATCATTTCATTCCTCTTTTTTAAGTATTTAAATGATGTTTTAAAGAAAAAGGTTGAAACGATAAGTTTAAAATGCGTTGTTTTAGAGATCTTTCATGAAAACTACTAGACTTTCGTCAGGAGGAACATTCCCCATTCCCGAATACCAGGGCCGCTTCTGCCAACTCACTGAATTCGCAACAGTGTTTTAGTATAACGATTTAGAAAATAGTGGTTTGATTTAATGAGGCCTATTTCACAAGCGATGTCGTATATTTGTTTAAAAAAATGTTTTTCCGTTAATCAGCTGTCGCCCCTATACGATCGACAACTCTCAGAAGTTGAGAAACTTGTGCAAGGACTAACGAGGTCTTACCTTTTAACGTGTGATTCCTAACACGGAATATCCAGATATACAATTTTGTGTTTGCTCTTTCTTGAAACACCAGACACGTTTGTCATGCAAAAGTAACAGTCCTTGTAATGATTTGTTGTTTCTCGCCAAATCATTGGAACTGCAAAGGCATAGAAGAGCGTTTGCCATTTACCAGTTACTTAGATTTGCTGCACAGGTTTGGCAACATACGTGAGGAGCCCGATCTTGATCACCAACAACACATCCAAAATACTTATGGTAAGCTACTTTGGTCTTTTGATTAATTGCGATTTAAGAGTGAACTGACCACATATATAGCAAAAACTATCTGCGGGATTAACTCAGCCACGTTTGTAGACTGTTGCGTTTGTCGAGTTCAAATATGTGATACTGCGTTTACAGGAGTCAACTTGTTTTATTCACATAGATAACACTAATATATTACTCCTAATATTCGCGTATTTGCTCACCTCGTTTCTCTAATACTTACTCATTACTACTCGCGTTAAACCAATATCGATGATCCGATTGTCAACCAGCTACTTTTGTAGCGGTTCCGTATTTCTGGTATTTTCTGGAAACTTCGAGCATCGGAAGTACGAGAAGAAGGGTTACAAGTCTCATATACAGATTCGAATACTGGGCAGAGCCGCTATGTTGCCAGATTTTACACAATTTCCTCAATTTAGGAGAAAAGCAAATTTTGAATGTCGTGTTCATTCAATTTGTGTGAAAAAAAAAATTATAACTCAAAAATCTTACGTGTTAGGAAATCTTCACTACCCTTCTTGGAATTAGGGACCAAAAATTAACAAAGAACTGCCTTCAGCATTACAATCGTACATTGGCCGTAAACTAGTGTTATGTTTCTTTATTCTAGTAAAAATGGTTAAAAACAGGTTTGTCAATATTCATAAAATTACCTGAACAAAGGGTACAGAAGCCATAAAAATCCATAAAATGATGTTAAGTATGCTCAAGCCAAAGATTGGCAGTGTTTCGGTGTCTATATGATCAAATCCTAGGATCCATATTATACCAGACACTGCAAAAGATATATCGACCACAACTAGTAAACAGGCAGGTGGTGCTATATTATGGTTGAAGTAGTTCAGAAGTTTTTTAAAATCTTCTATATCCTGAAAATTGAAACAATTTATCAGTGTTTATGACACCGCCACTTCTCTGTAAGTAATTTATTAATTGGTACACTCAGCAAAGTAACAGATATGCCTTATACAGGGCTATTTAAATTCAGTTCTCTACATGGGGATCTCGTAAACGATAAGAGATGGAATGTCGGTTGAATTATGGCATGGGATTTTTTGGTTTTTCCTGTATATCTCCAGAACCAAAAGAGCCATATTCGATTTCTTCACATCATTAAATAGGTCTCATCATTAAATACGCCCTGTATATAGGCCAGGCTGACCGCAGTTTCAACCAGAGACTCGAGGAACATTTGTCTATCTTTGAAACAAATCTTTGACTATTGAAACAATCATTACTGCTTGATCTCAACTCCTTAATTACTAATGTAGCTATAAACTATTCTTACTCTCATCCACTCCAACGGAATAACTGGAAACTGCAGCAGTTTTTCCCTAAGAAACTGCACGTAAGAAGTTAAAAGTTGAGCTTGCAAGCAATAGTTTGATATAACTGTAGCTTGTACTACATCATGTCCCAAAGTGCAGGAAACCAACAAAATCTTCATGAAAATTAGGGGTAGTGATGATCTGAAAAATATGAAATAGGTGATCTAAAGAAATATAAGAACAGGTACAAAAATGAACCAAAGTAATAACAATGTAAATGAACTGAAAGAAAAGGATAACCAAACTTTGATTTCGATTGTTAAATAGAAAATCGTTTTCTGTCCTATCGTATGCCTCGATCCTGTAGAGTTTTCATCTATGGAAAAAACAATAATAAATAGGAAATAAAATCTAAGGATTGAAACCTATTCTGTAGAAAGTCGACATATAATTAGCACAGAAACTCTGTATCTTAAGGTTGCATATATGGTTAAGTCAAATGTAAGGGGTTTCTACGGAAGCACAGATGAATCACTACTTTAAAACTGGAAATGTATACTTTAATATTTAAATTTCGACTTTGATTTCGAAATTACGACTTAAACTCGAAGTTTACACTTCAAACTCGAAAATTCGAGTAATAATTTTGAGTTTGAAGTCAAAATTCAAACTTTAAAGTCGAAATTTCAAGTTGAAAGTTGAATATCCGAGTTTAAAGTCAAAATTTCGAGTTAAAAGTCTAAACTTCGAGTTGAAAGCCTAAATTTCGAGTAAAAAGTCTAAATTTCCAGTTAAAAGTCTACATTTCGAGTTAAAAGTCAAGTTCAAAGTGGAAATTTCGAGTTTAAAGTTGAAATTTCGAGTTAGAAGTTCTTTCGAACATAATGTCGAAATTTCGAGTTAAAAGTCTAAACTTCGAGTTGAAAGCCTAAACTTCGAATTAAAAGTCTAAACTTCGAGTTAAAAATATAAACTTCGAGTTAAAATGTCTAAACTTCGAGTTGAAAATCTAAACTTCAAATTAAAAGTCTAAATTTTGAGATAAAAGTCTAAATTTCGAGTTAAAAGTGGAAATTTCGAGTTTAAAGTTGTAATTTCGAGTTAGAAGTTATTTCGAGATAAATGTCGAAATTTCGAGTTAAAGGTCTGAACTTCGAGTTAAAAGTCTAAACTTCCAGTTAAAATTCTAAACTTCCAGTTAAAAGTCTAAACTTTCAGTTAAAAATCTAAATTTCGAGTTGAAAGTCGTAATTTCGAGATTGAAATCGAAATTTCGGTTTTAGAAGTCGTAATTTCCAAGAAAAAAAAAATAAAAAACCTGTGATCCTTCTGGGCTTCTGTAGTTCTCTTGGACAAGTACGAGGAGTTGTCTTTGAGATAAATATCAAAATTTTCTGTGAGAGAGGCATTAAGTAAGGCATAAGGATACCTATAGGAATGTACCTCATCATCCATTTGAAATGAATATCTCCATCACACATCATACAAATCACTGCGAATATGGATAAACTCATCCAAACTATGCTGAATATAACGAATACCCACAGCATTTTCACTAGCCTCTTCTGGCTCATGGTACCAGCTGATAGATTTGTAGAGATCACGAAGACCTGTAAAAATATTAAAAATGCTTATATAGGGTGTTTTAGCAAGCGATTCCTATCTTTATATTAGAATAAAACAAAGTGGGTGTAAGATTCATTGAAACTTTTTATTCGCTTGAAAGACCCATTGATGCCAATTTTCCATGACTTTGGGGCATAAATCAAGCTGAATTTTTTTATAAACACTGCACTCCGTCCGTAGGAAACACTTCATATGTTCAACGAACCAAAAGATCTACTTGAAATTTGACAATGCCGTGAGAGCCGTTAACTTTTTTTATCTTGTCTTGTATTTGATGAGAAAAAACTTCTTCAACCCATTATTTGAAAACAGAAGAAACCTATCGGCAAAACGTCGAACTATTAAACTGGGTTTAACTATAACTTATGTTTGAATTTGGAAACTACTAAGGAAACTATACTATACACCCAGTATACTATTTCGTCTCTATTAAATTTCACTCCAGCAGGGAATAGTATGTCCCGATTTTTTTTACTTTACCTTACCTTTATATGTAGGCCTACTTAAAAATATACAAGGTAATCGTTACAATGATCTCATCCAAAGTTTTCGTGGAGAGTGACTGACAATCTACTCACTTTTTCCATCAAGATGGGCAGATACTCGTCATCGGTGCTTCGAAAAACATACACCATATGGAGGTAAGCTACCAGATGCATCAAGCTCGGCAAAATTGAACTAAACGCTACGGATCCGTAGCAGGATCTATCGTAGACATCATCAATTTCTCTCGATAGTGTCAGCCTTCCAGTTCTAGTCACGTAGCAAAATCCCCTCTCTCTTCGAAAGCAAGCCATATATTGCAGGAGATATCCGACGATCAATAGAGATATGATCAGCACTGTATATGAGCGGGTGAGAATCAGTTTTAAACAAGTACAGGAATCCTGAGATTCGCATAGAGGTCGTATGCCCATGAAGCCCAAAAACCGCATGTACGGGTTGAGAATTTTCCTCTTACAGTAGTACAGGACGGTTGTGACGCTTCTCAAGTCCGTGTAACTATCAGGTACTTCGCATACATGTTGGTCCTCCTGAAAAATATAGCGTTTAAACGGTGATTTGGAACAGCGCGATAGGAATCGCACGTTAAAGTGTAAGACCTCGTTAAACCACCGCTCGCACAAGATCCTACTTCTGAGGGTTGTGGGAGGGTGACAGCTGGTTAACGGAAAAACAGATTTTAAATAGATTTACATACTTGAATCCTACCTTACAGGACGTAGACAGTTTGATAAAAACCAATAGTTGCTCAAGTACAAAGAACGTGGAAAGCAGGAGTATCCCAAGGATCGATCTTAGGACCCATACTTTTTTACTATACGTAAATGACCTGGCTACTGTACGTATTTCTGGTAGTTTCACCATTTTTGCAGATGATACCACACTTTTGTGGCATAATATAAACCAACAGAATTTATATGAAAGCATCTGTAATGACCTCAGCAAAATTAAACAATGGCGCGATGCAAATCTGCTGTCATTAAACACTAAAAAAACTCATATGGAAAGTATAGTAGTGGAAAATAAGATCTCTACAAAATTCTTGGAAATTAATATTGATGAGTGTCTGAAATCTGAGGAGCATATAGGCATTATAAACAAGAAACTAGGATTTCACGCAGCTAAAAATGTTTATTATGCCCTCATAGACTCTCGCTTAAGGTATATGGCATAGCATTTTGGGGTGTATGCAGTAAACAGCTGTTTCAATCTGTTTTTATATTACAAAAACGTTCAAAGCGGAATGATCCTGGTAAGCCACTGTTTTTAATGCATGGAATTTTAACTGTGACTTCATTGTTTACTCTTGAATCATACACAAGAACAAAGGTGCCTTTACTTCTCCGCCCCACCACAATAATACTAGACAAGCTAGCCAATTAAAGATTCCTATCACAACAAGTTGTCAAATCAAGAACTCAATTATATATAATGGAGTGAAAATGTATAACAAGTTACCTAAAAGTTCAACAGAATGCGTCACTCTACTATCTTTTAGGAGAAACTTCTCCTGGTCAAATTCTGGTCAAAAAGGCTTACTATACATTTAATGAATTTTTTGAGGATAACCTCTACACATAATAATATTCATGTGAATGTATGTATATATGTTTGTATATGTATGTATACAGTGCTAGTCAAAAGTCCCCTCCCCCCCTCGTATCTTTGGAACGGGTATACTTATAATAATGAAATTTACTCCCCACACCGTGGGGTAAGTGATCATTGAGTCCGAGAATCTTGTGCCCTGAGCAAGCGCAATACCGGTGTCTCGTCAATACCGTAAGAGTGTCGTAGATGATAATATAGCACTCTTAGGGCCGCGTTATGTCGATGGATACAGGCCGAGATCGCATATGCTGGACATGCTGATAGCCAGTGCATTGGGGTCTCGGGCGCTTCGCGGCAGGCCCTGCACCTTGTGTCAGGAACCTCTACACCCATCACGCGACTGCGGTAGACTAAGTTTCCGACTTTAGCCGACTCGTTTCGGAATCCCTATAATCCAGAAATAATACACTTCATTTTTATATTATTTTTACATACTTTCTCCCTTATTTATATGAGCCAAAAAAGTTATTCCAAAAATAAAAAACATACCTACCAGACTTGACGAGGAGTTGGACTGCATCGTCGGTGATTCATCATATTCCATTTCCTTGAGGTTTTGTTTGATTTTTATTCCGGCAACCTGACTAAGTATATCCATAATTGTTGACACTTATACACCTACATTGATCAGCATTAAAAACTCACCTGGAGAGAATACACACATATTTGGAACTACCCAAAAACGATATTTACAAAAACACCACCAGTTTGTTTTTGTAAACAAAATATTTATAAATTGCATTTCTTCGTTCAGTTGTTGATGATAACCTTTTCATTAAAGTTCCATAGGCGTAAGCATGAGAGATGCAAAACAAATACATTTCGTGTGGAAATTGGAAGAAACACGATTGTGATTGATAATGCAACATAAAAACAATTTTCTGGATTGATTTCCAGAAAATTGTTGATAGTGAACTCTACATAAGCTACGAAAAAAACTAACCATTCGCCATTTTCTGAACAATTGTCTATAATATTGGTTTTATTGTAATCTAGCGATCCTCCTTGGCCTTCGATGCGCTATTTATAGACAAGCGCCGCCGATCCCCTGGCCGGTTCCGCCGCAACCCTGCATTTTAAATCTGTAACATCTTCGAAAATATTCATTTAAATTACATGCTGTTAAGGGCCATATCGATCTATTTTAAATGCCCAATGAATTGAAGGTATCAATTGGGTAAGGATTAATGCTGTATTGCTCAAAATCGCTTCGTAAATATGCCATTATTTCTCGGGGAAAAAATGGTTATTGTGGGTTATCCCTAAGAGATAGACATACATCATCGCGGACTACTTTGTAAACCTTTTTAAGGTGTACAATACTGTAGTACATTTTTTGATTTATCTCATAGGGTTAAGCCAGAGTTTGCAATGTAAGCACAAAAATTTGTTTATTTACGGTCGGTCGATAGCCGGACGGTTCGACGTGGGTGCTTTGTTCACTCAGTCAATCGGCCGATCTGTGAGTCGATGGTCCAAGCCGCAGGCTGAATGCTCGATTTTTACTTGCTATCGTCCAACCCGTGTTAGGAATCACACGTTAAAAGGTAAGACCTCGCTAGTCCTTAGCTCGTACAAGTTTCGACTTCTGAGGGTTATCGTTCGTAGGGGGCGACAGTGACAGCTTGTTAAAGGAAAAATGGAAAAGAGAGTCAATTTCATAATCAATTCCCAGGTCAGGTAAAGTTGATAAAGTCTTTCCTAACGAAAACGCCATCTATAGGATTGACAGAAGACTCAAATCGCGATTATCAAACATAAGTGAGGATCCCCAAAGCGGTCTGTTGGAGAGCCAAGCATCAACAATAACCGCCGAATGAGATTAATTCTGTCTGTCTCTGCAGCTTTCACTGCAAGATCACTAGAACTATAAAAACCTATGGCGGGTCGAAACAGGTGTTAGTGTTAAGAGTTGGTGTGTATATATGAGTATATATGTATGTACTCATTAACTGCCTGTATTAAGAAATCAAAACATTTTATTAAATTATTATAAAAAAAAATTAAATCAAGCTTTCACCTTCAAATACCTACTTCCCGACTCTAAAAAAAAAGACAATAAATGGTGTAGTAGGTTGTAAGAACCCATATTTATTTGCATTGTAATAAAATAATTGCACAAGATAGTCTAATAGATTGTACTAGAAAAAATGATAATATAGATTTAAATAATATTATACCATATCTGACATAAACAAGACTGGGGGGTTGCCTAAAGAGTTGGAGACATTTGTGGGGGCAAAGGTGATGTTGCAATACTATGTTGATGTGTCTAAGGGTCTAGTGAATGGTGTCATCGGTCATGTAATAGAAATTATATGGCCCTGTTTCCGGAGAGCACAAATTGGTAACACCAGCATGGGCTTACGGTTTACCGTTTCTTCAAAATTTCAATAATTTCATTATTGTCGATCAATTGACATTGAATTAGTGTGAACCAGAATAAACCCTCGCGGGTTGCAATGGAGGGTCGAGTAAACTCACTCTCTTTTGGACGCAAACTAAGCTCATGGACGCTCATGAGCTCAAGATCGAAAGAGATCTAGTAAAGTGAATGAATATTTTTTCTGTAGAGTGTATTTTTTTGAACTATTAAACCATTGGGTTGAAAAAAGCTTCAATGTAAGTTTTTTCGTTAACCAGTTGACGCTCCTATACTTAGGAGACTCCAGGAGATTTATGTGACCTGGGAAATAACAAGATCTTACTGATATGGGTCGCAATGATTGCAAAACTACCATAAAAACGTATAAAAGGAAACGCAAGATAACTTTTTTTAAATATATTCAATATAATCACTTTCTTTTACGGTTAAAAAAATTCGTTTTGGATTTCGACTTGATACCTCGAAGCGGTCTTACTACTTGCTTCCGCTCTTCTCTGTGTTTTCTATTCCTTTCATCCATGGACCTATTCTTCTTCTTATAAGTTGAAAAAGTCATTTCTCGATTTCCCACTGAACTGACAAACCGAACTGAATTATCTTCAGCTAAAACTCTTTCACCTAAAGTAGCCCTGAAAAATCAATAAAAACCATATCAATACAGATTTGTGGATTGAAATTCTAATTGAAACATACCTATTCATTTTTTTCTTAAGGCTGTGTATTCCCTTGAACTCTTCTCCCTGTCTTAGTTCATATAATTTTGGTTGCCTAGTTCTTTCTTCTTCTTCTTTTCTATCGGCTTCATGTTTTTCTTTCAACTCTTTTTGCCATTGTTCTCTCTTTATGATGCGGTGCTGTTGTTTGACCTCTTTTGTCCAGGTGTGATCATCATCAGAACTATCCTCTTGGCCAGAATCATCATCCTCAGATTCATCAGAGCTATTTTTTCCCTCCAGTTCCTCCTAAAAAATTCAAAATGGAACTAATATGGCTTTCAACTGCAAACCTCCACACACTTAATACTTCGAAAATATATTTTTTGTATCATGTTCTAAAATTAACAATAATATCTCTATTGCCATTCTAATCATTAAGGAATAAGTTCCAAACAGATTCTTTTTTTCCAGAACAATACATTGATTGCATTGCCAAAAGCATACATGGATTTTAGTACAGAGTCTAGAAACAGGTAATTCATTATATTATGAAAAATAGACAGCAATGTGTTACTGAAAGGAATACTGATGGAAATCTAATGAAATAAGTGTATGAGAGGTGTACCCCAGGGGTCAGTGTTGGGCCCACTATTATACATTCTTTACACTAACAATGTGCCTGAAGTTGTTGATAAATACATGGTTCAGTATGCTGATGACTGTTCTGTGGTTTTCAATTCAACCGATCACGACTACCTACAGGCAAATATCTTCTTCGAACTAAAGATTCTGGAGGAGAACTTTACATCACACAATCTCAAACTGAACAAAAATAAAACACAAATCATATCTTTTACCCAAAACTGCACAAATAATACTTTTAGTGATGGTGTAACTAGTTTAGAACCAGTGACCCAACTTTCCTTTCTTGGAATTATAATTGACTCAAAGCTGAACTGGAAGAGCCACATAGATAAAGTGGCAACAGAAATGTCAAGGTACTGCTATGCCCTGAAAATAATTACACAAAATATATCCACTGAGGCTGTACACAAAAAATATTCCTATTGCAAAAACGGTGTCTCAGAAAAAAATTCAACCTTTCTCAGAGAGAAAGCTGTAAAAAAAATTCGTAGATAAAAGAATATTAACACTAACAGGTCTCTATATTTATGAATCTGTGGTATTTGTCAAAGAAAATATATCTCTTTTTGCGACTCATGATAGGAACCACGCCCACAACACATGAAACAAAAATAACCTTTTGAATATAAAGACACATTTGACCTAACTGCAAAAAAAATACCTTTTTCAATCATGAATATTTATTACAAGGTACCTGAATCTCTCAGAACTCTGTCTTCTGTGATCATGAAGAATAAATCGAGAACTTTGCTTTTCTCCAAAGCTCATTATTCGCTGGAAGAATTCTTCATGAAAATTTAAACTGATGTTGTTCGCGTTGAATATTTCATGTTGTATCATTCTACATTGCGATGTAGTTTAGTCTCTTTTGAACCCTACATATAGCTGTATATGTTCGTGTTCTGTATCTAATATAACAATATTACATTGAGTATATTGACTGTGATAACCTTGTTATTTATACATCTGTGGCCATTTATATTCTTAACCAATATTAATGATATTGCCTCATGATTTTTCTTACTAACTCTGTAATGTTTACTATAATTGACATGTTCTACACCTGAAAAGGTTTTTTATTACAAAGAACTAATAAAGGATATCTATCTATCTATCTATTAGACAGTTTCGAGCAAGTGTCACATCATTATTCAAGATGGGTAAATATTTTAGTATTATATTTGTATAACATTATAATGCAATGTTGAACCATCACTGTTGTTAGATTAAAAATCAAATCCATTCAGATTGTGATCTCCAAAGAAATAATATGAATAAAATAGTAAGTAGGTATATACTGTTTCACATATCAGTACCAACACTTTAATAAAAAATAATTATTAATAAACTTACCTCTACCGGTTCAAATTCTTGTGAAACTAACTTCTGCTTCAACTTTTTCGACTTGTCTTTATCCAACTTTGATAAAACTGGATTCAGCAACCGATACTCTTCAGAATTTTTATCGATTTCGAAGTCGGGATTTTCAAACAGGGCCTTGAACCTATTATCTTTGAGTAAAGAAGCAGCTCCTTCCTTCTTCTTTTTATTTTGGTCAGCTTCCTCCATGAGTTTGAGAGCAAGTTCTTTGTTAACGCTCGGTAACTTGTTTACTTGTACTCTATTCGCCCGTTCTTTCTCAATCGTTTCTCGTATCTTCTTTTTCCGGTACTCTTGGAATTCGAATGGATTGGCCACTGACCTCGCCTTTTTATATAATCGCACATCCATGAAATATCTGAAAGTTAAAGTTAAGAACATTTTGAAAATAGCTTTGAATTTGAAGCATTTGGTGCAGACACTGAATATGATGCTCCAGAATAAATCCATTTTCAAATTACTTACCCGTGCATATACGCTCTCAAAATATTCGTTCCGACAAGATGGTCCAGCCCAAGGTTGGTCAATTCTTGTTTTGTCACAAACTTGTAATCATCATATACATTTTCAGCCCTACTTTCTTCTAGCTCTTCTGTTAGTGAATCCAAAAAGCTGGCCCATTTAGGAGCAGGCCCCATGCTTGGAATGTAATACGTCTGAATTTTTGCACCTTCATTTGCGATAAATAGGAGGCCTGTATTGGGAACAGTACAGAGATTGTTGAAATCTGCCGACGACTCTATAGACGTATACGCTTTACCCTGCAATAATTTTCTTGGCGTCAGTCGAGTTGAACAGTTCAAACTATCGTTCGCTAACATAACTACTTCGGATTGAATAATACTTACATTATTTTTATCCCATATTTTCAAGACCGAACTGTCCATTGAAAATACCAGATCCTGCTGGTAATGGAATTCGATATCTTTAATGGGCAAACCGTACATGTGGTCTTTCACACAAAATGGTTTGTTAGATCGTATATCGTAAAGAAGTATGTGGCCCGATTCTGTACCAACACCCATCTGTAAAGCACCATTGAATTTTAAAGCTGATATTGATGGGAAACGTTCCAACCTTGAAAAAAATTATTTAGTATACCACAATGTGTTTGTTCACTTACTAATGCCAAATACATTAAGCCGAAGGATATTATTCAGAGGAAATGATATTTCTATCCTCCTTTGAATCATATACATGAATATTTTTCAAAGACTCTTCAACTTGAGACTTACCCTTTTGATTCATTGACACACGCAAAAGCACAATCTAGGCTGGCTACCATCGATGGACTTCTTGGATCCCACGCTTCTACTCTTCCTTCCTCAGTGCCGCAAATCAGCAAATGATGCACAGGATTTATTGTGCATTTATTGATGGCGAATGCACCACTTGTGTAGGGAGTCATAAACTGCCCCCTTTCCAAGTTCAATCGGTAAATGTCTGGAGATACTCCCACAATAAAAAGGTCGCAACTAGGGTAATGACACTGAAAGTCACGCCCATATTTGGGTATTCGCAATCTCTCAAGCCGCCCGAAGGAAGCATGAAACTCTATATATCGATCATTTTGCAGGAACACTAACTGAAAATCACAGATTTTGTATTTTATTATTCGTCGACAAACAGTTATGTATAATAATTAATGAATCAGATTACCTACCTTACTATAATCATCACTTAGTACTTCAAATGTTACTGCTTCAGAATCAAAACATCGCTCAAATTTCAATGATAAATTATTCACGTCAAAACATTTCACTCTAGGTTTATATATACCAGTGGCTAAAATATATTGTCCATCTCTGGAAACTCTTACGCTGTTACTGATATCGGGCATGTCGAAGTCTTGAATGAGTTCAATACGTCTTCTGATGTCCACATTTTTTTTCAAGAGCGCCCTTCTCTTTTTCTCTGACAACCACTGAAACAAGATTAGCTCAATTAGGCTTTCAATCCTTAATATGATGGCTATTTATTTCTTCAGATACTGTACTTACCTCTGGTAAAGATTTACCAGCGCTCAAATTGTATATTTTTATATTATTTGGATCGGAAACTTGCATCTTGTTCCAATATGAAGGTAACTATTCAAATAAATAAATAAATTAGTCAACTACAAATTCCCATTTTAAACAACATAACTTTTAGGTTATGCTAGTTTTAACATAACCTATTACATTGGAACAGTGTACCTGAAATCTTATTCTTCTTCAGTTTTCAATGGCTGAAGGACCATCAGTCAATAGTAGCAGAAGGAGCGAATAACTTTTCGCGGTTCTAACAAACACGCCTAATAATGATTCGTAGACCATTGCTGCAGGCCATGAAGATCTTTCAGAATCAGCTAAAATGTAATAACTGATACAGGCCATCGAAAAATTCTACGACCCAGTGCCATACCATCCTTATTTCCATCTCTTGAAGGTTCATCGTCTGGAGACAACAGCTATCATCAATTTTCAATTAAATCACAGTCAAAAGGCCAATATCACTGAATATGTTGGATATTTTATTATTATCAAATAGGGTTATCGAATATGCAGTAACTTTTGGAGGTATTCTGTATGTATATGTATGACTATTTAAAAATTTTAAGAATATCATGGTAATATTTTCAGTGATCAATTCTGAAATATTTTATGAGATCTTGAAAATATCTGAGGTGCTATTGAAACTGAAGACGGTCTTGAACTTTTCTGTTCGTATTAGGCAAAACCGACCCTCAGATCTACACTGAAATATAATTATCAAGGTTCTTGAAAACACCGAATAAGATCAAAGGCGCTGCCTGAGAGTTCCAATTCTGACTGATTACTATTCTGTGCGTTGACAGCGGTAACCGGTAACCTCTTGGTTAGTTAACAACAAACTGTGAGAAGGGTTATTAACCGAAACCGTTTGAAAATGAGTTAGGTTACGTTTGTGTATTCTTTCACATTTAACTTTATTTTTACCATTCAAATTTAAAATTTTACCAAATAATATGAAAAGTTTTCTTATCGGTGGCATCCTGCTATCTTTATTTGGATTTGTCTGGATGGGAACCGATGTGAATCCAAAATTATCGCGAATATGGGGACCAGGATTGACTCCCGATACAATCATAATGCCAGCTAGATATTTTTTCGTTAGTTTAATCGACCATAAAAACAATACGTAAGCACTGTTAGCTGTATTCATTATTTAAATTGGTTTACTCAGCTGTTTGATATTCATTTTTGGTCAAACACTGATTCTTACTTGTGTATCATTTCAATCTATACAACTCATTTGCTGTCGTTTTTTGCTCCAGTATCGGACACTCAGTTGGTAAATCACTTATAGCTACAATAGACGGAGGAACGAAAACAAAAAATCCTTGCCGAATAAGGACTAATGTATTGGACATAAAAGATGGTTCATATATCATCCGATATAAATTGTACGAAACTTGTTCCTACCTGAAAATTAATGTGGTGTATGAAGGTGAACATTTAGGTGAATCTCCTTATATAATAAATAATCCAGTTCCTTCTGATGACTGTATTTGCCCTGCCGAGAACTTAGATAAACTTATGAATCAATGGGACTGTGGAACTGTCCCTTCTCTGATCAAAGAGAAGTTGGATGTATTTGGTGAGATTGATTGGACAATACAGAGAAATGGCGTAAGTAAATATTTCTGAGTGATCTCCTCTACTTTCAAAAGTCATGGAATAATTTGAAAGGGTTGTATACTAAGTGAAATTTTTATTTTCATTGAGTATATTGTATAAGGAAAAATAAATTATATTAGGGTTAACCTATTCATATAAAGTTCTACTCTTCAAAAAAAAACAAAGAATTCCAACTATTTTCTTTCTTTTTAGCTGATAGAAACCTTTAATAAACCATATTCTGTCAGCATTTGCCATTATGTTATCAAGAATAATAAAATTCATCGAAAATGTTATGGAAAACATGTAGGATTCAATATGTTCGTGGATAATATCTTACTCTCTTTAAGTAGAAAATCGATTCTACCTGACATCGAATTTTTTACTAACCTCGGAGATTGGCCTTTGTCGACCCATGATCTAAGAAACAAGTATCCCATCTTATCTTGGTGTGGGAGCACTGAAAGCTATGACATTATCATGCCTACATATGACATCACCGAGTCAACCTTAGAGAATATGGGCAGGTACTATGAGCTGAGAAATACTAATTATCAGCCTTGAAAAATGTTCTCGATTTTTTTACAGGGTAACACTAGATATTCTCTCTGTTCAGGGAAATACGAAAGGCCCATACGAAACTAGAACTCCCAAATTATTTTGGAGAGGCAGAGATTCTAACAAATTTCGACTAGAACTCGTAAAACTCTCCAGGAAGAATCCAGATTTATTCAACGTTTCACTCACAAACTTCTTTTTCTACAGAGACGAAGAAGAAGTCTATGGACCCAAGACTGAGCATGTTTCATTTTTCTCATTCTTTGATGTGAGTAGGTAGTTCAAGGTCATTCACAAAATATTCAAATTTATTATTTTAGTACAAATATCAGCTGGCAATAGATGGAACTGTAGCCCCGTACAGGATGCCCTACTTACTAGCAGGTGGATCAGTAGTTTTTAAACCAGAATCAAAGTATTTTGAGCATTTCTACAAAAATCTGGAACCCAACGTACATTATGTTCCCGTGAAACAGAATATATCGGACCTAGTAGAAAAAATTAAATGGGCAATTGAAAATGACGAACAAGCAAGGAAGATAGCAAGAAATGCACAAAAATTTGCCAATGATAATGTGTTACCAAAGGATATATTTTGTTATCACTTCCACCTACTGAATGAACTGAATAAAATCATAACTAGTCCTGTAGAAGTATTAGAAGATATGGAACAAATTGAACAGAAAACGGTTCAAAACTGTGATTGCTCAAAAGTAAATAAAGACGAATTATAGGGATAAATTTATCATCCCTAAACATAGATATTGTAGTGAATCTCATTTTACATTCTATTTGTCTTTCAGATACTCATTCCAATAAGGGTATTCTTAAATATTTATAGTTGTTAATAAAGTAATTCAAAAAAATGTATTTTTATTTTCTGTTCTGAAACATCCATATGTGTGCCTGGAATATGTTCACAATAACTTTTGTTTAGTGTTGAAATAATTTTTACACCATTTTTCCAAACTTTATTTTGAAAAATATATTACAACATGTTTCGCTAGCACAGTAGCTTAATCAAGTGATAAATCACTTGAAAAAGCTACTGAGCTAGAGCTGTGCTAGAGTAGTTTTTGAAATTACTATGGATCATCAAGTAACGGCTGAATCAATCAGAAAATTTTTGAAAGCTATCTGGTGAGAGATTTCAACGGTGATAATTCTTTTAGACAACTGCCAATTCATCTTGACAAAAAAGAGGTGCTTCACTTACTTATTTTTGAACAAACTGCTGCAAAACCAGATGCGGGATGCTTTTATTACAACTAGATTTCAGGGTACTTAGATTTTACTCACACCAAAAAGACACATTTTACTGTTAGAACAAATCTTATATTGAGTTTCCTATAAAATCAATATCAACATATACATTTCAATTCAAACACCTGATTGTGTTCTTGTCATCATTATTACTACTTATTTTTAACTTCAAATGGCTATATGCTGTTGAGAGCAATAAACGATTCAATAATAATATTCTTCGTCTTCTTCAAACTTGTTCTTGAGAATATTGCTACCCATAAAACAAGTATTCAAGAATTTTCAGATAATTGTCTTGCCACAACTGCTTTGTTTTCAAAAGTTTTTACTGTATCCTGATTTATCAACATTAACTAAAATAACTTCTAATTCATGTAACAGTTCTCGCTTCACTGCATCCGGCACCAAGGATCTTGCTTTTGGTGTAACTTGTGCTATTAACTCATCCACTGTAGGAATGTGTTTTTCACCATTTTCCATGATAGCCTTCCGGCATGCGAGTCTTACTTGATCCCTCCAACCACTTTCAATCAACCTAGTCTGGACCAATTCAGTTACCCTGTAAAAGATTAATAAGTAAAATTGAAAAGAGGAAAAGAAAAAGTGGATACCTGTCTAAACCATTGTTTATGTCTAAGTGCATATTAATTTTTGAGTCGTATTCTTGGGGCATTTTCTATGTTGAATAAAATACAAAGCAAAATGTAAACAACTATCCTCTCCGGACACTAGAAAATGACATTACAAATTTTTCAAGGACAGATTAACTTCGTTTTCAGTATTGCCACCATTTTGAAATTCAACGTAACTAAATTTGAGTTCACATGGTGTTAGATAGTATTTGCAAAGAGTACACCAACAGATTTTTTTGAACAGTCAAACCAAAAGCGCTATCTGCTGAGTAAAAATGTTGACAACACACGGAATACCCAACCTTCTACTTCGTTCAATTATAAAGACTACTTTAACGATCAATTATTTAAGTTTAATATATCTTTTCAATCAACTGGAAATAGTAAAAAAAATGTGAAAAATATGTATCAACTCAAATATTCAGTTGGTAATACAGTTCCTCACCGAAATGGAGATTTTTTTTGAAACCCATTCATGATAGTGGGTAGTATTCCTTATCAACTCTTTGGTTCCTATTAAAGAATTATACATTGAAATATTTTAAAAATCAATAGCATTGAAGAAGGCATCATTATGTCAATGAGAGTATGTCACGAACTGTTATTTGAAGATAGTGTGTGTTGAGAAGAGTAAAAAATTTCACCAAAAGTTAATTTTTCAAAAAATACCTGACACGCAACCTTTTTTTACATATGACAAATGATATCTGAAAAATCTGATTCTAACATGTTTTTTCTCAATACCAAACGTTTGCCGAGCGAAGCGACCTAATCGAGAGCTCAGATTTATGTTAAATGAATACACCTTTAGTAAAAGCATTTTGAATAATTCCAAAAAAGGATCATAGATACTTCACATAGAAAGATCGCGAAGGGTGTTTCGCTAATGAAGGCCTCGCCGTGTAGTTGTTGGTAACGTTGGTATTAGAAAACTGTACTCTTGGCAACACTGTTTAACAAACTCATCCGCCATTATCGATAATTTTAAAGTTGTATTTGATATAATAAAAAATTCCTTAGTTCCGTCAGCAATGTCTATAATTTTAATTATTCGTGTACGTAATGCAAATTCTCGTTCAAGAACAGTATCATAAATTCAAAAGTCATTGTCTACCACTCATTAATTTGGTGGAGAAGTGTTTGAAAATCAAAATTTCAAAAACAGATGCTTTTATTGAAATCCTGTTGTAATATTACTGCAATTGTGAACGACTCTACAATTAAAAATGAGTGGTAATGCCGAGGATGAAAAGGATTCGCCAAAGGCGGTCCCTTTAGACTTGGCTCGAAATCAAATAACTACTGTGAGAACTTTGGAAGGGAAGACTCCCTTAGTTATGACAAATCACTCTCTGCGAAACATGAGAGTTTTAACACAAGGGGTAAGTGGTGCACACCCCTCCTCCATCAGTGGTCCTACTATTATTGCAACCAATTTAATGTCTCAAGGAGTCATTAAGCCAGGTGAGTGTAAATCTTTCAAATAAGGAAATGTACCCATATGCCAGTCTTTGTTACAGATACTTCAAGAACTCAAATTGCAAGTATAATAACTAGTAATGCTTCACAAGCCCAGGCTACTGGAAATTTGTCCAGAACCACACAGATTACTCTCACTACAGCTCCTCAAAATTTGGGAACCTCGTATCATGTTCCCAGAGGTCCAGCTGTTGTTGCAAATTTGGCTGCCCCTAGAAGCAACGTTTCAACAGTGAGAACACCAATGGTTGTGTCTGCCCAAAGTGGCCAAGTGAGTAATACAATAATAATTCGTTAATTAGGCTTAAACACAAAACTCCAAAATGTATCGTTACTTGTTTGTCCACTGATCACAAAATGTTGCTCATTCCGTTCAATATAAGCTCTCAAATTGTTACTTCCTTCCTACATCACATTTTCTCCCCGTTTAAAGCTTTATTACCACCATAATATTCACACTGGAGTCTTTGTTTGTTGGCAGTATCACAGTTAGTGAAAGTTAGTTATGCTCCGAAGGTCATACATGGACATCACGATTTTCAAGGCTTTCATTAGTGAAATTTTGAGAAATGCCATATTTTTATGGGCACACTAGTCCACATATAACATATGCTGTCATTCAATACACTATGTTCACTATATACTTCATGAAAAGAAGGTGCTATTTTGGTTGGTTTATTTTTATTATAAGTTAGGCTTTGAAATAGTAATTTAGTTACCTTCAAAAGGCATTATACCCAAAACTAGGTCTGACAAATTTCAAGGTAAGATTCCTCAGCAGACAAAAACTACCAAGTTGCAAGAAAACTTTTGAAAATTTGCACAAGCTTGCATAACGAATACTACTTATATTCTTGAAAACTTCCATATTCCAGACTCACCCTTTTGTACGTCCACCTCGTACTCCAAGCCCCGCATCTGGTACAGCTTGGCTGACAAATAGCTCGACAGGTGCACAGATTAAAGGTACCGCAACTGTCCTGAGTTCACCAATCAGAGGAACTACTGTGACCGGAAAACCTCAACTCATTAGCAGAAGCCAGACTCAGTCAGTTCCCACAATTCGACCTGGTACCATTTTACAAAATGCCATTTCCATAGGACAATCTGGACAGGTTTGTGTTTGCTGCATTTTTTTATCATTACTGGTAGTTACTGGCTCAAGAAATAAATATTAGTTTTATTGTGACAAAGTCTTGACACTTGACAGAAGATTAAATATTTTTGAGGTTATAATCTGTCTTGGCCTCTATTTGTTTTAATGTAATAAAATTTGTAGAACTTTCAAAGGTCGTGGTTCAAACAGCAGAGAAGTTTTTTCACATAAAATTCTTTCATTGCCATATTTTGTGAAAAACAATATTTCTAGTAACCCTACAGGAAAAGATCTATAAGATTCCAGTCTGGTGAATGAGGTGGACGCTAAGTAGTTCCTCTTTGCATCTGTTTTCATGATATTGTTAGCTGAATTTAATGATTTATGAAGCAAATAGGATCAAGTATTATCATTTACTTTCATTTAACTATGTAAATTAAGCAGTATTGTCTTATTAACGAATTTAGATTTTGCAGTCAAATTAATAGATTGATTTCTGAAGAATCGAACCACTTTAGTTCAAAGTGTAACTAAGAGATTCAAACACTGAGAATACGTTTTTTGGTATAATAGGATTCAACTTGAATAATTTCAAAAATTAATTAACAGTATTTTTCAAGAAAGAAAGCAATACATAGAAGTTGAAAAATTTTGAAAAAAAATAATTTTCAACATATGAATACCACTTTCAATTATGAACGGGACAATAGGGATTTCAACTTCAAGAAGGCATTATTTTTTTCTGTGACATTCAGATTCGTTTATGTAAGATATTCCAAAATGATAGTAATATTAAATTTTATATCAATAATCAACCTGGAAAATTATTCTTAAATAATTTCTGTTATTACGTTATAAATTTGATACTTACAGCTGAGATACTTGAAAGAAATCTAGATTTTGTTTTTGAGTTTTGGAAAAAACATAAACTTTTGATTATTTTCGATATGAGCTGCTGCTTTGGAAATTATGACTGAAATTGAACCTTTAATTTTCAAAACTCTTTTCTCTATTGTATCAAATTGGTTAAATAACTTGCACTGAAGTTTTTTGACAATTTTAGTGGTTTAGGAGATACAGAGATTTTTTTTGTTGATTTTTTTTCCTTATTACATTTCAAAAGTTGCAATTAGAGATACATTTCCCATAATAATGAAAGTTTAAGCAAAGGAATTTTTGATTTCATCAAATGCCTATCCTGTTTATTGAAGAAATAAACAGTACTGATTTTTCATTCAACTAAATTGGGAAGTGGGTGATATATAGGTCCATTGTAGTTTTGCTGTATGATTGAAATCATACATTGTACCAAATTTGACATTTTTTCTGCTTTAATGCAAGTAAATGTATTAGACCTGTTTATCCCTGATGTACAAAGCTGAATCGATCAATATGTACGCAATCCCACAATTTTAAAAGTTTGGAGTTTGAGGCATACCTGTCATTCAATCAAATCATTATACACTTGTCATTTACTTGGCAAAATCTCCAAAATTTTTAAATTGCACACGTTTAAACTAATCTACTTGGTGCGCTCTGTATATGTCTTTTGATAAAATGAAAATTGATTAATTTAGATCCATTCGTTCAAACCGGGAGCAGCGGGAATTCAGGCTTTAGGAAATGCCGTTACTATAACGCAAGTTTTGCCAAATCGTACACAAGCAGTTGTCTATAGTGCAAATACAGCTCCGCAGTTCAGTCCAACAGCTAGATTGACAGTACCTAGCGCTACACAGAATCAAAGACCTCCCCAGCCTAGAACTATTGTAAGTCTGTTTTAGTGACTCATTTTAAGATAATTAGAACATTTTATTTGAGATGCATGAACGAGATATTAGCCCCTCCCCTTATAGTAATATAGTTTATACAACATACAATAATAATTTTCTCTATAACAATTTTCTTAATAAATAGTATTTTGTTGAATTGCTGATCATCTGGCAATAAATGTTATTTTAGGGTCAAATAACTACGACACGTTTGACAGTACCAGTGAATGTCTCTCAGTCAGGTACACGTTTGGTAACTCCTCAGGCGACGGTTCTTGCTTCTGGCACGAGAATATCCACCGTTCCCTCTCAACAAGGTAGTACTCTGGGATCCGCAACCAGAATCGTTACGAGTCAGTCGAACGTGTCCCTCGGCAGAGTGTCTGTTGCCGCAGCTCCGACCGCAGTATCTACCGCCAATTTATTGGGGCAGACCAGAATATCGGCTGTCAACTTGCATCCCTTCGTGGCAGTGGCCAATTCTTCACAGTCGAGGAGTATTTCTAATCAGGGCGCTAAAGTTATCACGCCAGCTCAAGGTAATAATGACGTGACGTTTTTTATTTGGAAGGAGTAATGTTTGTACGATGAAAGTTGCTGTATATTTTATGATAAAGTCCCTCAACGGAGTAGGTTGGTTGAAGTTTACACTTTATTGTGAAAATATCGCAATAATTATTGGATTTTTCTCAAGTATCCGCTAATTCCATCACAAAAGACCTATCAAATGTGGTATACAAGAATAAGTGCCGAAAGTGGCGTTGTTTGTTACAATTTTGTATGTCTTTTATATATAACCTTCATTATATAAGTACTTACTTTCATTTTTGTACAGACTGTATGATCTCAAAGCATGATTTTTTAATATTTGTTCTGTATGTGACATGTTTGATATCATCTGTAGGAACTTTAAGGACAAATTAAATATACAGTTGTGCTTTTTCATGTACATTTTTGTCCGACCTTGATATCTTTCCCCATTAAAAAGTTTAAAGTGAAGGACTTTTTTACGTCTGCACTGCAAAAATAGTACTTGTCTGAAAAAAAAATTAATAAGGATTTTCATTTTCAGGAACAATTCATCTAACTCCACTTTCTACTCCGGTGAAAACAACCTCTGGTGTTGTTAACACTACTACGAGAACAAGTGAGTGAATTACATTTTCTGCATAACCTGAATTGGGGAATGTTCCTCCTGACGAAAATCAAGTAGTTTTCATAAAAGAGCTCTGAAACAACGCATTTCAAACTTATCATTTCAACCTTTTTCTTTAAAAAATTATTTAAATACTTAAAAAAGAGTAATGAAATAATGCATTCAACATTTAAAGGGATTCGTTTCTATTTCACCATTTGGCAACATCGGTTATAGCTAATAAAGGACAATGAATATGTTACCTGTATGAGACAAACAAAGATGACATGTTTCAGAGGCGTGCTGTTCTGTTTACTTATGTTCCAAGTTCCGACACATTCTGTGACATATGACATTTTGTGCAACTAACCTATCTTCCTCTATATAAATAAATAACAAAACAACTGTTGTTTATGTGGCTTTTGGAGGTGGTATTGAAGTATAATTTATATTTTGCCTTAATTGTTGATTTATAAAGATAATTTTCCTTTTTTAAAGTAGAATATCTAGGTAACCTGAACTCCGATCTAACATTGTGTGAATGTGAATTAGAAACAAATCCCTTTAAAAATTAAAACCCAACATTTAAAACATCAATTTGAATACTTTTCAAAGTGAATTTGAAAAACTCATGAATTAAACTCAACTTTATTTTGTTCAAACTTGCATTTGCTGTAATAACCCAAATTGAGGAACATCCCCCTTTGTGCCTTTAACAATTTAACGTACGCTACAGCTAGAACGGCTTACTTTGCATTGATCGAGTCTCATATTCACTATGGAATAGCTTTCTAGGGCCATTGTAATTTACAGTTACAGAATATGATATTTGTGCTACAGAAGAGGTCTTTGAGATAGGTACCTTACAGAGTCTAAGCCGAGAGATCACTGCAAGCCTTTATTCATCAGCCACAAAATATTATCTGTCACCTTTTTATACATTTCGGAAACAATATGCTTAATTCATAAAAATGAAACTAGCATGTACACTCCCAGAACAAATTGTCACAGCAGTGGACAGAACCATATGCTTTACTTACCTATTCCAAAATTCTCCTCGACTCAGCATTTTCTGATTTATGAAAGTATTAATGTATATAATCACCTTCCCACCATTCTAAAAAATAGCACAAATATCAAAAAGTTCCGAAGAACAGTTGAATATCTTCATCCAAAAAGCTTATTTTTCTATCCATGAATTCTACAGTGATAACCTGTAAATTCTAATTGATTATTCAATGTTCACCTAAACTCATCTGTCTTCCTTAAGTTATATTTGTGAAATTGCAATGTCTATATTTTTTATATTTTATGAAATGTATTGTATTTTTTATATTTTACAACATGCATTTTATTTTTTTACAAAACTTTGTCAATAAGATAGTAATCTTCCGACAATAAAGCATATATTGATTGATTTATTGAAGGAAAAATATGTGATTTATTTGACCAATTATTGTTTCAGTAAATGTGCCAGCAGCCATAGTGACGCAACAAAGGCAAGCAACTCTAGTTCCTTCATACTCTCTAGGTAGCGGTACTTACTTTTATGATAACAACATGACCAGTTATCCAGTTCAGAGTCGCCCGTTCGGTCAGCAGCAATCGGCTTTTGCTGCGATCCCCCAAACGTCTCAATCGCATATTAGGCCTCAGGCTAATACCCAGATACATGGTAAGAAATTTTGAATGAACTTTCTTTATCAAGATATTGAACTAAAAATTATTGATCACTCTTCTAAATATCTTTAAAATAAGATTTAAAACAGCTGTTTACCACTACGAAAATAACAGAATAATTCGAAAACTTATTTGGTAACTGAATATCTCAACATCTTATCATAAAAATATGTTTCAGATGCAATTTTTTGGTTGAAATAAGATTCCAGAAAAAACTCAATATTCCTTATCAAGTGAGGCGTCAGTACTTATAATAAACTTGTTTTGTTGACAGTTCTGTATCTTATACAAGAAATAAATGAAGACTGATAAAAAATAATTTAATTTTGAGATGTAACCATTCATGTAGCATAAAAATTACTAAGTGAAACTTATATAAGATTTGAACTACTACTACTTCAATGAATTTTGAGAGTGTTTCTTCCCAGAAGTTGATTAGTCATGATTTTTTTCTGCATTAGTTTTTTTTGTTTGTTTTTTATAATGAGCAAATGAGTCATACATCATCTGATTTTTCTTTCTTTACTTCAATTTATTTCACTTCCTTCTTCACAATAAAACAATCTGGAGTCACAATTGTAAAATTAAGGAAGTACTTCCATACAATCGTTGTAATATGTTCGGTATTCTTGTTCTTTGAGAAGGCAATGTTCCTGCTGACGAAAATCAAGTAGTTTTCATAAAAGAGCTCTAAAACAACGCATTTCAAACTTATCATTTCAACCTTTTTCTTTAAAAAATTATGTAAATACTTAAAAAAGAGGAATGAAATAATGCATTAAACATTTAAAGGGATTCGTTTCTGTTTCACCATCTGGCAACATCGGTCATAGCTAATAAAGGGCAATGAATCTGTTACCTGTATGAGACAAACAAAGATGACATATTTCAGAGGCGTGCTGTTCTGTTTACTTATGTTCCGAGTTCCGAGACATTCTATGACATATGACATTTTGTGCAACTAACCTATCTTCCTCTATATAAATAAATAACAAAACAACTGTTGATTATGTGACTTGTGGAGGTGGTATTGAACTATAATTTATATTTTGTCTTAATTGTTGATTTATAAAGATAATTTTACTTTTTTAAAGTAGAATACCTAGGTACGCATAAATTATTTCAACTAGATATAGGCGCTGTTGCCAATATGTGAATTAGAAACAAATCCCTTCGAAAATTAAAACCCAACATTTGAAACATCAATTTGAATACTCTTCGAAGTGAATTTGAAAAACTCATGAATTAAACTCAACTTTATTTTGTTCAAAAAGAATAATTCCAATTAAAACCACTTTTACCAACCAAGTTGATGCCCAAGTTGGATTTATTCTATACAAGAAGTTCCAATTCTGTCATTTAGTATTTCTGATATACAGTGCTTTTCTTTAATGCCCCCCCTCCCTTCTATTTTTTGAACAGGTCAACTCAAAAAATTGAAATTTGGGATAATGAAATTGAAGCACGAATACTTTATTTTGAAGTGAAATTGCCGGATAAAACTTTCAACTGGGAGTCATCTGGGAAAAAAATTAAATGGAAAAGGGGGTCTTGTGACCCATCATTTTGAGGCTCCTAACGAATACTTCACAACCCTAGAAAATGAAGTCAATATCTTCAACTACTACAAAATGGCAGAACTTTTAATAATTGCCTGAACACATTGACATTTAACTACATAATGTGAGGTAATAAGCTTGAGGTCAGATCAGAAGATGCGGTATATCCAATATTGAAGCAGGTTCAATTTCGTACACTTTTGCTTCAAAAAGCCCCATAAAAACAGTCCAAAGGTGTCAAATCTGGCGAGCAGGCTGGCCATTCTGTAGGACCTCAACAGCCAATCCAACGACCGGGAAAAGTAGTATCCAGGAGTTGGCCCGTTCAAAAAATGGAAGGAGGGAGGACATTAAATAAATGCACTGTATTACAATGTAGAAATTACTAAAAAGTATGCTGTGTAGAGAAACCTTGTATCAGAAATCAGACATCGCCACCTAACAGAAACACAACTTAATCAATTAATAAATTTCTTATTTTTTTATATTCTTGTATGTATTTTTTTGTGAAATATTGTCAGATAAGTACGTAATTTAAAGCAATTTTTTGTAACACGGACGAAAAGGTGGATGGCCAGTTGAGCAAATCTGTAATTTTGTTCAATAATCTAAAATTATTATTATATAATGCATCTGTCAGTTTTTTAACTGAATCTACTGAAAGGAAGATGTAAAAGGAGTCTTATAGAATAATGAATTCATTTTACAACATTAGGAATTATGACAAATCAAATGAGGTTCAACTCTGTCGTGGTGGTGGAACCGAACCGCAGCGGTCAGCAGCAGTTCCAACCCTCTCACGCCAACGATCAACAACAACAACTCCATCACCAGGTCCAGGACCAAGTGCAACAATCTCAACCTCCGAAAGTAGTTTCTTCTCCGAGACCGAGCATACTGAGGAAGAGGGATCACGAAGGATCACCCTTGAAAGTGGCCAAGAATCTCATACCTGTTTTAGCGAATCTACCAGTACAATGCTCAGTATCGGCGGCCCAAGTGCAATCTTCTCTCGTCTCGATTTCTCCACCTCTCAGGCCTGACTCTAGGGGTAATGGGCACAGTTCGGGTAAGTTTTTTGTTGTCTGTAATGTAGGTCATAGAGCAGATAGAGTAGAGTAGTACTTTGACCATATTACTACATACTACAGTACATTTATGTCAAGAAATACTTCTACAAAATATTAAAAGTAAGACAATTGAAAGCATACATATTAGTTTTTAGTCAATGGTTATTCGAAAGGAGAATATTTGGTGATTTAATGTAGAATTCATTTCTACCGAGGAACTATGGTGGTACTTGTAATGCACCGTTTGGAACCTTTGGTGTAGTAATGAATAATACTGGAGTTTTTTCCCACACCAAACCGTTATTTTAACACCTCAGCACGTGTTTCGATCACCAAGTGATCATCTTCAAGAGGAAGATCAAAGTTTGATCAAGAGGAAGGTCGAAACTTGATCTTCCTCTTGAAGATGATCACTTGGTGATCGAAATACGTGTCGTCGAGGTGTTAAAAATAACGGTTTGGTGTTGGAAAAACTCCAGTAATATTTCAACTATGGGGGTGCTTAATTATTACCTTGGTGATTACAACTTTATGTCACGGAGGAGTTGAATCAATTTTATAATGTATTTTATTGTAATTTCGATTCTGCAGGTGGAAGCACCACCTTATCAGCAACGTCGAGTCCTGGACTCGCAGAGGTTAACGAGGATAGCAATCATGTTTCAAACAATAACAAAGAAGAAGAAGAGTCGAAACCACCTTTGGGGATGAGCCCTAGGAAAAAACCTAGAAAACAACAGTTGTGAGTAAAAAGTTTATGTTAACGATTTTATTGAGGTTAGTGTTATATGCAAATATCTCATCTACCTAATGTTTATAATATTTCATAGTTTTTCATAGTTGTTAATAGATAGATAGATCTTTATTTAAATAGGATATCCTAATAATATACAAATCAACTAGAATGGTAGAAATAAAAAAAAAGGTACGTGTTACATATAGAAATGACTTAAATGTATGACAAACATAAGTTCAATAAAATATTTTTAAAGACATTACTACAAAAACAGCAACATNTATCTAGAAATTATCAAACCGTTTAGGACCAACACGAAATTTCCAATTTCAATTTTCAAAATATTTCATTTAAATTTATGAAATTCCCTCCTAATGTTCAGAGATTGTGATAACCCAAGAACATTAATTTTTCAGAACTGGCAATGACCTGGACGAGAACAACGACGATATGCAATTCATATCTGATAATCCACCGAAAAAAGAAAACGAAGACTCTGACGTCAACCATTCAGACGAACCCAAAGATGGTGCCCCGGAAGCAGGACAAGTGGCTCAAGTTCGCAAGCCCGCTTCGGCCAGTCTCCTGAACAGCTACAAGCAAAACTGGAAGGCCACTCACAATCATTATCTGCGCCATACGGACGTCAGGCCGAAGGACGAACGGAGGCCGACGATTATGGATCTCGCCAATCAGTATAGGGTGCAGGAGAAGGTGAACGGGTGGAAAGTTCATCATCTCTCGACGCAAATGGAGGACCTGGTAAGGCTGGTCGCATTTCTTTTATTCGGTAGTTGAGAGCGAATCTTTGTGAGTGAAGATAGTTTCTGTATATTGTTTTTTTTTTTCTTAGGCTGACCAGGAACAAACTGTTTATGATCAGTTGACAGAATTGTTGAAATGTACTGAGTCTGAAGAGGGCAAGCACTTTGATAAGGATGTTAATAGAATCAACGAGCTTATCAAGGTCAGTATATATTGAACTGTTTTTTTTTTTTTTTTTCCTCATCATTGAATTGACAATGAATGACAATGAATCTGACGAGTTCTTGACTATCTAACTTTTTTGTTATATGTTAAGATCGTTAAGTTTCTCATGTCTATTGAAATCTCTGATATATAGAGGTTTAACAAATTTTGTTCTGGTTTTTATTTATTTATTTACGGCGTTACCTATTTTTACTAAATAATTAACAAATTCACACATATGTGCTATAACTAACAGCTAGATTTAAGGAATAGAAAGTCCCTAACACAAATAAATCCTAGGAATTTAGACCAATAAATACTTTGCCTTGTATTGAAGAAATATTAGAACTCTCAGTTCTTAATCAACTCTTTGAATATCTAGAAAATAATGATATTTTACTAAAATATCAGTCAGGTTTCAGAAAACACCATTCATTCATGTGAGTCTGCATTACAAGTCACAATATCAAAATGGAAAGAATCAATAGATAAGGGACATTATATTATAGCCGTATTTTTAGATCTTAAAAGAGCTTTTGAGACAATTGATCGCCACATATTACTAAATAAACTGCAAAGTATTGGTATCAGGGAAACTGTTTTGTTATGGATGACTAATTATTTATCACAACGCAAACCGGTAACCAAAATAAAGGATTCAGTGTCATCTTTTCTCGATGTCGTTTTCGGGGTACCTCAGGGGAGTGTTTTGGGACCTGTATTATTTTTAATCTACCTGAATGATATAGATACCATCCATGGTTGTGATTTCATGAACCTTTTTGAAGACGACACTTTGTTATCAATTTCAGGAGATAATATAGAAACAGTAGCTGATCAAATGAATAATGAACTAAGAAATGTTTTCAAGTACATGAATCGCAATGAACTGAAACTCAACACCTCCAAAACAAAATATATGATCTTATCAACTGGTTTTAAGCTATCACTCATCAACAAACACAATATAAGATTACAAATTGCAATTTGTATAATAATTGTATAATCCAACCCCATTTTGATTATTGTGCTAGTCTTTTATACTCATTTGACCAAAAAATACAAAAAAAAAGGCAAAAATAAGCCAATCAATTACAATCTTCTCACAGTCTTTTTAAATGATTCCAAAACCAATTTAAAAAGTTCTAAATATGTGTTAGAACGTCTCAAAATTCTACCTATAGACTCATTCTGGCCATAGTTTGATGAAAAGGTATTTTGAAGATTTCTGTATTTCTTATTCTCTTTAGATTCACATTCAAAGTTATAATTTCATTGAATTATGGGGAGTTAATGCTACCATTGATTATTTTGAGAATTAGCGTGAGATCTGATTCTAATCTTCTATGGGCCGGAGTATTCAAATTAATAATGTTCAATATAGTTTTATAATTATATTCACCAATATGATATCCCAGTTTGTATGCAGAGTACCTCAATATCAATATCCACATTATATGAAGGGCACCTTTTGTTAACATAGTTTGTTCTATGCTTTGTTATTCCAATCATTCCATTCAAGAGTCTTTTTTTCAATATCGTCTGTTGTCCTATAATACTTTACTGTCTGAATCAAAATCAAAAGTATGAAGAGATGATTTACAATAATCTGCAAGGCTAGTGGGATTTTTCATTGTTTTCAGTAGGTTTCAGTAGTTCAGTAGTATTTTTACAATCCCTGCTATGTTCAGTCATTCTGTGTTTCAGATACCTACCTGTTTGCCCTATATATATACTTTCTCATACTCAGCACATGGTATTTTGTAGATAATATTGGATTTCAGGTCCTTTGGTGTTTTTGTCTTTAAATCTCGTTGAAAATTGATCAAAAATTGATTTTTAATTGTGTTTTCACATTTCTTACTGATTTTGAAATTTTCATATTCTAGAACATTGCATAGTTGCGGTTTCAGACCTGCTACATGCTTTAATTTGAAATATATAATATTCAACGATGCTTTTTCTTTTTTTTTTGTGTATTCACTCTGTCAGAATATACTAATTTTTTTAGTCAAAGATCTAGGATAGCAGTTCTTAAGTACTTAACATAGTTTCTATTAGTTTCAAGTTTTGGTTTTTACAATTCTCATGTGCTAAGTGTGTAGCTCTATGTTTAAGATTGTTGATGATGTTTATTTTTTGTCATGAGATGAATAGAGTGGTAGTTTATAAATCTTTCAGAGTATGTTGGTTTATGATATAATGTTGGTATGATATAAATGTAATATATCTGTTGAAAATCTATAGGTTATTATGATGGAGAGATTGAGATGATAACTTGGTTATTTAACTAAGTCATAATGAATTTTGCAATGTCTACATTGAATTTATTGATTTTCATTCTTTTTCAGGGCAATCTTCAAAGAATAAAGATTATAAACGATGGCATGATAGAAGCGAAAACGTCAATAATGAAGATATTTGATCACAAAGTTCACGTGACGGACATAATAAACCGATGTGCCAGTAAACGTAATTTTAAGAAACGCGAAAAATCTTAGATTTGTAAATATGTGTTATGTTCTTTTTATTAATAGGTTTATATAATTTTGTATAAGCGACAAATAATGTTTTATAGTGATTTTATAAGATTCAGAATTTATTTATCAGATATATTTGTAAATGTGAAAGTTAACAAAAGAAGTTATTATGTTGATGCAATTTTTGAATAGAGTGATGGGAGTGTAAACATCAAGACTATTTTGGGACAGGACAGAATAAAGATGTTTTTGATTCACAATTAGTTTCATTTTGTCAGAATGATATGCGCATTTCTAGGTGGTACTTTTGTTACACCCTGTATTTGCTACTGAAGAGCCGATAAGGCAAGTGTCAGTGTCTTACGGCGAAACATCGATGTATACCAGTGAGGATGACAGTGTTCCATGTAAGTGCAATTTGTTACCATTCATTTAAAGTAGAACTCGTGTGAATGATATCTGATTTTATTCCACAACGAATGTTTGAAATACAAACTGAGTAGAGAAAAGTATCTTCTGTATAATTCAGTGTTCATATAGAAGTAGCAGTTTAGAACTCATGGATAGAAAATTTGTAAATAGCTTCATTATGGAAATGAAGATAAGACCTCAGAGAGATTCTTACTGTTTTTGTAGGTTTATAAACTCCACAATCTGAAAAATATAGCTAAATCACAGATGATCTATCTATCATGATCTTGAGCTTGAGCTTGATTTTTCAGTTCGATGAACTGCAGCGTGCTTTTCTTCTCAATTAGGGATTTCTGTCAGTTTCTAATTACTAAGCTCGACTGACTGTGTGTTATTCAAAAGGTACGCTTGTTTGAACTTTCTTTGAAACACTAAGGTAAAGAAAAAATTAGTTATTCATCAACTACTTTATTTACCTCTTATATACAAAAAACAAAAATTTAATCATATCGAAATAGCAAGTCAAAAATTATACCAGCTAACTGTTAGCTACTAATCATACAATTATACAAAATCAATCAATAATAAAGTTCCAGTATTTCTCACAGCTGACATCACTCAGTCTGCTATTATAACGAAATGGGTAGCATAGTCGTTACCTCAATACGTGAGTAACTGAAACGAGTACGAATGTTTTTCCAACAAAAAAAAACAGAGTTCATTCCAAGTGTCCAAATTATTGGAACATGCACTACATCAATGCACTCACGAAAACCGTCCTCGCCCTCCCTGATCTCCCCTACCGCGACCTAGCCCGCGATTTCCCCTCTGACCCCAACTGCCGCCTCTTTTACCAGGGCCACCGCCCCTCGGACCCCTAATGCCAGGACCTCCCCTTGAGCCTCTGTTACCACCGCCGCCTCTTCCTATCTTTTGAACCCTTCCGCTTCCCAGAGCGATTCCCCCTCTACCGCGCTGGTTGCCTCTGCTCCCTCTCGGACCGCCCCCTCTCTGCCCCCTGTGGTTGCTTCCTCTGCCTCGGAAGTCATTGGAGGAAGAAGGAGGCATTTCAGTCCACTCATCTTCGTTACGGTCATTCCAACCGTCATCTCCAAGGTCGTTCCAGCTGTCTTCGCTTGGATCGTTCCAGTTGCCTTCGTTTTGGTCGTTCCAGTTTCCGTCGTCGTTCCAGTTACCATCCATTTTATCGTTCCAGTTGTCATCGCTGTTGTCTTTCCATTTGCTGTCGCTTTGTTGATCCCAACTATCTTCTTTTTGGTTGCCCCATTTCCTGTCGTCCGGTTTGCCACTGTTCGGTTTGAAACTATTTCCTCTGAAGTCCTGGTTGAAGGGCATTTTACCTCTGCCTGCCGAAAGGTTACCCCGACCTCGACGGAAATTGTTGAACTTCCCGTTGCGGGGCCAGTTTCCATCTTCATAAAAGTCTTCGTTATAATCTTCTTCTTCGTCGTACTGATTATTCCTGAATTCTTTGTCGTCCCTCTTGTTGTAACGGAAATCTTCGTCTAGGGGTTTATTACGCAGAGAGTTCCGCATATCAAAGTCTCTACGTGGTTTATTTCGGAAGTCGATATCCATAGGAGCTTTTCTAAAGTCAACGTCGCCCATGTTGCGCATGTCGCTATCCCTTCCGCTGAACTGCCTCATGTCTTGATCAGAATGCCGCATATCGAAATCCGTTTTCGAGTTTTTGAGGTCTTTGCTTGGAATGTTGCTTTTATCGTTGTCATCGTCATAGTCGTCGTTCAGATAGTCTTCCTCGTCGTTTAACGGCATCACGTCGTGAAGCTCTTCGATTTGGCCTGAAGCTATGAATTTCTGGAGGGCGTCCGGTCCGTCGGCAATTGCCTGTTCCAGTTTTGATCCGGCTGCAAAAAATTATAAATAATGCCTATGTAATGGGACGTACATGAAAGCACTTACGTTCTACTGGAATCAGTTTCCCGTATATTATTATAGCATTAGGGGCAATTTGCTGCAAAGGAACTACTCCAGGAGTATTTTCTACAATTTGTGTAATGACTTCACTAAGAGCTCCTGCAGGATCATCTGAAACATTTCATGAGTGTAAGAAGTGAAAGTTGATGAAAACTTCACTCAATAGTTCATGGGTAATGATTGTCAATAAAATTTAAAGCCAAAAAAGTTTCTCATCATAATCTGTCTTACCATTTGTCTCGTTCCATTGAGCTTGGAAATTACGTGGAATGGGTTTGCTGAAAGGCACTTTCTTAGGCTTTGGTTTTTCTTCATTACCGATACCGTCCAAGTCCAATCCTGGAATTGCTTGATTTTCATCGGTTATAATGGAGGTAATATCAACTTTATCTTCAGGACCCATTCCAGGAATTATCGAAGTCGGTTCGTCTAAAAAGATGGTGTAAATCATAATCAGGAATATATTACAAAACAAAAATTCAACTTACCGTTATTACCCATTTCTAAATCTTCCAGTCCTGCGATTCCCGATGGTAGTGTGTTCAAATTGTATTTATCCCTCATTTGGTCTCCGGGCCTGTTCCTTGTCCAGAATTTACTAGTGTGATCGTTAGATCCGGAGCAAAGAATATGTCCGAGCGGATGCCACGAAAGAGTCCAAACTATACTGTCATGCGCTTGTTCTATTGCTCCTACTTCTTTATCAGCACTGAAAAATCAAACGAAAGAGAAATCAGAGAAAGAACGAGTCAAATAGGGAGGGAGGTGATGCTTATGGTGACGAAAACAGTAAGTTTAGCAATAAAACAAATTCTTCTTTCTTGATTCCTATGTTCGAACATAAAATAAGAACGTAGGACAGGAAAAGTAAAAGCATCATTGGTGCTCAAATGGTGAAACAGCAAAATTGTGACAAGTAAAGCAAATGAAGCATTGAATTTTTTCGACAGTTTTACTCAAAATGTATTTCAATTTCATAATACTTCATAAACATGCCAGCTTTACTACCCAAGATTAAAATCAAACTTTAAAGGATTGCATTTTGACATATCAAAACGTTTTTATGAATGACTTCTCGATTTAATGAATTTTATCTTATATGCTGACAGATATGTACTGATGGAGTCCAACTAATGTGAAACAAGTCCTAGGGTTGGCTTCTCTGACTGACTATAGTGCTAAAACTCTCTGAATCTGTTTCCTGAAATATTGTTGGTAGGTGGAAAACAAAGAACATCTGAATAACGTAAATAAAGTGCTTGTTTGAAAGAATACATACAGGTGAAGCTAATAAAGGCGTGATAAAAATAAAAAGGAAAAGAAAAGAAAGTAGAAGGGATTTCAAATCATTTTATATAATATTATACAATAGAAGTCCGAACTAATGAAAGTAAATAAAGTGCACCTACATTGAAATTCAGATGTTTACCAACACATTTGAAATGAATCAATTTTATTTCCGGAAAGTGATGGAAAATGTTCTTAAACGAATAATTTAGTTTTTGTCGACATTTCAAACTATCAAGTCCCTCATTAGGAATTGAATATTAGTTTATACATTGATGGAAGTTAGAAACAAAAAGGAGTTTAGAGTACTGCCAAAAAAAGTAAGTTCCTTGCATGTCGAGTGTGTTAGGGAAGTGATTTTGCAACCAAATGGGATGCTAAAATGACTGAGCTTAACGGTACTTAAGCAGTACCTAAACAGTACCACAGGTAGGTATACTTCTCTCTAATACATAGACATTTGCAATGCCTAACAATAATATGGGAGCGGTATTACTTATGCCGCTAAAGAAATTTCAAAACAAAGCCATGAAATATACATATGATCCACTTTATACTACCACATACTGGAACTTTATAATAAACATCATATAAGGGTCATCAGTAGCTTATATGTTCAATTAGGTGGATTCATTTATACATCAAGTACTGGAAAAAGAAATTCTCAAACAAAGTTTCATAAGAGAAAAGATATACATAGATATAGATGTTGAATCCTGCCATTTGATTGGTTATAATTGCATGGAACCATCAATGAACGCCATTATTTTTATTATTATTTTTTTTCAAACCCAAGTTTTCGCTATTATTATTTTTTTTCAAACCCAAGTTTTCGCTGGTCAGGCCCTATCCCCTGAAGCCCTGATACATTCGGAGGGCACACCAGCATTATCAACCAACGACCACCCCCCACAACGTGGCATAAGTGATCACTGGGTACATGAATCATGTGCCCTGAGCAAGCGCACGGAGCCGAGAATGACAGCCTTCTGCATCTGTGCGGCTAAGCTTTCTGCCTTAGTGCGGCAAGCCGTTATGATTATTATTATTATCATTATCAAACCCAGAATTGCCATGACAGTAGGTGCCAGAAAACATGAATACAGATGTGAAAAGATTTATTAAATTGCTTGAAATCTCAAGAAGCATTATATATTTGATTTTTCTTGTGCAAAAATGTATTGTTGTTCATTAACATTCGGTAAACATTTGTTTGCTGAATGTTAACTGTGACAGCTTCTACAACATATTTTATTAGCAAATAAGTTCTTGGAGTGTAAACATTCTGGAATCAAAAAAATTAAGCTAGTTTTGAGTATCTCAACAAGTAAGTTGGTGTCATTTGCAGTACAATTTCTTACCCCACGTGCCAAAACATAATGGCCCCATCGGAACCGCCACTGCTGAAAAGTCCTTCATGAATAGGGTGCCACGCTACACTCGAAGCTTCCTTTTTGTGACCCCTAAATGTTTGGACTTCTTGGCTAAGATTTCTGACGTCGAACAATTTCAGCAAATGATCTCTAGAAGCTGTGATTAGCCAATTGCCGTTATCATTCCACTTTAAATCCATCACAGTCGATTTATGAGCGTGCCTAAAAAAGTATCGGTATCAAATATATGTGTGCTGTCTTATTGACCACCACTTACAGCGTCGCCAATGATTGTCCCGATTTGGGATCCCATAATTTTATAGGTTGCTGGTTGTCTTTGCTACCAGATATGATGAGGGCTTTCTGAGGGTGCCAGTGAACACATTTTACGTCAGCTCCATGACCTGAAATGAGATTCATTTGTAGGACGGTTAAATTCAGTTCATGAAGATATAGAGTGAAGTCTGTATCATGTGATATTTTTCTTTGCCATTAGTTTTTGTTTGCATCAGAGAAAAGTAAAAATTCAAACAAAATTAGTAAGGGTACTATGCAGATCCTGGGACAAAATCTCGTGCTTTTTCTTGTGGCGCTTCAATTTGCAAAATTTCAAGGTCATTCGAACTGATCGGCGAGGAAGGTGTTCAGGATGAAGTGAGTAAATATCATTTGGATTGAAATCGGAGATGGGGGTTAAATAATAATGATGATAAAAATGATGTCATCATATCGTTTAAAGATGTCCAACAAGAGAAATTTTATGCCATTGACCAGAGTCGCCTCATTGGAGTTTCTAATTACTGATTACATTGGAAAACTGTTGACGAATCATAAATAGATGTAACGATTACACGCAGTATATGAATTATACAGAAAAGGTGGAGTTAGACGAATTTTAAGACTTGTGTATCGTGTTTGTTAAAAGATTAAACAATGTGCAATGAAGAATAAGCATCAATTTAAAATTAAGTTCAACAATTTACTCGTAAAATGTACTGAAGTAACATTTCATTGCGACATTTTCACAGAACTGTTTACAAAACAGCAACACGTGTTTTGCTATACATCAGCTTCCTCAGGCGTATATGTATGAACACGCCTTATAAAGTTATATAGTGAAACATGTGTTTCAGTTTTGTAAGCTGTCCAGTGAGAATCTCATTAAAGTGATGGATTTTCATCAAATATCGGCCAATACCATAAAATGTACATTATTGCATGTCACTATGACATTTATAATTACCAAGGAATTTAGCCACAATTTCTATATGCGTATTTTTAGCAAGAAGAAACTGACTTTAGGTTAGAGAGGTACCTAATCAAATTATGTCTTGCACTAGCTGTGGAGATCTACTCAGAGTCTTGATAATATTAACTTTGCCTAGTATAAACCGCGTGACAAGGAAATGTAGTAAAAAGTGGCATTGAATGCCATTTCTTACTTCATTTATCTTAAAAATCCTAATAAAAAGTGGCATTTTTAAAACTATATCATTGAAATGTATCTTGTACTAGCAAAAATATAAAAAAAAAGAGAACCTCCTAATTTGTCAAAAAAAATGTTTAAGATACTAACCAGAATACACGTTCAAAGTGGGAATATGGGATTACCTGATTATAAAAATAAAACAAACCAGATATACCAAATAATAATGTTATATGTATGTAGGTGTGTATATGAATGTGTATATGTATATATTTTTTGTTTTTTTATGTGGAGTTCTAGTATATTTAGCACGCTAAGTAAACTCACGTACAAGAGGTGAATAATGTAAGTTATTCACCACTTCAGTGAGATCTATCATGTTTATTTGTATTTTGTGAATTTGATTCATTTCTAAAACTTGTCAAAATAAAAAATAAACATTATTATTATCGTGTGATTAATTTTTTTGTCAATGAGAATAACTTCAATTCTCTTGAAAATTACAGACCTGTCACAATCCCATGTAGTTTTCAAAAAGTATTTGTATATGCGTATTTGCCAGTCTTGATTTTTATTAAATGTTTCACAAATTTTCCAATATGTTCCAAGATGAGGATCTAGAATTAATTAAGTAAAACATAAAATGGCCATTGATCTCGAAGTGGAGAGACATTTCACTCAGTCATATTTTTGACTGTTATACCAAGTCAAAAATGTACATTTCACTCAGTCACATTTTTGACTGTTATACTAAGTGAAATGTCTCTCCACTTCTTGATCAATGACCATTTTATGTATCACGTTATTAATTCTAGATATTTGACTGTAATACTAAGTCTTCCTCTAACCAGGAAATGAATTTCTGGCAAAAACATAACAATCTGCACTGACAGCAGACAAGGCCATATTAGCCTAGAACAGACAACTTATAGCCTCAGGGCTAGTACTAGACTGTCATCAAGATTTAGCCAAAGCCTCGATAGATAATAACATTATCCTGAGGTGGGTTAAAGGGCACGGCAGGAGTAAAGGTAATCGCATTGCCGGCTCTTTAGCCAAGGAAGCGGCTGGACTAAGAATTTTAGGACCCAGTGGCACTTACGGCCTGATGACTTCGACAATTGCGGAACTAGCCAAATGTCACACCCATGCTCAATCCCTAAAGAGATGGCATGGAATCAATCTTGCCAGGATCACCCTGGGCGACCCTGAGAAGCTGGCGCCGAAGAAATATCTGGCGATGACCAGGAAAAATCTACGCTTAACAGTAGGATTTCTGACTGGTCACTGTCAACTAAGGAAACACCTCCATAATATGGGACTAGTGGACACGCCTCTATACAGGATAGGTGAACAGGAAGATGAGACTGCCAGGCATGTCCTATGCGAGTGCCCGGAGTTATCGTCAATAAGAGAGTGTGTATTCGGCGAGTCTTGGCCTAGACCTGCCGATATAAAGGAGATGTCTCCCAGAGACCTGTCCACCTTCCTGGAAAGGACATGATGGACGATGACCTAGGAGGACAACTCCTCGGGAGGATGTACAATGGGTCACATGTAGCCTAAGTGCTGTGGGCTTACGCTCACCCTCCCTACTCTACAGATACTGAGAGATAAGTCTTCCTCTAACCAACTCTTTAGCTGTTTTAATATTGAGAGAACCTGCAAATCACTAAATCTATCATACAAAATCCACTTGTTTAATAAAAACTGAACCACTTACCTCTGAGTACTTGCTCTTCTTGATACCGAAAAAAGTCCCAAATGCGCAGGGTGCCGTCATCCGAACACGTAACGAATTTGTTGTCCGAAGGGCTGAAGCTAAACAACATATTCACAAAATAAAAAAAGTTTCAATACTAGTTGTTTTTAACTATTTTAACAATACCATTTTCACTTCAGTTCTTCTTCTAAAATATTTGCTCTTGCCCACTCAGAAGCGGAATCATTTTGAAATTCGGAGGCGAATAAAAGTGAATATAAACCTATAGCCCATGTGGCGTTAATACCAGTCTTGTTTTTCAGTATGCTAGCAATAATAATATAGTATCAAATATGCAGAAATTCAAAATCTTTAGGTTCATACGTCGGCCAAACTTTGTCGTGGAGGAAAAGAAAGGAAGCTGAGGAAGAGAAAGGAAACGAAAGGTAATATCACCTTATAAGTGGAGATTTTTCTCTTTCAAATACCTATCTAAACATTAATTATTACTATTTTAGTTATTCAAAACTCCAATATTAGATTTTTGTGAGGGGCACTGCCACAAAATCGACTTTGAAACCCGTTACAAAATAAAGCAGTAGAAATTTACTGGACATGGATTTATTACCGAATGAAATTTGGTAAACACTCGATCAAATCATCCAACATGTGTAAGATTTGTGAGCAATTTTTCGAAGTATCTTTGAAAAAATTGAAGGGAGACGGATATATGAAAAGGTAATTGAATCAATAATTGTTTTTCTTGACAGCTGAGAATAAATAAAATGCCTCAGACAACCCATATAATAAAAGGCATAACTCAATTTATGACCTTGTCAAGAATGGCTCAATTAGAACTCCCTCTTCCATTCAATCCTAATTCAATAATGTTAAAAAAACATTTTTAAGTACAAGCCTTCATACACATGTAATGAAAAGACGAAAATAAGTTTCAAATCAATCGAAACCCAACAATTCATTACTATGGTATAAAATCTAATAGTGGCATTTATCTATATCTATGTTATAAAAACCAATTACTCACGTTATAATTAAGCTTTTGAATCACATAAATTGTTCAGTGTAATAAAATAATGGCTTTGAATTAAAACTCATTTTCTTGTTTTTATTTATCGCTGGACATAACCCTTATTTTGTTCATGTCATTTAATGCGTTATTGTTGCATGGTAGTGTAGCAATTAACATTTTTTCGACCACCACCAAACTCTCTAAAAACAGGTATGGCAGTCATCTTAGTTTTCGACATTTTGATTTTTTTCCACTTGACACCCTTCATTTGATATCCAATCAAAGGGATATATAAAATACAGTCCACCATCTTTGCTAGTCCGCCATTTTATATTTCGTATTTTCTTCTGATACCCATATCATGGGGTGCACAGAAAACAAGTAAGCCATCATTTTATTTTCCATATTCTTGTCTGCAAGCCCTTTCATACGACATTCTTATCAAAGGAGTGCTTAAAAAACTAGACCATCTTGGACAGTCCGCCATATTGGACGTAGAATGGCATCATTTAGCTGATCATGCAATGTCATCCAAACTAAACAAGATTTGACGCGAAATTACAATAAAAGTTTGTGGATAAAAACACCATTTTGAAAAAGAAGATAGCAGCGACGTTTAATAAAGAAATTCAATATGACATTTGATTGATTTTTTAATGCCGCGCAAAAAGCTGAAGTAAAACCATCAGGCGCCTATGTAACGTCTTCGGCTTGGCAAGGGGTAAGGTGTTTTCACCTGAACCTGGAGCATGTCATATGCACCTCTCCAAAATATTAATCTTTAATCCGACTCCCACCCCGGAGTATGTGTTTGTGGAGTTATTTCCTGGCTTCGTCTGCAGGTGGCGCAGTGGACCTTCCACTGAATCAACTGCAGAAAGAGTTCATGAATAGCTGGAATTATATTTGTTTGGTCGTGCCACTCAGACGGTTCACACCGTTCTGAAGAGACCAAGCCCGGTACTGATGATGGGGCAAGTATCCCGAAATCGGTCTATTGGTTGGTCGTATCGACCGAATGAAATTAATTTCTAGATATAGATATACATAGATAAATAGATTAGTACTTTTTGATCATTCCCATATCGATTTCAATTTGAGAGCCACCGGTATACAGCTGTTTCAGCCTATTGGGCATCGTCAGTACCGGGCAGGCGGTCCTCGATTGAAGACAAAATGAGAAAAAACCAAGAAAGTAAGTTAGTGACCTGTAAAAATAAACAGTTGCTATCTAGACTTGAACAAGTAAAGTTGTTTTAATTGACGCTCTCCCAAAATTGCAATAAAATATGGCGCAGTCGGTAGGATGCAAGTAAAGTTGTTTCAATTGACCTTCTCCCAAAATTCCTATAAAACAGCAATACGCTATTATATAGCGAAACACTTGTCGAGGATTTGTAAGCTTTCGAGTGGAAATCACTACATAGTATAAAACAAAGTGGCTTGCCGTTGTCTGTCCCTACATAAGCTTAGATTTTTAAAACTACAGAACGGATTTTGATGCAGCTTTTTATGGTTGATAGAGTAATTCAAGAGGAAAGTTTATATGTATATAACGTGCATAATATAGTAGAGAAACACTGATAATTTTAGAGGCTTCTAATGTGATGTCGTAAATAAATTGTTTGCGCTTTCATTGCAGAAGCTGGCTGAACTCTTTGAGATAGATCAAAAAATGTACTACAGTATTGTACACCTTTAAAAGGCCTACAAAAGTCCGTAATGGTATATGTCCATTTCTTAGAGAAATAATGGCTTATTAACAAAGCCATTTTAGACAATACAGCATTAATTATTATCCAATTGAGTACCTTAAATACATTGTGCATTTAATATAGATCAATATGGCCCTTTACAGCATGTAATTTAAATGGATATTTTCGAAGATATTACAGATTTGATATGCAGGGACATTGATATGCACGCGTTTTATGTATATTTAGTATCAGCATTGCACCCGTGCAGAGCCGGGGCGGACCGCTAGTCTCACAATGAAATGTGTTTTTTGAATACATTACCAATCAATTTTTTTTATATTCACTAATATGCTGTCCCTGGAATAAAAAAAAAGTTCGACAGTGGTACTTTGTATAGACGATTTGGTTTTGGCACAAGGTGATAATTATTTATTGCACAATTCATACTGCCATTGAAATAATTCTCAAATGTTTTCCTAAAAAAGATGATCAAATTTGAAGGAAAAAAGTTCAAACATAATATTCTCGTCGTGTAAACAGGCTGAGGTCCGCTTTCCTATATACCTCTAAAAAGTGGATATATGCTAACAATATCACAAGTATAGGTTTTGTCTATTTATTGTAGAAGTACTTCAGTTCAAAAGTTGAACACCCTCTCTATATCTGTTAAATTCATAAAAAGAAATTGACTTTCTGTCACCATCTTTTAAGCTTTATTCAGGAAAAATTACCTCGTTTTTCAAATTACTTTTCATGTTTATTTCATCATTTTTTACACTTTATCAATGACAATAGATTATTTAAATTGAAAGGGTTATATTTTTAGAAATGATCAATTTTTGGGAAAGTTTTTGGCTTTCTACTACCTACTCTATCTTGATACAAAAATAAATATAGTTTAAAAAGACTAAAAAACACGCTTTTATAGCATACGGAACTAAAAAATCAAAAATGAATATAGTTTAAAGAACTAAAAAACACGATTGTAAAGAAACAGGTGAAGCTAATAAAAGCGTGTTAAAAAATGTGGAAAGCTCCCAAAGAAAGGAAGGAAGCAATCAATTTTAAAAGAAGTAATTGTCTTCTTCTTTGCATGATCTACACATCTATGTATAGTTGTATAGTTACCCCTCTTGAAATCGATTTCTTCCTTCCTTTCTTTGGAAGATTCCCACATTTTTTTGTATCAAGATAGAGTCGTAGAAAGCCAAAAACTTTCTTTCCCAACAATAGATCATATTCCAACAAATTGTTTACAGGAAAATTAGATAGAAATTTTGGCTTGAAATATATTTTTCTTATGTCGAAGACCGATGGAGAGACATTCCTCCAATATTTTTAACAAACACTCAAAACTGCATGTAAGCGTGCATTTTGAAGGTTTCACCAGTTTCAGGTATTGAATATCCCATTATTTCATTACTGAATGGACAGCAAAAACAAATCATTAAGGACCAGGAGATACAATAAATCTGTATTTTGACTCTATAAATATTTTTTGGTTATCACTGTAATCAGCGGCGGCTCGTCAGAGGAGGCTTAGCCTCCCCATAAAATTTGAGGCTATTCATCGCAATAAATTAAAAGATATTGACAAATAATTATGTTAATTTTTTTCTAAAAATGCTTGAGTATCATTACTTTACCAATAATTTTCAATATTAATACATAATATGCCCGAAAAAACACTATCGCTCACTACGTAGTACGTACCACATTGTATCCTGCATCAACAAACGCACCGCCCATGAACGAATAAACCATCAACCCGGAATAATAAATGTCAGGGAGACAAGCCTCCGACCGTTTTAAAAAACACAAGCTTCGCGAGGCCGATCGAACCAGCGACATACGTCCCGATTTGTACTTTTAGTTGCAGAAATTATAGCCTTAGAGGAGGCTAGCCTCCAGTTGGTCTCCGTTAGTGTACGGCTGCGTTTGTTTTTTATTTAATTATTCGGACTGGATGCCGTGACGGACCGGGACTGAAAAATATTTCGGTAAATCGTTTTAGTGTTTCTTGATAATATTTGGTAATTGTGTATAAAACAAGCAGTATTGTATTAAAGCAGTGCTGTTGGTAATATTTTTAATGTGTTTTTAAAGTTTTTTCTTTCAATTTCAAGGTGTTTTCAGGTTTTCACTTTTCGGTAAGTTTTTTTTCCATTTATTATGGATAAGTTGGACGAAATTAAAAAATCTGACGATATAGACGATTGGTTGCTGACAAATAATTTTAAGTCTTTATCTTATGATAACAAATTTTACATTATTAAAAAACTGGGAAGGCCTCAACAAAATTTGATTTCAATTAAAGCGTCAGATAATCGACAAAATCGAGGATTTAATATTAGTTGGTACGATAAATGCGATTGGTTAACCGGCTCGATTAAACGAGAAAAACTTTTTTGTTGGCCCTGTGTTTTATTTTCCGTACAAACCGAATACCAAACGTGGTCTAAAATAGGATACTCCAATTTAAAAAATTCACCTCGTTCTACAGAAAGACATTTCAAATTTAAGGAGCATATATTTTCATTCTGAAATTGTTTAGCAAACAAAATATAGAAACAGCTTTAGATACAGCTCAAAATGAGGCCATAATTTCTTTTAATAATCAGGTTAGGGAAAATCGGTCGAATTTAAAAAGACTTATCGATATTACGATTTATTTGGGTTCCCCAGAATTAGTTTTCGCGGACACGATGAAACCGAAGATTCGATTAATCGCGGCAATTACAGGGAACTTTTAATGTTACGGGGCAAATAAGATTCCCAATTTGGCACTTCTTTAAACGGTAGCGTTTTTTTGGGTACCTCAAAAACCATCCAAAATGAGACAGTGTGGCATATATTATTAAGGAAAATATAAGCAAGGAGATTGAAAGTGTTTCTTTTTTTGCATGGGAAATTGATGAAACTACCGATATTACCTGTACATCACAACTTTCAATCGTTTTTAGATATGTCAAAGATAAGCATAATTAAGTACTTGTGCTTATAAAATATTTGTAGCAATTTTTAACAAAACTGTTATATTACAAGAGAAAAGTATCATTATTTATTGACTGATAAGAGTTCATTTATACTAGATACCTCAAAGACAAACCTTTTCCCTTGTTTTTGTTTTTTTAATGGTCAGTTTCATACGTACAATTTTCGGCGATACACAATTTTTGTTTGCGTTTATGCAAATATTACGTATTTTGCTTTAAATAGGTGCGGTACCCCAAAAAATGTTCGCGCCTCCGGCGAAAAACACAGTCTTTAAGACTTTAGCCTCCCCTGTTCTCCAATGCACGAGCCGTCACTGAGTGTAATATAAATTTTTATTATTGAAACTATATGTCTCATAGTAAAACATCAAAATCTGTTTTCAATTAACGCAAACACCACTCGCCAAAAAAAAAATTAATTTTTTGACCATTCCAAAATATTCCCTTATTGAAGACCCATTTATAATGGGTTGAAAATATTCACATGCCATAACAGGAACTTCAGGGAAGTTTTGAAGGATTTTCTTTGTGAGAGAGCCTATTATAATTTATCAGAGTACTATAAATATACTTTTCAATTCGACTTGTGTCTGCCTGACTCTCAATACATTTTATGTAATCATTATTAGAACTTTTTTTATACATTCTTGACATGGAGGTTTTGGGTACTAATCTCGCAAATCCGGAAAAACGCTCAGACAGGTCGATTTTTATTGGGAGGGGAACAGTTTTTTTCCCAATTTACAGCGTCGTCACTTCAACCCCGGAGCAGAGGGGTGAACAACCCTTGGAATTTTAATAAGGAATAGTGGGCGAGTCGATCAAAAGATCTTGGAATTATCTAAACAATGGTGTACATTTTTTAAATTTGGACGTATTTACAAGAGTTTCTTTCCGATAATTAACTTTTTCAATATTGTTAATAGCAACCAATTGAATTGTTGTACGCCACTGCTCAGTTGGAATGTATTTGGAACTCTTTCATTTGTTTCTTACGCAACTTTTTTGTAAATTTTTTAGTTCTTTTCCGTTTCTATTTCTCATTTTTATGTTAAAAGTGATATCTACATTATTACTAGTAGTGAGTGCTGTCAAGTCTTGCTAGAGGAACAATGGTTTACATAACTGCAGAGAGGGTTGAGTTGAATTGAACTGTACTATGGAAATAGACGTGCTGCGAGAGACGCTGAACTGTTCAATCAACAACATGGAAAGAATGTGTCGCGACAGTATGTTTTCGATTTAATTGCAAAGTTTCGCGCAACTTTTCAACATTTGCTTCAGTGATGAATGTTCTTGACCACAATTATCGGGAGGACCTGTTGATATTTCAACAAGATGGGGCTCCTCCGCACTATGCTCTGCCTGTTCGGCAGTATTTAGATCAGACTTTTCCGGATCACTGGATTGGGAGGCGGGGCACTACCGAATGGCCACGACGATCACCAGACCTTTTGCCGTTAGATTTCTTTTTTGTGGGGTCATTTGAAGAGCAGAATTTACTGTACTCCTGCATCATTCGAAGATTTACGGCAACGAATCACAAATGAATGTCACCAAATCACTCCAGAAATAATATTGTCCCTGTGGCGTCGTTCATGTGCCTGCTTCTTTTAGTGTTAAACATTCTGTTCGAATGAATATACGTATTTATTACAAGCGTCCACTATAAGAGTTTTTAATGATAAATTTTTTTTAATGTCGCAATTTTGCTTTATTTGCTCTAAGCTTTTGACTGAAGGTGAAACTGTTTTGGTTATCGTGGAATGCAAACTTTAATCGATGCAAGTGATGCAGACTGGGGTTGGAAATTAATAAATAATACTCTGGAACCAATTAAAACTTTGCTTCCCCCTGCTCCTGAAAACTCCTTAACACAATTTTTTGAAATTGCAAGAAAGGTTGTAGTGCCAAATGCGGCTGTGGAAAAGTAGGGTTTTCACCTGCGTGTACCAATTGCCAAGGTCACTCTTGTTCAAATGTTGAGTTGAGTACAACAGAGGATGGTTCATGTAATGCTGATGAAGAGACAACTGGTACATCATTATTTGAACAATTTATGAACACCCGGCAAGAAGAGGAAGAAGAAGGCGAAGAAATCGCAGAAGACATGATTGTTGAAGTTAACTATGACGAGTATGAATCAGATTAAAGTATCAAAAGAAATCAAACTGACAATTACACTCCATAAACATTATCAACCCGAATAATCTTCATGCAGTTAAATAAGTATTGTAACTAAGGATTACGTAATAACGATTCGTGGAATAGGCCTACTGGGGAAACCACGTTAAAAAAAACATGCCTAGTACAGGAACGGTGATACAGAAAAAATCATGAGGATCATTTTTGTAGAGAATTTTGAGATCTACAACTTTGGTGCGAGGTATTTTTTTGATAAAACTTACGGTTTTCGAGAAAAACTCAAAAAACCTGAGATTTTGACCTTTGACCCATAATAACTTTTGAAGCACTCATGGGACAGTTTGGGACTTTCAAATTTATATTTTTCATGGTAAAATAAAGGTCTTCACCAAAATTTAGCTCTGTCGCAATTGTCGTTGTTTCATTACGGTTTTCAGGTCTAAATTGACCGGACTAATAATATGAATTAGGTTAATGTTCACCAACCGTAGGCATTATTATGATCGACACACCTCAAGATTAGCAAATTATGAATTGATAGATGAATATGTAAATATCAATGAGCATATTATCAAAAACAGAGTCATTAGTGCACACGAGATTTAGTGATTGAAATTAGGATGAACTAGTAAAAATTATTGCGGAATATCAAAATGAAGTTTCGAGACGATTGTATTCAATTCAATTTATATAAAATACCAATTCCATTTTTCTAGAACAGATGAAATAAAACAAGGAACTTTGCATAACTTTTTTATTTGTCGAGACCCGAATGAGAGGTTCTAAAATAAAAACGCAGTTCCAAAAATCTTTATAAACTAAGGCCGAAAACAGAGTTTTTAAAAATCCCTGGAACCGACTCTAGATTTTGATTGAGAAAAATTAATTTATTGCACGTAAAAAATTACATCACGAATCATTATCACAGAAGGTTCAAATCTATCACAGAAAATTTATCTTATTTTATCCCATTGGAATGTTTTCAATCTTTATTCATTTCAACATTGTAATCAGAAATTGCACTAATGTAAGGAGAGGAGGGATTCTTTTTATTGAGACATATATAAAGGTAATGTGTACAAATTCGAAAAATACGAAGAGAAGTTGTAGATACCTTATGCCACGAAGTGCTTCTTTGTGCGCTTGGAACATCTTGACGTTGTTCATGTTAGACTGCCAATATTTTACGTATCCCGCATGATCACCCGTTATCATCCAATTGTCATTGTGACAAATAGGAAAATTTATTTTAGTAGTAATTATAATCAGTTAGCAATATGATGATAAATCAATAATTTGTTTGATTATAATGTTCATAAACATATTTTGAGTTATTGACCAATCCAGATCAATGAGTGCGTTATAATAATTTGATGGTCTTTCCAAAGGCGTGTGTTGAGCTACACTAGATTTTTGAGGGCTTCAAAATGGGATATTTTTTTTAAAAGAACTTTATTCAGATAATGCAATAATGGTTACAATAAACATTTTAAATAGTAATTGAGATAGCAGCACTATCCAAAAAAAAAAGTTATCCAAAGCAGCACCAACATGCTGGTCTTGGAAAACTAGCTAAGAACAATATAATACAAATGTGAATAAAATAAAAAAACTCAATAGTAATTAATACAGAGAATTGAACAGATTTAAGCCGTTCCTTCGTTGAGTATGCTAGTATAAAAACTCTTTATTTTATTCTTAAATATACTGAAACTAGGGCTATCTGTTATTTCCTTGGGAAGAGAATTATAAGTTTTCATGCATAGTGTAATGGGATTATTTAAGCCAATATTAGTACGTACAGGTTCTAAAAAGACATTATAATGGGTACGAGTTTGTATTCGTGGAGCTGATTAACAAAAGTGAAGTTGGTATTACAATTGACTTGTTCATGTATAACCTTGTATGCAAATTTAACTTGCTCGATTTCTAGAACATCCTGAATAGGCAGTATCTTGGTTACGCTGTATAAAGTCAGCTGAGGTTCTGTAGTCGAGCCTGAATAATATTTTCACGACTTTGTTATGAAGTATTTTTACTTTTTTGAATAATGTCTGTCCACATGTACCCCATAAAGGAATTAGACATAAATGAAAAGTTGGGGATATATGAAATGAGCTGTGAGGACTTTACAAAAAAAGATATCGGTTAGACTAAGCGAGCCATTGAAACTGGTTTCAAAGAACACGCAGTGCATGAATCCAGATTTTTTATGCTTTCGAAAGTCTGAAAATAGCAGAGCAATGCATGAAAACTATGAACGGGATCCATTCCAAATAGCCCCATTGTGTTATTTTCTATAACTGAGTGAATATTGAATATACAGAAATTTTTTTCAATAGTGGAAACGTATTTTTGCGATTTCCACCATTCTATTGGTTTTACATTTTCAAGAATATTATCGTGGATTCGTCGCGCATGACATGTTTCAGAGGCGTGTTGTTCTGTTTAATTATGTTCCAAGTTCCAAGACATTCTGTGACATATGACATTTTGTGCACCTAACCTATCTTCCTCTATATAAATAAATAACAAAACAACTGTTGTTTATGTGGCT